ATGACCACTGATACTGCGGACAAGGAGCAGCGTGACAGACTCGCAGGGTTGTACGAGACCGATCATCATCAGAGGTCTATTGCCAGGCAGGATATTGACCGGCCGCTGCTGATCGTCGCAGGCGCCGGATCTGGCAAGACCAACACACTGTGTACTCGGGCTATCGAGATGATCAAGCAGGGAGTGGCGGCTGAGACCATCATGGTCATCACGTTCACGAATAAGGCTGCAGGTGAGCTGAGTGAGCGCATTGGTAAGCTCATGGAGGCTAATGGAATGAAGGGTGCATCGCCACCACATTCATCAACCTTCCACTCGTGGTGCTACAAACTCATAAGGGAGTATTATGTTAAGCTGGGACTATCAGAGGCCCCAGATATTGTTACTGAGGATGGTGATCTCAAGCTCGCACTCCATCTTGGGTTGTCTTGCTCGACGACTGCCACATGCTGGTTCAGTGCGAAACCATGCTCGCTATCCCGCCTCCAGACAGCCGTGATGGCCCAGGTGGACAGGGCATGATCCTGAAAAAGGACCGCCTGAGGCGCTGGGATGCTGTCAAGGCGCAGGCAACCGACAGACTGGACTGGCAGGAGCCTCCTGCGGATCCAGCACCGGATGGTGGCGTGGAGCAGAATGTTAGAACTAAGCTCAACAGCACCATGCTGAAAAGCGACTTCGCAGCCCATTCTGTGCTGTACCACTTCCTGCGCGGCCATTTCCACAGGATCAGAGGGCTCCGTGACATCACTGCCAGACCACTTGCTCGTCCGCTGCATCCTCCGGCCATTCTGGCTTCGCACAGTCCGATGCTTACTATGCATATCATTTGGGATTTGTTCAATCCAGCAAGACGCGCGGATACCTGGCTACGAGCTACGACATCCAGAAGCGGTCCATGATCGAGGCGTACAATGCGGTTCTGCGTATGGCTAACGTGGTGGACTATGATGACATGTTGGCAATGGCCAACGACGTGCTCAAGAGCCCGACCATCCTGCAGATCACACGCGAAAAGTACAAGGTACCTGCTGATCGACGAGTTCCAGGATCTTAACACAGTGCAGATGGATCTGGTCATGCTCCTGCAGAAGGACGCTGGCCGCGTCACAGCAGTCGGCGACGAGCGACAGAGCATCTATGGCTTCCGTGGTGCCACATGCAAAAGCAACTTTAGCAGGTTCCTGGAAAACTTTGTTGATGCCAATATGGCCAACACCAACAATGTGCCCAGAAGCCTCGTTGGAAGCATGGAGTCGCTAGTCATCAACTACCGGTCGCACCGGAGCATCGTTGACCTAGGCAATATCGTTGCTACTGCTGTGAATACCAATAGCGAGAATCTGCTGACGCGGCTGCGTGTTCCGTTGCAGGTACAGCCGTCTGTGCCCATGATGCCTGTGGTGGTATCTAGCAGCGAGACTGCGGAATCTGAGGCCAGATTGATAGGCAGGGAAGATCCGGTCGCTAGTCCACTCCAGAGCGTGCCAACCAAAGGATATCGCGGTGCTGTTCCGGGCGCTCAAGCTAAAGCGCCACCGGCCGTCAGCCTGCCTGGAAATCGAGCTACTGGATCTAGGGATTCCATATGTCATCCGTGGCGGTGCATCGTTCATTGGAGGCGCATCTGTTCAGAACCTTCTGGCGCCGCTGAGGCTAATGGTTGATCGCACAGATGACGCTGCCATGCGTACTTGCCTCAGTGAGTTTGTACCGAATATTGGACCAAGGTTCATAGAGCGCATCTGTGCCATGGAGCCTGACGCTAGCGGCGACAGTAGTGTGTACGGAAAGGCAGAGCGTGTTCTGGACACGAAAGTGCTACCGAAACATGCACGGGCCAGCCTGAAGCAGTTCATGGATACCATCGGGCAGTGGGATCAGGGCATAGGTGAAATGACGCTGCAAGAGCTTGTGTCCACTGTCTGCTGCGAGTACGCCGTTGATGGCCTCGCCATGGCCATGGCGGAGCTTAGCATCACCAGTGCTAGGAGGTCCAGGAGCGATGGGTCTGGCAGCGAGCAGAACTTTGGCCAAAAATCCATCACCACGATGCTGCGCAATACCGTCGCTATCTTTTTCTCTGGACGCGTCCAAGGCGCTGCCGCGGTGAAACTGCGGTTCAAGGACAGCGACATGTGCTCACACGCGATGCTGCGTGCGTTCCTGGCCTATGTGTCACTGATGGCCGGGATTTCCAAGGACACTAGCTGGGCAGGCGTGGATGCGGTGGTTATTTCGACTGTGCACCAGGCAAAGGGCCTGGAGTGGGAGCACGTATTCATTTCGAACTTCAACGAGGGTACATTCCCGATGAAGTACCGTGGTGACCCAGATGCGGTGACGGCCCGACTAGACCGCCCTGTGGAAGAAGCAGACTCGGCTGAGAAAAACTACTATAACGAGGAAAGCAATATTGCATACGTCGCCATCACACGGGCCAAGCGCGGTCTTTATATTTCGGTTATTGAGACTAATCCGTTCTACGGGATGGCCAGGTCATCTGGAGTCAGGGCTGTACCGTCACGATACTTACCCGTGGCCATGTGGCCGCTAAAGTAGAGCAGGCAAATGCTGACCAGGGTGTTACTGTCATGTTTCAACTTTGTATATCAGTACAGCACTTTCCCAATTAGAGGCACTTCGGTATTATTCCTGTTGACTCTTAGCGGTCGTATCCATCTCGGCGGGATTTTGGAACACGTATGCATCTTGCGATCTATCTGGTAGCACTGCTGGTGCCAAGAATATACCATACCCGATATTTGTAGTATAAAACCAGCAACCAAACACCAGTCTTCCAACATCTACCCAGTATCAGCACTCAATAGCTTCAACAGTCGCATTAACATTCCATTTAAGCACGTTTTAAAATGATTACCTTATTCCGTCTCTCTCGCCATCATTTCTGCTCTGGCCGCGCTTGCGCAATCTGCCAGTGCTACGGCCGGCCCTCAGCCTGAGCTTACCCGCCGCCAGTTCTACGGTGCCTGGGGCTGGTATCCCGGCTATACAGCCGGCTTTGGAATCCCGGGAGTAACCTCTGCACTGGCATTTCCAGCTGTGAACAGTGCTGTGGTTTCCTCGGCCACATCTGCTTCGACCGTTCCATTTGTCGATCCGGTTGCAGCTGCATCGGTTGCAGCTCCCGTTGTTCCGTTTCTGGCCAAGCGCCAGTGGCGATATGGCGGCTATGCGCTATGGCGGCTATGGCGGGTACAGTGGGTACGACGGATGGGGCTGGGGGTTCCCACTTGTGAGTTCGTTCAGCAACGTGTTTGACCGTGCCTCTAACCGCGCCAACTTCAACGAAAACACCTTATATAGCAACAACATTAACGCCAACCAGGCAAACGATGCTGTTCACTCCAACATCAGCAGCTTTGTTTCGGGATAAACAGCGTTCCATTTAGATAAAACTCTAGCCGTCCAGAATATACGCATGAACCTGCCACCATCTGTCGCAATGCCATGTCGTTAGCATGATAGTCGTAGTGTTCGTGACATCCAGTTGGGAGTATGCTTGCTTTTGCAGCATCTATACAGCATGGCTTTGGAATAGGCCTCACTCCATAATCCTAAAGCTGGTGTTGCTGAAAGCCAATACACGAAAAACAGCGGGTCTGCATTGGATCTAGCCTGCCTGCCCTCCCCCTTGTATAATAGTCCTGCACACCCATGCTCAAGCACCTCAGTTTCATGCAACAGATCCGGAGGCATACCTCCACGAAAGCAGGCGCAGCATGCATGCGCAAGAAGCGGCACCAGTGGCTGCCAGCCGAAGACGCGCAGTTGCTGAGCATAGCCAAAAAGCACAAGCACCCATGGAAGACAGCCAAGCAGCAGATGGACCTGGGCATTGGACACATGAACTACCGGCGGCGATACGAGGTTCTGACCGGCCAGAACCATGGCATATGGACCCTGGCCGAAGTAAGGAAGCTGCAGAGCACGATCAATGAGCTGAAGCACGATGGGCACCGCGAGGGCTCGTACGGCTGGTGGGTGCTGGTGGCCGAGCGGCTGGGCACTGGCCGGACGCCGCGCGCCTGCAACATGCGGTGGAACAACGCAGTCAAGCTCCTGCGCGGCACCAAGCAGTCGCCGGTGATTCTCTTGGGCAAGCGCATCAACGAGTGGAGCGAATCCGAGAAGGCGCGGCTGCGGGACGCCATCCGGGCAATCACAGAGACACAGGGTGACAGCACCCAGGCTGTGGCCGAGCGTGAGCCCTGGCTGGTGTTCTCTGTCGATGTCCCCTGGACACTGCCTATGGGGTTCTGGATGCGGGTCGCGGACATGGTGGGCACACGCACAGCACAGCAGTGCCGCACAGCGTGGGAGGCACAGTGCAATGCCTGGCCACGCATGTCGGTGGGCGAGATCCGCACGATGATGGCGGCAGTGCGTGAGCATGGGCGGCGGTGGGAGTTCATCCGGGCACACTATCTCCCACATGTGTCGGCAGCCAAGATGCGTGCGCTAGACCTGCAGTGGCATGCGCTGCAAAGGACATGCAGGCATGATCTGCTGTCGCTGGACCCAGACGAGGTGCTGGTCGACTATGATGGGGGAAAGTCGGCGCTGCGACGCACTGGCACAGACGGGCTCTACGACCCACACGGCAGCCTCCAGCGGATCGCAGTCAGCAACAGAATGTCCGACATGATGCCGTTCCGGCTGGCTTTCCATGACGTCAACAGCAAGCCCAGACGGAATAGGCCCAGGGTGAATGCAAACTGGATCATCGAAGCGAGCAGGCGCGAGAAACTGCCGTTTGCGCTGATGCACAGTGTCGAGCTGTATGAGAAGGTGCTGCGCGCGGAGAACAGACACAAAGGCGATTGGGCTGCAGTCGGCAAGGAGCTGAACCTAGCGCCAGCTGCATGCTACAACCTTGCCAGGCGGATCTCAGAGCTGCTGCCAACTGTCAGCTTTGTGCCTCCCGATGAGGTCGATATCGAGGTCCTTGCTCATCAGCACCCGGTTAATGAACAGTTATGAAGCACGCACTGTTACTGACATAATTAATTCATCTTCTCATCACAAGAGGTTTTGGGTAGCACTGTATCCATATACTCAATAGTTCGAGCAAGAGTATTATTTTCTATGTGCCATAGACCTGTGTATTCATTTGTGTATCTCCTAGCCGTTCCGATGTGGTCGGATTGATTAGTATTTGCGTTCCAATTATAGGTATCTATCTGACACTCTACAGGAGATGCTTCTGAGCTGTAGAGTTTACTCCTAGATCTTGATGTAAACACAGCTTTCATGGATGTCCGCACAAGCGACACCAGTCTAGCACAGCATGCTTGGGGGATCACGAAAGGGCAGACATGGCCACCACCAAAAGCCTCTTTTGAGCACAAATCGTGCAATTTTCGACCCTCATAATCGATCAACACTATCCATGATTAAGAGCCAGCCTTGATTAGCGCGGTCAATTTCGCATTTGCTTCAACGCCTGGTAGGGCTGGTCGATATAGTCGGCGGCCATCAGGGGCGGCTTGGTGGCTCCGCCTTTCTAACTGCAATACCCGAACGGCGATTAAAGGTACACATTTCATATTTTTCAGAGTTTTGGATCGAGGAAGGATACGCACGATGGATACGCACACGATCATGGGCGGATTCAGTGGAAAAGCGGCACCAGTGTGATAAGGGCGGCCCCCGAATTTGGAATCAGTCGCGGATTTTCAGACATTCGAATAACCGAATGGAGTGCGAAACTTGAGAGCAGCTCAGCAATTCCAGTGGTGGGAGGGGTCGCCTGAATCCGAATTCGCATGCGAATTGAGCAAAAGCGAGGAAACATTTGCACTAAACCCGGGCCAACCTACCACCTCCCCTTCCATTTGCTATAGAATCATGTATATTCCCACTGCCAACAGGAAGTTGATCTACGAGAACCTTTTCAAGGACGGTGTCCTTGTTGCCAAGAAGGACTTCAACGCCCCCCGTCACCAGGACATCAACGTCCCTAACCTCCAGGTGATCAAGGCTATGCAGTCGCTCAACTCGCGTGGCTTCGTCAAGACCCAGTTCTCGTGGCAGTACTACTACTACACCCTCACCGATGAGGGCATTGAGTACCTGCGCGAGTTCCTGCACCTCCCCTCGGAGATCTTCCCTGCTACCTTCAAGAAGGTTGCCCGCGCCGCCGCTCCCCGCCTTGGTGGACGCCCTGGTATGTATTTTTATTGGAGAGATCAGACTGTTACATGTGCATTGGTGGTTATGTAAGGAGTATGTATTGCTAACCGGTGTTTGTTCATCTTGTTGTAGAGCGCCCCGAGGGTGGCTTCCGCCGCGAGCGTGACGACTACCGTCGCCGTGACGATGGCAAGAAGGAGGGTGCTTCGGGCGACTTCCGCCCTGAGTTCCGTGGCGGTTTCGGCCGTGGCCGCGCCCAGCAGTAAAAAAAACATTGATTTGGGAAGCGGAATCTTGTCCTTTTTATATCTCCATATCTTTATGTCGTGAGACTAATAAGACGAGATGCTCTTTTGAAACCTCGAAATTGCAACCGGAAAAGAAGACGAGCCTATGTTACATGTTATTTTGCGTAGTGCGCAAAGTACGACTTGCGCAGCTTCTCGTAAATGACAAAGGTGATGACGAGCTGTGGGCACAGCCTGACATACGAGGGGACCCAGCCCTTGAAGAACGCGCCCACGCCCTCCTTTACATAAATATCTCTGCAGATCTGCCAGATGCTTGGCTCCCGCATGCCTTTCAGCGCAGTGCCTGGGGGGCTGCGCAACGACGCCATCGCCCGCGACTTGACGACATCTGCGGGCGAGCACACGGTGGTGGCAACAATGCCGGCCAAAAAGCTAGCAGCGAAATGCACGCCAACTGAGTCTCTGCACCCAGCCTCCAGCAGCCTCGCCTTGGCAATGTCGTACGAGACAAACTGCGATCCGGTCGCCAGGGTCGCGCGCACCAGGCTCGGCCCCAGGCCAATCGCCAGCGCCCTTACCCCTTCCTCCCTAACCATGCCTACCAGCCCATGTACTGCGCTGCGGTAGTTGCGCCGCAGGTGCCTTGGCAGCGCCTGGTCATTCTGCATCCGCACGTTCACGATCTCGCCCGGATTCCCCACCACGCCGCCCGCCACGCCCGACAACAAGGTTGCCAGCACCAGCTGCCAGGTGTTTAATGGTGTCCCGTTGCCCAGCTGCTCTTTCGCCAGGTCGTAGACTGCAAATCGCGTCATCGTGTAGGTGCCTTGCCGGAGCAGCGCTGCTGACAGCCCGTTGTAGAGGCCCAGGATGCCGGTCTCTTGGATTACTGCACGCGTCGCCTGGATCGCAGACTTGCGGGTGCGTGCGGTGGATGTCTGCAGATGCACCTTGATCAGGTCCAATGGGTGCGTGAAGCACGCGGCGGTCATGGCAGCAACACCTATGAAGTGCGCACATCAGCTGTCTGGACATATGTATGACTGTTGGTGCTCTGCTGCAGCTGGCATGCTTACCTCCACACCAGAACGGCACGATCGGCTTCTTCCTTGTCTGCATTGGTTTCGACACGATGCTCATGTTTGCCGTCATTTGATAGCAAAAAAGTTATTACAGCTTGAAGTATGAAAAGAAAATATGCTTTCAGGATAAGGAAATCACGGAAGCCAAGAAGTTCCCAGAACTGATGAACGCACAGTCCACTTTATGGCGCCGGGCTTGATCGCAGTCCTCCTCCTGCCACACGGCATAGGCTCTCACAGTATCGCCAGGTGTTTTTTTTTTTTTTTGAAACTGGCGAATGGTATTTTGTAAATAGGCAAAAATGGTATATTTTATTACTCGTAGCGAACCTTGTTGGCCTTGGCCGTGCGGTCCCAGTAGATGCTCTTGAACTGCTCGAGGAAGATGAAGGTCAGGATGGTCTGCGGGGCCATACGGACGAACGACGGAGTCCATCCCTTGTACAGCGCCATCGGGCCCTCCTCCTTGGCAATCAGCACCATGGCTTGGCAGCAGGTTCTTGTAGGGCGAGCCCGGGACCAGCGTTCATAATGCGGGTCTTGACGACATCGAACGGCGAAGTAATGGTAGTAGCAACGAAGCCGGCCAGGAACGACGCCGAGAAGTGCAGCGGCAAGCCCTCCTTGAAGTAGCCCGAGTTGAGCAAAAGGTCCTTGAAGGCATCGTACTGAGCACAGCTGGGCGGCAGTCATCAGCATGGCGCGGGAGACGTTCGGCACGGCGCCCTTGAACAGGCCCGAGACACCGTCCTCGCGCGCAATCCGGAACAGGCCGTCGAAGGCGTTCTTGTAGTTGCGGCGCTGCTCCACCTGGCAAAGAGCCGTCGTTCTGCAGACGCACGAGCACAATGTCAGCCGGGGTGCCGGCCACGCCGCCAACGGCTCCGGCGACAACACCGGCGAATGCCATGCGGTAGAATGGCAGCGAGCCGTCGGGGATTCGACAAATGCTTCTTGAGCGTCTCGTAGGTCGAGAAGCGTGCCATCGAGTACGTCATCTGGCGAAGCACGGCTGCCGAAATGCCGTTGTAGAAGCCGAGCGCTCCTTGCTCAGTGTAGATCGCCTTGACCACGGTGCCCAAGGCCATTGTTGCCCGCACCCTTCATCGTCTGCAGGCGCACCTTGAGCAGATCCAGCGGGTGTGTGAAGAAGTTGGCCGCGCAGGCAGCGAATCCTACGGATTTAGAACAGAAATCAGGATGTGGGCATTGGCGACCAGAGATTGCAGCTGATTGTGCATGATTACGCATTGTCGATGTGGGGAGAAGGAGCCAAGCGCGATCCCCACTTGACATCTTCTTGTTGGCACATTGACTAATGGATACGAGGCGGATCCGAGGGGCGGCACGCCATCAGAGATGTGCGGAACATTGGCAGATAAAGATGATCTGCGGCGAGGAAGTCGAGGAAACGCCGATGGGAAAAGCGACATTGTCATGTCTTTTCTGGGGCAAAAAAGCGTGGAAACACACAGCCGGGCAAGATCAGCAACGGAGAAGTTAATTACTCACACGCTGATAAGCAGCATAGAAGTGAGGAACTGCACCCTCGGGCATGCCGAGACCGGACACGAGGGAAAGAAGAGCACCAGCCAAGCGCCAGCTGTGAGGAGCATGCAGAAAGGGAGAGGGAAAGATAACAGTGCACCAGCAAGAGTAGGGGGGGGGAGCGCTTCAGAGGTGCACGCCCATGTGGTCGTAGACAGACAGGGGCATGCAGTTTCAATTGTCAGTGCAGTCTGGCCAGTGCTTCCAGTAAAAAAAGAATATTGGTGTGCACTCATGACCAACCCGCAAGGACGAACATCCCCAGCTTTCGCTCCTTCTCCTCCGGCAATCCCTCACTCCTGGCCGTTCCGAAGCGGCCTGTTGACAAGATACGGAGTCGGCAGACCGGGTAATCGGACTATGCCGGTGCGTCGTGCGCACAAGCCAGCAATAAAGATACAGCTCCCAATGGGAGGAGAATCACAAGGAGATCCAAATGAAAAAATGCGGTGGTGCAAAAAAGCAAACTTACCTCCAAAGTAGAAGGGCGCGTGGGGTTTCTTGACCAGCGGCCAGTTGGCCTTGTCATCGGTCTTGGTAGCAACAGCGACAGTGGGAGAGATCTTAGCCTCGGCCATTATAGAACTGCTATACACGTTAGGAACAAAATTACAAAGGGAAAGGGGTGGAAAAGGAGGGAGAAACTAGAGTGTTCTTTCCACTGAGGAATTGCAGCAATAAAGAGAAACAGGCATTCAAGCGAGGGGGCCCGGCTCCTGTGGGTTTTTATACTCAATCGTCTAGACTTGCGCACGGGAAGGTACGGGGGCAACAAAAAAAGAGCGAGCTCAGTGACAATAGCTGCTTCGCACGCCATTTACAAGCAAAAGGGGTTGGGCGAGGGGTTCACAGCCCCCCTGTATCTCCAAAATAGGCGAAAGGTACCCCAGGCGTGATCATGGCGCTTCGGCGGCAGTTTAATCGATCGATGCCATCGCTACACATAGGTGGAAATGTGCTTGCACGTTACGTGGGAACTAGAGTTGCTCCTCCGCGGTTGTGCATATTGTTTACGCAACAGCAACGGAGCGGGGGGTTTAGAAGAATGGTGCAGTCGTCACCAGAGTCCAAAGTAAATAAAAACTCGCGATTTCACCGCACACATTTCAATAAAAAAAATACCGGCCATACACACAGGTGGTGGTGAGGGGATCTGTTATATCGCGCACCTGGCACGTTCCTTCCATAGTCACATCCCTTCTGTCCCCTTCAAGAGGGCACGGTTTGTGGGTGCTTTCGTGTGACTGCTAAAAAGGACATTGTCTTTATCCTCTGTGCTGTAAGTTTTATCGACTCTCGCATATAGGATAATTCGACTGTTCTAAGAAAAAATCTCCCCGCCAACAACGGCCCTAAATTCCTTGCCATCGAAAATATCCTTTAGACGAGAATGGGCACTGTATACACCGAGGGCACCTTGTCGTTGGCAAGCACACATGGGCTCGCCTGCCCATATGATGTCCAGGTATGGACAGGACGGTAATTCGCGCCCTCGCGGTCATTAACCAGACACACAACGCTGGGCAGCTGCAAATATCCCACCTGCAGCGGAACCAGCACATAGCGAAGCACAGCAACCTTGTCCTCCTAGCGCAGCATCCTGGGTGACAGCGCCCGCCACCAGCCATTGCTCCTCATCGACAGTCAGCACGACCCGCAAAAGCACGGGACTGGTCATCGGGCATTTCGATACGAACAGTGATAGGCACAGGCTCGTAGACGGAGCTGTACTTTGGGCCATCAAAGGACATGGAGACGGCGGCAAATTTGCGCACCGCCGCCTGGGAGAACTTTTGGCGCACGCGGCGCACCACCGACTCGTCCGTGGAATCGAGTAGCAGCGGGGCTGATTCCAGCTGGTGCTGCAAGGAATTGCACATTCGCCGCATTGACGCGCGCAGCGCACCCGTGGCATCGGCGCTGGCTACCACCCACAGCGACCCAAGTGGCTCAAACACCAGCTGCGACGAGCGCAACGTCGCATCGACATCCAGCGTGCTGCGCATATGCGCCATGACCAGCCGCGAGATATATAGCGAGTGCTGCGCAAGCCTGTGCTCACATGTGGCCTGGCGAACACAGGCATCCACTGCTTGATGCACCACAGAGAACAGCGGTACAAAGGCGACCTCGGCATCCAGGTCGATCTGCGAGACGTTCTGGCCGAATTCATACACGTCAGTCGCAAAGTCGCCCAGCTGCAGGAACCCGCGCACCGCCGTGGCGGTTCTGGGCAGCGGGCGCACTGGCCCAAGCGACAGGCACTGCATGCGCACCTGAACTATGGATTTGGTGCTCAGTGCGCTGAAATGCGCTGAGACACTGACTGGCAGCGCTAACTCGACCAGCTCGCTGTTCAGAAACAGCCGCGGCTGCGAGTCGGACCGGTACAATGCGTACACGGTGATGTGGTCGGTTGCGTACTGGTCACTCAGCTCTACCTCCACGCTCACTGTGCAGGTTCGGCTCAAGCCCGTCGGCCAGTACAATGGCGCCATCGGCAATCGCCCAGTCAGGGGACCCAGAACCACCAGTGTTGCTAGTTACAGTGCACTGCGGATCCAGCAGCGGTGCGCCCTGCGAGCTGAACACGCGGATTGCCAGCCCACCATCGATCTTGTGGCCACGCGACTCGACTGCAATGCGCATGCAGCTCGGTCCATCGCTCTGGACGCTCGCTGCTGGCTCGATTGCAACGAATGCGTTGGCCGGGTGTTCGTTCAGCCGGACAACAAAGTGCGCACTGGGTGGCGCGCAGTAAAACACAATCTTGCCAATGCTTATCTCGACCAGGCGCACTGCAAACTGGCCTGGGCACGACACCGAGTCAGTTGTGAGCTGGATCCGGTTAGAGCCGCTTTCAATTGGAGTGTCATTGTACGTCCATGTCAATCTCCAGCTGCCCGGAGCCGGTGTTCGCCAGGACAACACGCACGCTAGGCTGCCTGCACGCATCGCGGAATGGCCGACGTGAGGCTCGACAACAATGCCTAGCGACTCCGTCCAGATCTACAGTCTCAACTGAGCTGAGCTGAAACACTGACGCTGCATCGATGCGGTGCTCGCGCTGCAACATCTCCGACATCTCCACAAGCTGCTCGGCATAGAGCGCCTGGGTTTCTGCGTCCAGGAAACGGGAATGCACCAGCAGGACTGAGCAGGTAGCCCAGACATTTCTCGTGGTTCCCCAGGTTGCGCTCGCACACCGCCAGGCGCTCCACCAAGTGCACGTCCATGATACCCAGGTTGCTGCTTGTCTGCTTGGCAATCAGTGGGCGCAGCACCTTGGTCGCCTCGAGCCAGCGCCCGCGACAGATGTGCAGTTGCGCAATGTCGCCCTGCAAGACCTGGGCGAAGCGCTTGCGCGCACACTCGTTGTAGTACTGCGTCGCCTGCTCGCAGGTGCGGATGTATATCTGGTCGAACCTGTTATCGCTCGCTAGCGCTTCTGTCAGTACCGGGTTCGTGATCTGCACGCTGCCCACAAACTCGCGGTACCGCTCCGCTGCGCTGCTCGACCGCTTGCGCGCCCGCTGCAGCTCCGCAATCCGGACCCTTCTCGTCCTCCGAGTCGCTTGCATCCGGCGTCTCCAGCAGCTTTGTCGGGATGTAGGTGTATGTGCTGGCCTTGCGCAGATACGACGGCGGCAGGCGGTCGTGCAGCGTGCCCAGAATGTCCAGCTGCCGTCTGGCGCTCGTCAGGAACTCGGCCTTGGCTGCTGACAAGAGCCGGTTCGTGTTGTTGGTGTTGGCTCGGCCATGCGCGTGCGGTGACTGCGCGACCAGCACGCCCTCGCATACCTCGACGAATGTTCTGGCATGTGCTGTATGTCCACGACGCAACAAACGCCAGCGACAGGCCCGTGCCCGGCGCCCGCATCGCCTTGGCAAACGTCGGCACAAACCGCTCTGCCCGCTCAATGAACTCAGTGTACCGCTCCAGCGCAATCAGCAGCTCCGACTGCCGCCCAAACAGGTATATCCGGAAATCAAACATCGAAATCGTGTTCTCCACCATCTGCTTCCGGTACTGGCTTCCTGCCAGCATCCAGGATGTCTGTAAAGTCATCGCCAGGCTCGCCGCCGCCAAACCTTGTGAACCACGACAGCGACTTGTGACTCTAAGAGCTGGAAGAACGCCTGCCTCCAGCTCGTCGTACTGCGCCAGCGCTTCCTCATTCAGCCCCATCAGCCGGTATAGCCTCACCAGGCCCTCCTTCAGGACGAAAAACTTGCAGTAGTTCCACCCTGGCAGCATGCGGTTTGCGTCCATTCGCCGGATCTCCTCCGCCAGAGCCGCCACGCGGCCCTCCAGCGCCTGCACCACGCGCTCACGGATCACAAGAAACACCGCGTTCCAGCTCTCAATCAGCGATGGGTGCAGGGCAACCACGCGCTCCACGTCCTTTTTGCTCTGGAAATCGCCCTTGAGCTTGTCAAGCACTGACGTCCGCATGTTCAGGAACTTGGCCGTCGCCATGCGCGTGCCCTCGCTGTCGTTGGGAAGATACACCACGAGCCACTCCTCGCCCTTGCGCTGCGACACCTTGTCTACCCAGTTCTTGACCCGCGGTTTCGTTATTGACTTGTACGTATCGGCCTCGCTGTCCGTGGACTCAGCCAGGTAGATGTTCAGCAGCGGGCTTGTCTGCAGCGCCGATATCGGCAGCGTGTCGCGGTCAGTGGCCTCGTTGGTTGCCACCTTGATGTTCAGCTGCTCGACAAACCGCGACGACTGGCTCAGCCCGCCCTTCCAAATGAGGTTGCGCAGCGGCAATCGAGACGTGAATTCGCTCGATATGCGGCTCCATGTGTCATACTCGTCATGCACGCTGAACGTGAGGTGCTCCGACCCTGGCATCATTTGAAATGGCAATTAAAAAAGGGGGTGCAATTGGAGAGCAAAACAGGAAAGACAAAAAGAAAAAGCAAGGGCACACTGCGGGGCTCCTCCCATCAGCCGCACTCTTTATTCGCCTTCTAGAGCATATGCCGAAATGCTGCCTAGTAATACGACTTGAATCTTCTCCTCCCGCCGGTCTACCCCCTGCTTCTCCCGCTCCGCCTTCCTGCCTACGGGCTTGTCGTTCTCGAAATATCCCTGCTCTGCATGCCGCGCCAGCCCGTCCGTCTCGCGCCGCTCCCTCCTCCTGACGCTCTGCCACCATGCCCTGATGCCCGGCACAACCATTGCCAGATTCCGCCTCCACACATACCGGTTGTATGCCAGGTGCCGCTCATATGCCTCCTCCTGGTACTGCTTGTAGTACACTGACAGGTCGTCCAGCGTGCATGCGCCAGTCTGCCGCACGGTCTCCTGCTCAAACGCCGCCTTGCCGGCCTCGAACTGCGTGTTGTTGTCGAGCCAGAACAGATGGTCGCGCCTGCACGCATCCTCGCGCAGCTCCCGGTACGCCTGCTCCTGCGGGGTCTCGTCGGCAGGCACGTAGAACTTTATTGGCCGGATGTTGCTGATCGCGTGCGGCGGGCCAACGAGGAACTGGCCAGGGAGCAAATTGCTCTGGTTCAAATCGGCCTTGAACCGCTCGGTGCCCTGCCAGGCCGACGAAACCGTGAACTGCCGCCGGCAATGTGTCGAGACAATCGGTCGTAGGCGTTGAATTGAGTGTGACATTTTAATTGCGAAGAAAATATTTGTTGAAACAAAAGAGATAGCGATCGGAGTCAGAATCAGAGCCAAGTGATAAGCCTACTTGTTAAAGGCCTCTGCTGCTGAGCCGCTGCTTCCCGAAGCCGCTGCTGCCGCCGACGATGACGCTGTGTCCATGTTCTCGAGCCGCGCCTCCAGCGCCCTCGCTGCCAGCGCCCGCCGCCGGTCCTTATCGCTCTCCTCACCCACCAGCACTTCGCCTGTCTCCGGATTAGTCCTCACAGGCACGCCCGACTCCAGATCAATGGCCTGCTGGTACCCTTCGTCGGACATAACCAGCCTGCACTTGACTGCTGCCCAATACACGCCATTCGCAATCCGTCTGACCACCGGCTGCACGAACTCGGGGAAAAACGTGCCAAACGCAAACGCGTCGCTGCGGTCGCCGTGGATCGGCCCGTCGCGCTTGTAGAATCTCAGGTAAACGAACGCTTCAAAGAAACCGATGTTCACCAGCAGTACGCCGCCCAGGCTGCCCAGCAGCGTAAACATGATTGGCGCCACTAGCGTGTAGAATCCGGGCAGGTCGTTCATGCGGAACCCGATTGAGCCGCGGAACAGCTTGACGTTGTAGTCGGGGATCAGCTGTTTTAGACCCACTGCGAACCCCGAGACCATGGCCGCCAGCCCGCCAATCTGCGTTGTATACAGCAGCGTCGAGTCAGCCCGCACTGTGCACACAATAATCACCGCCAGGACCGCTGTGACCACGGGCACCGCTCCAACCACCAGGAGAAACAGCGCATAGTGCCGAGGCCCCCACTGCCGCTCCAGGAAGCCGCCCACCGTCACCAGGACCGCCAGCCCGCAGAGCATAAAGACAATGTTGGGTTCTACAAACGCTGTCGTCACCACTGTCCACGGGTAGCTGATGATGAACCCGGGGCGCAGCAGCAGGAACCGCGCCGGGTCGAGTCCTGCCAAATGTATAGGGTCATCGCTGATTACTGGCTCCACTCGTAACCGCAGCAGAAGCGACGCCGAAGAAAACACAAAATACACTGCTGCCGCCGCCTTTGTCACCAGCGGCAGGCCGCGTGCATGCTGCACCAGATTGCTCATTGCTAGATTGTTGAAATAATTATGCGGAAGTAGGGGAGGGAAAGAGGAGGAAATCGTCACCAGCCCCGCTCAGGCTCAGTGCCTGGCCACCCACACCTAACCCCCTCGCCTCAGTGGATCACCACAGGTGAAAAGGCTGGCTCGGGTTTTTTGGGGGCTAGAAAAAATTTCGGGACTATCGATCGCCTCTGCCTTCCCACTCTAGCTGCCCGTATCTTCTCTCCTCTGCTTTTCCCTCCCTTGTTTCTTCACATTAATTGCCACTCTTTCTTTACTTCCCGTCTACCTCCCCGATGATTGAGACCCTGTTCGAGAGCAACTGCCCGGATCTGCAGCTTATTGCGCGCGGAAAGGTCCGCGATCTGTACAAGGTCGACGACGAGTCGCTGCTGTTTGTCGCCACCGATCGCATCAGCGCCTACGACGTTATCATGAACACGGTAAGCGAACTTGGTACCACTTTCCTTGTGTGATCATACCAAGCAGCGGGTTCTGAAGCTGTTTTCTCTCCCCTCCCCTTTATCTAGCCGATCGCTGGCAAGGGCAAGATCCTGACCCAGATCTCGGTGTTCTGGTTCGACTTCCTCAAGGACATCATCCCGAACCACCTGATCACAGCCGACATCTCGGCGATGCCGGCCTCGGTGCAGCAGTACCGTGATCAGCTGGAGGGACGCAGCCTGCTGGTCAAGAACGTGCAGGTTCTGCCCATTGAGGCGATCGTGCGCGGGTACATCACGGGCTCGGGCTGGAAGGAGTACAAGAGCCAGGGCTCTGTCTGCGACATTGAGCTGCCGGCCGGCCTGCGCGAGTCGCAGAAGCTGCCGTCGGCGCTGTTCACGCCCAGCACCAAGGCCGAGTACGGCGACCACGACATGAACATCCACCCGGACAAGTGCGCCGAGATCATCGGCAAGGAGCGCGCCGACGAGATGGCCAAGACCGCAATTGCCCTGTACACCAAGGCGGCCGAGTACGCTGCCGGCAAGGGCATCATTATTGCCGATACCAAGTTCGAGTTTGGCGTCGACAAGGAGGGCAACATGATTCTGATTGATGAGGTGCTGACGCCTGACTCGTCGCGCTTCTGGCCGGCTGCCACGTACAAGGTTGGCGCGGCACAGAACAGCTACGATAAGCAGTATCTGCGCGACTACCTGACCAGCATCGACTTTGATATGAAGACCCAGATCGACCTGCCGCCCACCGTGCTCGACAACACGATCAAGAAGTACATCGAAGCGTACGTCAAGCTGACCGGCAACCGTCCTGAGCTCTGAAATGCAGTTCTATAATAAAAATTCCAGCGATTCGCGCCTTGGCCAATCAGACGCGCGCATGATTTTTTGGCGCTTTTAGCGCATTTCTTCAAACAGCGCAGGGGTGGAAAAATTATTTTGCAATTTCGCTCTCTTTTTTCCTCGATTCAGTGTCCATTTTCTTTCTAGCCCTCCCACTCCAATCCCGCCCCCTTTCTTCGGATCCCCTTATAGCTTCTGCTACTTATTTCGCTTTCAATCGGCACCTGAACATTCGAGACCCACGCACATACGCGCACCTCTGCTGGTGTACACAACACAAATGGTTCTAAAGAGCGACGAGGTAAACTACCTGGTGTACCGGTACCTCAAGGAGTCCGGGTTCCTGCACTCGTCGTACGCCTTCCAGTTTGAGTCACAAATAAGCAAGCTTGACCAGGAGATTCCCAACGTCGAGCCGGGTCTGTTGATACAGGTGCTGCAAAAGGGCCTGCAGTACATGGACGTCGAGACACATTTGAACGAAGACGGCACAGCGCGCACGTGCTCAGCGCCGTTCTCGATCCTAGGCAAGCATGTGTGTTCGGCCCAGACGGACAAGGGCAAAAACAAGCAGCACACGCAGGACGACAGCAAAGCAGCGCACGGTGGACACACTTTAGTGCATGAGGCAAGCAAGCGGCTAAAGGCGCGCGACGCAAACCATGACGACGAGTCGGATGAGATGGACGTGGATGTGCCGGATACAGAGAAGGAGTCGCGCAAGCCGTCGTATGCGGAGCCTGGGAAGGGCAGGAAGGCGCGGATCATCGAGCGGGTGCAGATGCTGCGTGGGCACGGCTCGCCGGTGTTTCTGTGCACGTGGAATCCTGTGACTGCAAATGTCCTGGCGACGGGTGCAGGCGACGGCACAGCGCGGATCTGGGATCTCTCGAAGGGCAAATCGGACCCGGCGTACATGGCTGTGTTGAAGCATGATGCGCTGGCGAATGGCTCACCAGTGGATGTCACAGCACTGGTGTGGAACCCGCAGGGCTCGCTGCTGGCCACTGCCAGCTTTGCCGGCCAGCTGTGCGTGTGGGCAGGCTCAGGCGAGCCCAAACACGCCTTTGCCCCGCGGGCCGTGCCCATTATTGCACTGCGGTGGAACAAGAAGGGGAACTATTTGCTCAGCGCGTACCTGGATGGCATCGTTGCGTTGTGGGATATGGGCGCGGGCCAGCTGAAACAGGAGTTCCGCGCCCACAGCACCTCAGGCCCTGGACATCGACTGGAACGACAACACGACGTTTGCGTCGTGCTCTGCGGACAAGTCCATCTTGGTGTGGCGGGTCGGCGAGTCGGCGCCCATACGGTCGTTTGTGGGCCACACGGGCGACGTCAATTCGATCAAATGGCACCCGGGCGGAAAGTACCTCGCCAGCTCGTCCGATGATGGAACCGTCAAGGTCTGGTCCATGGCCAGCGACACGCCTGTGCATGACTTTGTCGGCCACGCGCAGCAAGTATATGCAGTGAAATGGCTGCCGCGTGTCGACAAGGCCATTGTCGCATCGGCGTCGTTTGACGGCACCGTGCGGGTGTGGGATGTGCATTCGGGGTCGTGTCTGCGGAGTGCTGTCGGCACACACCGAGCCCGTGCATTGCTTTACGTTCAGTGCCGACGGGCGGTACCTGGCCAGCGGGTCGTTCGACAAGAAGGTGCGTGTGTGGAGTATCAAGGATGGCACGCTGTTCAAGACCTTTGCCGCCGAGGATGGCATACATGACGTGCAGTGGGCCAGCAAGGGAAAGATTGCCGCCGCCATTGCCAACAATGTTGTGGCGGTGTTTGATCCAATGTTGTGAGCAAAGAAAACCCCCTCTCCTTGGTTGTTAATTGGCATATCCTTGTGTGTATCTTTCTCGCCCCTTTCCCTCCTACCTTTTACTTCCAACATTTTTCAATTATTCCACCATCATTGTCCTAATTCTTTTTTATTCTAGCGGTGTATTTCACAACATAGGGCTATCATTTTTGCGTGCTATCACGCGTTAGCCGCGCTTTGATCATGCACAGACTCGAACTGAAACCGCATCGATGCGGAATCGCACTTGTTGTTTTTCGTTACGCAAGACCTCCGAGCGATTTCCACCCACTCAGTGTGAAGCGGTGTCGTGTTTCTAATGGGAAATGCCCCCGCCCTTCAGGATCCGGGGATGTAGCAATATTGGTCAGCATGACACCATCGCCATGGCAATATAAACCTCACCCCGCTGCCCAAGGTTCTTCGGGCCATCGAAATCGCGCCTTTCTTTGTTCAGCAAGTCTTTTCTCTCACACATTTCTCTCTTTAACAACTGTAGCTTTCTTATCAAAAAACCACCATGGCCAAGGCAAAGGTATTCATCATCTACTACTCGACCTACGGTCACATCCACACCGTCTCCAAAGCGGTCCAGGAGGGCCTTGAGAAAAACTCGGATGTCGATGTCGAGGTCTACCAGTTCCCCGAGACCCTCTCGGATGAGATCCTGGGCAAGATGCACGCCGCGCCCAAGCCCGACATCCCCGTGATCACCACGGACAAGCTGACCGAGGCCGACGGCTTCCTGTTTGGCTTCCCGACGCGCTTCGGCAACGCGCCCGCCCAGGTCAAGGCCTTCTTTGACGCTACCGGTGGCCTGTGGGCCAAGGGAGCCCTGTACGGCAAGGCCGCCGGGTTTCTTCTTCTCGACTGGCTCGCAGCACGGCGGTCAGGAGACCACCGTTATGACCTTTTTGCCCAATCTGACCCACCACGGAATCGTCTATGTGCCGCTTGGTTTCAAGAACCCGAACCTGTCGGATAACTCGGAGGTGGTCGGTGGGTCGGCCTGGGGTGCTGGCACGATTGCTGGTGGCGATGGGTCGAGGCAGCCGAGCGAGAAGGAGCTTGAGCTTGCAAGCTATCAGGGAGAAGAGTTTGGGAAGTTTATTTCAAAGCTCACTGCCTCAGACTAAGGTCATTATAGTATTAACTAGCAGAGTTCTTCAACATCATGCAATGGGGGGGGGGTGTTGGTATATACAGGGAGGGGTTGTGCCGTTAGTGGGATACATAAGTCGCTGAAATTGCACTCAGCTGTTGCCAAGGCTACTCGGCCAAATGAAGCCGCCGGGCCACCACATTTCCACTGGTCATATCATCTGCTCCTCTCCATATATATCCCCGAAAATAAATGCCTATCCTTTTGTATTCCTGGCTGCCGGTGGGTTTCCTTCCTACACGGGGAAGAGAGAGGACGTGGTGCGACGTGTCGCTCATATAGAGAAAAACGAAAGCGTACGTACGCCACCATTAACCCCTCCTTCCTCCACCCAACTGCACTTGCATGCATGGATGCAAAAATGGAGGCAGAGGATAAAGAATTATATTATCACTACACCTTTTTTTGCAACAGATAGTAAGCGTGTCGTTGCGCGTAGGTCAGTTTTATTTCTTTTCCATGCAATACTAAAAACTGTCGATATTTATTATTCCCTTTCTTTGAACATAAACACCCGTGTATTATTTTGCTATATATACTTTGTTGCCACGCACTTGCCTCCGGATTTGTCTATGTGGATGTAGCCGACGCACACGCTATCTACTTTCCATCTAAAGCCATTTATATCAGACCAAATAGAAAAGCTAGCCAAGAACACAAACGTACAAAAGTGAGTATTCTGAGCACTGCCCGAAGCGTAGCGCGAAAACTCCCAGCTTGCAACTCAAAAACACTTAATTCTATAGTCGTTTGACGGAAAGCAGCACGCAATGGAGGACGATGGTTACAAAAGCGTATTGGACTTGACAACGTTCATAGTTCAAATAGTCTCAGCTGTCTCCGGATTTATCATGTTCGCCAGCGTTCTATTCCTTGCGAAAATGGCATCCACCAGTAGCCTACACAGCAACCTTTCGCATCAGCCTATGGATAGGAATCCAGTCGTTGATATCGCATTCGGCATCGGCTGTCTCGCTGCGACTGTCGGATGCGAGCACGGACCTGCAGCGCAACGAGCACCTGATACGGTTCCTTTTGTGGTCGCAGTTCGCCATGCCGCTGTGGTTTGTGTTTCTCAACGTTGCCATCGCAACCGACTTTATGCTCACACAGCTAAAGCAGTGGTCGAGGGACAAGGTCGAGCTGGTGCGCCAGTGGTACGTACCAGTGGCCACCGGTGTTGCTTTTGTGCTCACCCTGCCCCTGCTCATCTACCACTCAGGGTACCAGACCAAGCCAACCACATCCTTCTCGGTGCAATTCAAAAGCAAGCGTGCCGCCACCATCTACTACATCATGGCCTTTGACCTGTGGGTTGCCTTTGGAATCATCTACTGCTTTGTCATTATCCTCTTGGTCGCAGGCAAAATGGCCAAAAGCATTGCCCTGAGCCGCCGGTACCGCGCCCACCTCGCCCGCGCCTGGCCTTCTCAGCTTGAAAATCTTATTGTCACCGACGTCGACATTATTTCCGCCAGAAGAGGGAGACAACAACGCCATTGAGCGACAGCGCAGTACTCGGGATATTCGCGGCGATGAGTGTTACCGGCAGCCATAGTAGAGTGCCTCAATCACGGAGAGTCGTGGAGTTCATCGATGTTGAACATGTCCGCACATTCACCAGCAGCAACGCGGTGGTATCAGAAACATCAGGCAGCCATACAGAACCAGGAAAAGAACTGATGAAAGGCACACGGTCACCAAGCACCGGTCATTTATCCCAGCTGCGACCGGGTGAATTATCCTCAGATACACCGTGCAGAGGAAATCGAAATGGCGGAGCAGACTCGCACCACTGTCAAGCCCACCGATCCAGGTATTATCATTTGAAAATGCGCCTGGCGACACATTGGTTGATATGGACGATAGGCTGCTGTCAGCAATCCAGAGCCTGCGCATATCCAATGTATCTGGTACCACTAAAGCCGACAAATTGCTCTCGCAGCTTCCTGCCCCACGGCAAAGCGTACAGACTGATATGCCCACTCAGCAGACACTCAATGGCATCGACGAGTACATTTCCCCGACTAGATGATAGCACTGGAAATCGAAGCAGCAGAGGCTGAACTTCAGGCTCCTCAATGTCTATGCCAGTGGCACAACAGCTATTCGAAATTCCGCCTACAATACACTTTGCAGCACACGCCAATGACCATCACGTCACGGCCACTGTGCGCGTTGGACGCTATCCTCATCCGGTAGTAACTCTGGGACCAGCAGTCCGCACACAAATCCTCGCAATGTTCGTCAAAACCGACGGCGACCGAAACTGCGCCTGGAGAACCTAACTGCTCCTCTGCATTTCCGACATAGCCGCACAGGTATGCATGGGAATTCACCCGGAAAGCAACGCGCCATTCGCTATCTCACCTATGGTGCTGGTGCGCATGCTGCTCTACCCACTGATTCCGATCTGCACACTGACTGTAATGTGTGTGGTGCGGTGGCTCTATTTGCTAGCCAAGATCTCGTCGCAATTCATTCCATGTCAACGAGGCGTCGGGCATGCTAAAGGCCATGCAGGGGTTTCTGTGCCTAATCGTGTTCTTACTCAATCCGGCACTTAACCGCTCCTTCCGTGAGATCAGGAAGCGCAGTACACCTGTGTTCTCTGATTAATGGGCCATTCTGCTGGCCGAGGGAGGTAGGTAACCCAAGTTATCCTCGTTCCATATAGCGTCAACATCGCCAATGACTAGACAAATTTCTGCTTGTATAAATTCTATTTACTAAAAACCGTGCTGAGTAGGCACACAACTGCATGGATCAAGGACAGGATGGCCCGAAAGTGATAGTTGAGGCTAATTACATTGCGCCGTTCCCCCTAGTCGTCCTCGGAATACTCATCTTCTTCGTCCATGTCGAAGGGCCACCACTGTCGTCCGCACTTCTCAATTACCGCAATGCATCTCCTCCCCTTTGCTCCATTGCTAGGATAGCGCCATTGGGAATTCTGATGAGGCTCCATTCACAACCTGCAGTCTGGAAAATACCAATGCCTACATATAATTGCGAACCACACGTTAGGCATTGAATGCACAAATCTACAAATGTAGTGGACAGCCATTACGTCACGCATGTAATTACTATTCTGTGCTTACCTGCGTATTAGTGGGGTGAGCTTATAGCGCTGTAGCCGACTACCAGCGGGTTCCGGTATTCAATGGCACCCAGGAGTGGCGTGTCAAATCCTACATAGCAGACTGGGAGTTATAAGCAACAGCATAGCATGATATAAATTGTGGTCTATGGCCCTCCACGCCAGCTTACCTTTGACAGTAAACACGATCCCAAGCAAACGGTCATCAAAGAATGAGACTCCAGAAGCAATAATAGGAAAGCTCGATACAGTGCTGCCTTCACGAACTTGCACAGCTAGTTCTATCGCTGCGGTTGACGACTGCTCGGCGATAGCAGAAAGGCACGATATCTGTAGGGTCCTTCCATCTCTCACAGTGCTTGCTAGGTACACCTCAGGCTGCTGGATGTGTGCTACTGCTGACCTTGTGCATATCCACCAACTGTTCGCCTTTGGATCCGTTTTCTGTGTACAAGGGAACGTGGTCCGCATCCCACTGAGAAACGTGGCTCAATGTTTTAGACGACCAACTCAGTGCCTCATCAATAAGACTGCGAATGGCATGGAGAGTCTCCTTGGCACGTTGGCGGAGCATACAAGCCAGCCTCTTCGTCAGGCACACCAGTACGCTGAAGAGCCTGTTTAAGGATATCCCTTGGAGTGGAAACACGAACTGAGAAATCGGCTTGGGCTCCGAGCTGATGGAGCTTCCTGCCCCTGTAGTAGCATGTTACGACCAAAACATCGATATAGACGTCAACTAACTCTCGAGTTTCGTGCTTGCGATCCATGAACACAATGTCGGATATCGAGGATTCTCTCACATACTCGCTTTGCGGTCGACGGAATGCGCTGCGAATGAATCTGAGCAGCAGCCTGTAATCAACATGTGGGCGCACCGGTCGCGCACCCTCATCCTCGTTGCGCTGCTCGTCACGACTCCCAGATCTGCTGGATCCCCCATTCTGCCAGATGATATCCTCAATAGTTAATAATGCCCAGTCGACAAATTCCTGATTCTCCCGCTGCTCTTCACACACAGCGAGCATAAACTCGTCGACACGAGAATACAGCCAGGCGAGCACAACGACCACCCTCTGCAGCTGACAACAGACACGCTGCTTCCCATCGCAGTCATCTGTATCAATTTCGGTGTTGACTATGCGCAGAAGGTTGGTGACTGCTAGCATAGTGCGTTCAATAGCCGGCAGTGCGTGCTGGTAAGCGAGTCTGGTGATATCTACCGCACCTAGGACGTCCTGCACTTTCCCAGCTTTTCAGACGAGTTATCTTAAACTTGTTCAGCAGGAACTGCGACGATGAATCCGTGGCACGGCCAGTCACTGCAAGACGAGTTAGTTCAGCTTCAGGGCTGGTTACCTCCTCGATACCATGGTCTCGCAACACACTCTCAAAGCTATCGAGCAGCGTTTGGCGTGAAGACCCTTCATTCCGGGTCACACATTCCTTGGCAATCGATTCGATAACATTCCCCAGGTGCAAGCAGAGACCTGACAGGTGCGCAGATGATGAGGCCAGCTCGCTCAGCAGAGGCGATGATACCGCCAGCAACGACGTGTCCAGGATAGACAGCTGGCTTTCGTGTCTGTCGTTGGAACTGGTCACAATAAACAGCTTTCTGGTGTCACTGCTGATACAAGCGCGCACCACTGTGCTGTCAAGGGTTGCTACCCTCTTTAGCGGCAGAGCAAATGTCCCGTAAAGACTCATCCAGACTGTGCCGTGGCTCGTTACAGCAATCATAGCTGTCAGGTCCTCTGAAGTCGACGGGTTGATGTGCCCAGGGCCGTCTTCGCCTTTTCTCAGCGGAGCCAGCCTTGGCAATGAAAGCTGCATATCCATAGTCTGGTTAGGCATATGGCTATTGGATTCAGAGCTCATGCATTTGACCCACTGCAAGCTCACAACACGTTCATCGTCGTCGAGATTGATCTTCGCCTCGTGTATGATTTCGCCATGTGCCGGCTCGCGCTGTACCACTCGACCATCGGCATAGACAACTGCGATGTATCTGCCTGCAGGGTGCCATGCCAATGCGCTGACAAGATCAGGGTCTGTAGCCGATTTCTTGGCATCTGGGGCAGCATGTCGTGGGAGGTGATCCTGTGGGAGCCGACGCCATACCGTCTGCCCACCGCTTAGCCGCACTAGACGTAATGCATGGCCCTCCGGGATAGCAAGAACATCAAGTGTAGGGCACCACTGTGGCGAAGCTGAGACTGCATGTTTGAGTATGTTATCAGACCGCAGACAAAGCGTATTTTTATCCGAGAGTGACTGGAATCCGTTTGTGCTATATGGTTCTCCAGATGGAGATAGCAGCAATAATGGTGCCATGGCAATAATGAAAGAGAGATAAGTGCGTGAAAGAGGTTACAAGGCTGTGGTTCTGGTTGTTGGTGAATATGTTTTATGAAATACTTCTGGTTTAAATAGGAAAGGCTGCACTTATGGTGAAGGTGAGTCTTCAGGCTCCGTCGGTAAAACCAGCCCCTCGCTGATTTTGTAGTAGACGATAGTCGAATCGTTGTCGATAATAGCAAGATGAACACTATATAGCCATGGTGAAGTTAGGACTAGTTATATGTGTGTCTACCATGAGAGTTTAAGTATGCTGTCTATATTTCTACTAACCTTTCTAGACTTTCTGGCGCAACGCATGTCTGACAATCTCGAAGGATATCGCCTAGAAGCTTAATCGAAATGTCTTCTGCTGCTGATACCGGGACAAAAATATGCATTTTTTGCTTATTTGTGGGTGCGGCAGATGTAAGTACTGGTAGCTGTGTATTCTCTAGCACTTCCATCTTGACGCTGTCATGTCGCTGTTCTAGTTGCATTTTTCTCGATTAGTCAATACCCTCTGGCTGCACATGTGTGAAGTTGAACTCTGGAAAGCTCTTACCGTATTTGACGTTCATGTATGCCTGAAACAGTATTCGAGCACGACGCGGGAACTGCCCACACATTGATGCAGCCTCCTTGAACTACTGTTGCATGTCCATTTTAGTCGTCCATCTCATCAAATACACATTATGCACTAATATATCTTGCCTTTGGATGGGAGTTCATTGTGAAGTGCAGTACATGTTCAAGACACACAGCGCTTTTATTGAGTCCTGTTCTAGGATCTCATGAGCACCATATAAATCTGACAGATATTATGGCACACGCGCCTAGGCACAGGAAATAAACTTATGTTAGGATGAGTGTAACCCGAGGGTGAGTAGTCAGGGGTATTTATACAAAATATGCTAAGCTGGGATATCGGGCAATGTATTAGAAGATCGAGCCTTCAGCTCTATCGTTCAGATCCAGCCCCAACTCCTTTGCCCTTCGTGCATAGAACCCAAGGGCAGATCTCTCGGGAATCTGACCAGGTCCGCTGGTGTTTGATTTTAGCTCGAAGCAAAGTACATCGCCGACTAGTATCTGCGAAAACATGAACGTGCGCTCCGGATCCAGCCTATTGACCTTGCCTGGGCCCACCTCCTCATATACCACAAACGAAGCTCCTAAATCAACTTTGGCCATCTTTCGCACTATCGAGAAGACTGACTTGACCTTCTTCTCCAGATCCACATAGAGCAATCCAAGCCCAACAATGCGGTCCAGCTGGCGGTTGTAGAATTTGATGCAGATAGCACAGAGATCCGCGGGCTCGGTGAAGGAAAGAAACGCGCGCGGAGTGCGGATTTCGCCGACTTCACAGTAAAAGCGCGCCAAATGGGGATCCCGCGAGTACATGTCAACCACTTCGCCTAGGGTCTTTTCTGTGCGCGACTCGATTGTATGGTTGCAGCGGATTGTGCCGTTGGGCCGCTGCACCAGGAACCAGAGACGCATGGATGCCTTGTTTACATGCATGCACATTGCATAAAGCTGGCGCAGCTCGCTCAGCAGGTAGTTGGGCGGCAGCTCCATTTCCAAGGGCTGTTTGGCTGGCGGTGAGGGCGGGCAGTCAAAGTTGTAGAGATCGAAGCCCTGGTGAGTCTGGAAGTGGGCACGGCCGACAATGCGCACGGATATCATCTGCGGCTTTTGCTGCTCTTCGGCTACTGGGTCGGTCAGAACTCCCGAGTCCATCGTCTCCTCTGCCTTTGCCTCAGGACCACTAGAGCTGGTTTGCGATACAACGGTTGCAAGACTCTGGGTATCTGTTGCTGACACTTCACTCAGTGGGCGATCGTTCAGCTGCAGCTTCGCAAGCGGTATGTTGTCGTCTGCATCACCCAGCGATGTCATAAGGGTAGACCGTGCTCTGAGCGCCTGGTTGAGTCGCCACGATTCATTGGAGTTGATAACAATATCGCGAAGGTCGTCGCGAATATACATCAGCATACAGACCCTGTCAGCCTTGTTGAATGGGACCAGCGGTTCTCCTCGTGCAATCGGCACAGGATCAGGCTCGTGATCAAGGGAGAGCACATCGTACTTGCGGATCGGCACCACTGTGTGCTCGCCAACCCAGAGCCACTTTCCTGGCGGGCCAGCAGCGATGTTGGAGACAAATACTGGCCTTCCTGCACCACGTACTGTGTAGTAGTATACGGCGTACAGCGAGTATGTCCACGTCTTTCGGGCCCCAGCGTCATTGGGCATAAACTCGCTGAGGTCTATTGTTTCTGGATATTCGAATCTGTTTGGGTTGCCAACCACCTTCCTTTTGACGTGGTCCAGCTTGAATCTGTTCAAGTGGATGTGCAAGACCGGTGGAAAGCTTTCAAAGCAGATGCTCTGCAATGCGTTGACCCGTTCGCCAGGCTGGAGACCCGGAATGTCCTCTGGCCGCATCTGCTTTGTCTTGCAGTACTCGTCCAACGCGCTGCTCAGGCTCCCGCCGTCCCCGATCTGCAGCGCAAGATCAAAGTACTCGTCTACTCTGGTCTCTGAAAACGGGATATCGGGGTACGCAACAGTCCGGCGTATCTGACCAGAAAATAAGCGGCGAGCCATGCCCTCGGCAACAGTGTCCAGGGTGGCATCAGCGATTTCTCGGCGTACCGCACCACAAAGCTCACGGGTGTGCGTGGCGGGTACTGCGCCAATGCTGTTGCTCCTCAACACCTCGACCAAGATTTGGTGGCTGATCGGCTTCCCATCGCCAACCTCAAGTGCCTGGAATATCTCCTGTGCCGCGCGCACTATCGACGATTTTGCGTCCTTGTCGAATGTTGGAACCGCATAGATGTCATTGCGGAGCATTCGCATGTGGTAGTACGTCTGGAGCAGAGAGTTCAGGAACGGGTAGTCTGCAGTACCCGTAGATCCAACTGGATCGGCCGACGGGTAGACATCGGCTTTATCTACATCTTCCCAAAGCGTACCGGCTTCATCCTCGATTACGCGCACATACGCGCTGATCCGCACGCAGTTGTTTTCAATGATCGGCCGGCCGTGCTGGTGCTGGGCTGTGTGCAGGCGATTCTGGTTGGCAAACTCGGTCTGGCCCATTTGGATCTGCTGTGGCGTAAAGCGGACCTCAAAAGCCTGCTTTTGGTTGTACAATGGGTCTGTGAAATTCGACATGACGAGGCTGAAATACGCACACAGATGGGGGACAGAGCCGTCGGTCTCAGTGGGCATGCACATGAGGTACAGAGAGACATGACTACCAGCGTGGCCGTCGTTCCTGTGGACAGTTATCTGAAACTCCTGGCCCGCAGCCATAAAGGTTGGACTGCACGCGGCACTGGGAAGGCCAGTCCAGTTGTCGACTTCCCAGTGATACACGCTATGGCCCTCTTCGACATATCCTTTGTATAACGGCACATACTCATCCAGCAGCCTGCGGTCTACAGAGGGTGTAGCTGCATGTATCTTTGAATACGTTTCCCATGGTCTAAGCAATAGTGCGGTGCCTGCAGTCACGTACCTTCAGCCGAAGAAAACCGCTTGCGTACTAGTGGCTGGGTTCCCTGCTGTCTCTGGCTAGCAACTGGGGGTGGCACGTATGTGTTTTGCGACGACGCTGGGGCCGGCGCCGATGAATACAACCCCTCGTACTGCGGGGGAGGACCAAGGTCACCATGGTAAATATGAGACATAGGTGAAAAATATGAATTCGAAATGAGGGCAATGGCGGAAGAAAACTGCAGTTCCGCCCTTGCCCACCCAACGGCTGCTATTTATAATAACCCTGTGATTAGCTCATGGGACGCGGGTGTGCGTGCCAATATTTCTCTCAGCCTGACGCCAAGTCCAGTGCTGAGTGATCAAAATGTTGACGGATTGCCCACTGTTCCGTTCTTTTCTTTAACCAAGACTACGCATGACATCATACCACGACCGCTGGCTGGGCTAGTAATCTGATAATCAATCTGTATATCTTAATACTATTTCTTAGGCGACTGAGTCTTCGATACCTACCATTTCTACCAGACTTATGGCGCTCGCGATGCGAGCTCGGCTAGTCAGTATGGTTTAGACAGTCGATAATGTGGCAAGGAGGCTGCTACGGGGCTTCATCGCCTGAGGCCGATATACTATATATGTAAGATGCTAGTGGCACTGAATGTCGCCATTGCGATTTCGGCTGGATTCTTTGTGTGGTTCCAAATCCTCATGGTTCTAAGAACCCATGGATCAAGACTCCTAGGCCACAATGGCCAGCCATATTATTCCAGGACGGGCCGGCGCCACTACTTAGACCGGACACCCGCCTTTTTCACCTGGTGATTCCTCACTCCTTCTTCCATATAGCATATTTCATACGTTCCAATATACGTCGTGGAAAGGTGCTTGGAGAGTAAACATATTCCAGACAGTTGCAGGAGCCTATCTATCCAAGTGTATCGCACCTGAGATACAGCACATACTAATCGAGTCATACATCGCTTCGGAACTTCTGACACTTCGCATCATTTGCTCTCCTAGAAGCACAGCTGCAAAAGTTGAAAACCAGCAACCCTTGAAGGCCAATAGCCATAGTTACTTTCAGGTGGTTAGGATAATTGAACTAGATTAAATATGGCATTGAGATATTTGTTATGTGCCGGCTGAGGTGGGCATCGCTGCCGAGATATGGCCAATGACTGAGATCGATAGTCGCTCTTTTTTCTTTTCCTTTTTCTCTGTTTTCACATATCTTCATATCTCCAAAAACCACATAATGGCAAATCCCCAACCACACCGGTATCAACTAATATCAATACTCACCTACCATGTTGTTATTTGCGACAATACAGTGAGTATATTTGAGTGTGGTGATGTATGAGAGCATCTGGTACATTGGGCATCGCCAATGCATAATCTGGAATAATTAGAGCAACAGATCATCCAGTAAATCAGGATGTGTGATTACAAAACTTGGTATTCTCCAACTTTTTTTTTTTCCAGCTCAACAACCTCTTCAATCCCTTTCAGGCGACTCTCTCTACTTTTCTACTTGCACATTCACTATTGTTTTAAAATGGTCCTCCCGGCGACGAGCACAAACAACGTCAAAGTATACACGGTCTCGGGCAGCAACCTTTCGCGGAAGATCCCCGAGTGGTTGGCGCGGCGCAAGCGGCGTGAGCTGCAAAAGGACATCGAGTGGACGACACGGATCGAGCTGATCCAGGATTTTGGGTTTCCCGAGGCCTCGATGCGCATAAAAACGACCAAAGACGGTGAATTCTGTATGGCGACGGGCGTGTACAAACCACAGATCCGCGTGTACGAGTTTGCGCACATGTCAATGAAGTTTGACCGGCACACGGACAACGAGAACATTAACTTTCTGCTGCTCGGCGACGACTGGACAAAATCAGTGCACCTTCCAGAGCGACAGGTGTCTGGAGTTCCATAACGAAGGGCAAATGCTGCACCGGGTACGGATTCCCAAGTTTGGCCGTGACCTGGCCTACCACTCGCCGTCGTGCGATGTGCTTGTGGGGGGCGCGTCAAGCGAGGTGTACAGAGTGAATGTCGACCAGGGAAGGTTCCTGAATCCATTCCAGACGCAGAGCTCGTCAGGCATCAATGTGGTCAGGGTGAACCCAGCGCACCAGCTGTTTGGGTTCGGCACACAGGACGGGTCGGTCGAGTTCTGGGACCCGCGCGCGCGCAACCGCATTGGTGTGCTGGAGCCAACGATCGCGAACGTGATCCAGCCAATTGATGGGACGCGCAGCGGCGTCGAGATCTCGGCGCTCGAGTTCCGCGACGACGGGCTGGGCGCGGCAGTGGGCACCTCGTCTGGCCACGTCCTTCTCTACGACCTGCGGCAGACGCGGCCGTGGCAGATCAAGGACCAGCAGTATGGGTTGCCAATCAAGACGCTGAAATGGCTAGAGCCGGTTAGGAACACGTACAGTGGCGAGTCGGCAGATACGGAGGGGGCGAAAGATCCTGAGCGCCGACTCCAAGATCATCAAGCTGTGGTCGGTGGAGTCGGGCAAGCCGTTTACGTCGATTGAGCCGCCAAACGACATCAACGATGTGTGTGTTGTGCCCAACAGCGGGCTGATGTTTGTGGCCAACGAGGGCATGGAGATCCAGAGCTACTTTGTGCCGCAGTTGGGCCCGGCCCCGCGCTGGGCGCACTTCCTTGAGAACCTGACTGAGGAGATGGAGGAGACGCCGCAAAAGACCGTCTACGATGACTACAAGTTTGTTGTGCGCAAGGAGCTCGATGCCCTGGGCCTGTCGCATCTTGTCGGCACGCCTGTGCTGAAGCCGTACATGCACGGGTTCTTTGTTGATCTCAGGCTCTACGAGCGTGCCAAGGCCATTGCCAATCCGTTCGCGTACGAGGAGTACCGGCTGCGTCGCGTCCAGGAGAAGCTGGCCGAGGCCCGCTCCAGCCGCATCCGCGCCACCACGAAGCTCCCCAAGGTCAACCGTGCCCTTGCTCAGCGTCTGCTGCAGCTACAGAAGGCAGAAAAGTCCAAGCGCCAGGAAGAGGACGCTGAGGACGAGGACAGGACGAGGATGAGGAGGTGTCGCGTGGAGGTAGCAAGCAGCGCAAGAGGGCCAAGGCCAAGGCTGCTTCCGCCAGCGCTGTTCTCGAAGACAGCCGGTTCACGGACATGTTTGCCAACCCCGACTTCGAGGTTGACGAGGACGAAGAAGAGTTCAAGCAGCTGCACTCGCGGCTGCCCAAGAAGGCCCGCAAAAGCCAAGCAGCAGCCGTTGCTGATGACTCGAGCGACGACGACAAGGCGGTGGAGATCCGCCAGGGCGCCATGTCGCACAGTATAGACGACGAAAACTCGGACGACGAGTTTTACCAGTGACGACGCGGCCCGTTTCCTTTAGAATACAGTTCCTTCCATTGCAATCAAGAACGCATGCAGAAGCCGAAACGGCAGTATCATAGCTGCCAAGTCTGAGCTCTGCAAAGGCTGTCTGAGCATTCCTCTTTTTGGCCCAAACAAATAGAGCAGGCAGAGTGCACCGTTTAATGGCCTCTCCTCTGCTTTGATCCGTCCAAGTCTGCATGGGACGAAAAAAGTGGAGCAGTAGGTTGAAAACATCCATGCCGTGTCGCCCCGTCAGAACAGCCGGTCATGCTGAGCTGGCTTGCCTGCAGATCTCGCTGCCGCTTGTTTTCCTCCTGGGGCTGTATACAAAAATGTGCTGCTACGCCTTTTCTCTTCCCCGAATATTTTCCTAGTTGCACACGCTCCCATTTTTCTCCCTCTTCTTCGCTCCGGGCTTGACACTTTTGAATTTATATTTTTGCTCACTATTTCTTGTTGCATTTCGCCTCAGCCTACTCCTCCTGCCTGCGCTCCCGTGCTAGAGCGTTTGAGCCAGCTCCTACCACACGAACGCACAGCCCAAACCACGTATACATAGATCGTAGCGACGAATATCCTGGGTCCGCGTGCATATAAGCGATGGTGACGCACTTCCTGTCGCCCCTACGGACACTCAAAAAGAAAGCCCGTGGGCGACTACACGGCAACAACAATAGCTGGAGCGACTTCGAAGACGATGACGATGACGACTCCATTGTCAACGCGTCAACAAAAATACCCACAAAGTCGGACAAGGCAAGTGTAGACTCCAATACTGGCTGGTGCGGAGAGTCATGCCTTTTTTGTGTTGTGGTCCGGCCCACACTATGTATACTTGCCCGAAAGGTTTTCGACAACTGACCGCATTCCGGGCCATTCTCCTCTGGGTACTTTATCCATATGTAGGTTACGGAAATATGCATATGCTGCGGGAGGTAAGGTGGAGCATGGGCTCAGAGCACTCTTTGTGAGTAAAGCGCATTCAATGGATTGACTCCTAAGTTCCTTTATGTAGCAAGACAACCATTCCGCCGACAGTAACGTGCTACAAATGCTCGGCTTGCGAAACAGTCAACGACCTGCATCCAATGGAGCGTATAGAAAAGATCATGGAGAACGGGCAGCTCAAGACGAAGCCACGGATAGCCCCGCCACCATTGACCCTGGATCGCCTCAAGGCTGGCGTCTTCGCGTTCAAGAAGCACCCGGAGAAGCAGAATCTTCTCGAGGCAATGATCAGAGAGTCTTTTGGCAACTGGGACGTCCTCAATGTGTCGTTTCCGAATGGCAGTGAGGTGACAAGCGACGACCCCGGCATTTCGCTTGTCGAGGTGCGCACAGCATACAAAATTATTCTGGGACTGGTAAGTTGCAGGCTGATTGGGGATATCACTGGTCTTTGGGGAGCAAATGACGTTCTAAAAATACAAGAGCCCGCTGTTGTGTAGCCGCCGCCCTTTATTCGGGCATTGATGACGGGAACGGAGCAGATTCTACACAGACCAGGACGGTAAGTAGACGGACCGTGGCACAGAAAGCTGCTTCCTGGCATCTAGATCGACACAAATTGCACATCTGCGGTACCAGACAGCCACCCCCACCTTTTCGCAGGCATGCTCTGCGGAATTCCTCCTTGTCGATTATTTTTGGACACCCAGCACTAACACCGAAGGATGTGCTACTAGGCGGCTCGAGACGAAGGATGACATCCGGTTCCTGCTCATTATTGTTGAGGTAAGAGGCTATTTCTGTGCACAGCCGGCCCATCTCATTCAACGGCGCTTGATCTACGCTTGACATTGCGAGTTGCTGGCGATTCTCAATCTAAAAATACCTACACTATCCCGCGCACAACGTAGAATCCGCTGCTTCTACAGCAGAATTTCCCGCAAGAGTCGGCATACCACCACCACATTGCCAAAAGCATCATTGGATTGCTGGCCAACCTGCCAAACTCTGTCCACTACACCCTGGTTCTGTGGCTCACCCAGCACAGCACCTCATCGCTGAGCCGCAAAGTCGCCCTGGTCAACCAATTCCTCTCGTTCCGACTCGAAAAGTATGACCGCGCGCGCAAGCGCAGCCAGGCGACGCAGCGGCCCGTGCCATTGACATCGTACTCGTCGCAGTCCAACCAGACAGAATTGCCAGCGTTCCAGCAGCGTGGCAGGAGCATTACGTATGCGCCTTCCATTGCTGCTGGCAGTCGCCAGGCGCTGCAGAAGCGTTCTGGCGACAAGAGCCGCAACAGAGCGCACACGCACTCGCCAGGGGTCCAGAGCCCGCGCGATGAAAGCCCATCGGACGGGTCCGCGACGCCCGGCGGCAGCGGCGCGAGTACGCCTCGCAGCATGATGAGCGATATTGAAAACGACCCCCGCGTGATCAACGGGATTGGCGGGAGTCTGGCTGCCCGGCGAGCCCTAAAGCCCAGCAACACTGGGGCTCAGCGGGCAGGCACAGTGGGCGCCGAGTCATCGCGCACCTGGAAGCGACAGCCATTGAACTCGGTGCAGTTCGCCGACTCTGATATGCAATCGGACTTTGATACCTCTGAATCGGCTGATATTGCAACATTTGGTGGTGCGCAGGACTCGGCAAGCAGCGTTGGGCTGGGCATCTCGGGACCGCGCGTGCGGGCACCCGAGTTCCCGTCGCTCAGCAGCACCCCGCCCGATGCGTCGCCGAGATCAGCAGTTGAAAGCATGCGTCAGCGACTAGCACACATGGACACGCCGAGCCCGTTGCGCGTGCCCGAGCAGGTCAAGTTTGAGCCCAACGACCGGATTGCCAACAAACGGCGCAGCCGCACCGTTGGCGCCTACGACATGGATGCTCGACCAACCATCGCCAGTCTGTCTGCAAACCCGTCAGCAGTCCTGCCTGCGCCCTGGCGCCTGGGCAAAACCGAGTCACCCGGATCTCCAAGCTCGCCGACGCACAGTGACTTGACACCACCGCCTATGGCCCATGCTCGCGACACCCAGTCTAGCGGTATCGAGGATATGACCAGTGGATCAGACACGAATTCCAGGTACAGCCAGTACGTACCGCTCAAATCGGGCGGACCTAACAAGAAGGAGCCACTGGCGCCTGGATCGCCGATACCGCTGGGCGGAAGGGCAATAAACAGGCTCAGGCAGCAGACCGAATCCATGTATGAGTCGATGATGACTACGTTCATTCCCATGCGCCGAACTGCACCTGAGCCTAAGCCGACCACACAGACGGCCCCTGCATCGCGCATGGTGTTCCCGTCACCTGAGCCCAAGCCTCCAACCAGCCCGTTCCGGTCCATGCGCGGACCATCCGCGGCATCCCGCCCACGCACCGTCAGCATGTGCATTGAGGGGTTTCAGGCCACGAGTGGCAGGCCTGATGCTACGGGCGATGCCCATGGATTTGCAGACTAGCGAGGAGCCGTCGGTGCGCCCCGCCCGCGACTCGCTGTTTGGCGTGCTTGACGGGACCGCTGAACCTGGCAGTCCGTCAGGCAGCGTCATGGCGCGCAGCTCGCTCACCCGCACACGATCGAGTTCTGAGGCGCCAGCTCGCAGGCGTCGCGCCGACGCCGAGCTTACTGTTGCCGCGGGCCCGCCCGTTCAGCTCTCTGGCAAACGACTGGGGCAGCGGCGTGGACTTCGACGACTACTATGTGGGTGCCGACGGCATATTCTATCCAAAATCCAGCTCGCTGGTCATGTACCAGCACGACTGGCGCCTGGTGACTGCTGCCAAAGTCATGGCGCTCTTGCACGCTGCCAACCTGCTCTTGTCATCGCGATCGCAGTTGCCTGTTGAGGCGTTCTACGTACAGGCGATTGACAACATGAACCTGATTGCAGACTACGACGCATGGCGCGCACAGTACCCGGGTGCCTTTTCGTTCTGCCAGTACCCGTTCCTGCTCAGCCTCAGAGCCAAGGTGCAGATCATGCAGGTTGATGCTGCTCGCCAGATGCAGACAAAGGTCAAGGAGGCCGTGATTTCAGGCCCTCTTCCAGTCATCACTGTCTCGGCGCGCGAACCAGGCAAACCAGCCGCATCTGAAGCTGCTGGTCCGCCGCAAATGCCTTGTCGAGGATTCCTTGCACCAGCTCGCGTCGCACGAACAGGACCTGAAGAAGCGCTTGAAGATTGAGTTTGTTGGCGAAGAAGGCATAGACGCTGGTGGCCTCGCCAAGGAGTGGTTCATGCTGCTGGTTCGTGAGCTCATGAACCCAATGTACGGAATGTTTAGGCGTGAGTCGGACGACTCCAGCCTGGCCTCGGAGGAGAACACCGAGTGGGGCGGCGCATACTGGTTCAACCCAGCGTCGCTTGAGACATCCAACCAGTACTTCCTTGTGGGCATTGTAGTTGGGCTGGCACTCTACAACTCGACCATTCTCGATCTGAACCTGCCACTGGCTGTGTTCAAGAAGCTACTGCGCACCAAATTCTACGCAAACCCAACTGCCACGTCTTCCGTGCTTGCGAGCGCCAGGGCCACAGGCAGCCAACCGCCGTCGATCGTCTCAGGCACCCAGAGCCAACCGCAGACACCTATCACGGCCACTGGCAACGGCCCCAGCACGCCCTCCAAGGGCAAGTCCAGCAGCTCAGGCAAAGCCGCTGCTGGAAAGACCGGCAACAAACCGCTGTCCACAGCCTCTGGATCTGCCGGTAGTGTAGCAGTGCATGCTGCACATGGCAACGAGAGCAGCTCGCCGATATATGGGCTTCTGAGCGCCTCGGCACAGATAAAGTACCAAATCAACGAGATGCTGGCTGACGTCGCCGAATTCAGACCGCAGTTTGCCCGTGGTCTGCGCCAGCTCCTTGCATACCGCGGCCAAGACGTCGAGGATGTGTTTTGCCTGACATTCGAGGCAACATACAACGCCTACGGCGACGTCATCACTGTGCCGCTAGTCCCTAACGGCTCCAACATCCCTGTTACTAGCTCCAACCGGGTCGAGTACGTGATGCGCTATCTGCAGTGGATCTTGAACGACTCGATTGCTAAACAGTTCGAGCCCTTCAAGCGTGGCTTCTTCTATGTGTGTGGAGGCAATGCCCTGTCGCTGTTCAAGCCCGAAGAGGTTGAGCTGATGGTGCATGGGTCCGATACTGACTGGGATCCAAGGATTCTGCAGAAGATCACAGAGTACGCCGGATTCGGCGACTACGAAGAGATGCTGACTTCCTGGTTCTGGGAAATTCTGAATGACATGGCGCCAAAGGAGAGGCGTGCTTTCCTGGCATTCGTGACCTGGCACGGATCGCCTGCCGATGCTGGCGGCTGGATCGCAACTGAAGCTGAAACTAGTGCTGCTTGGTGATGACTTCCGCCGGCTGCCGGTTGCCCACACGTGTTTCAACCAGCTGGGCATTTGGTGTTATCGGTCCAAGGATGAGTTCCGTGACAAGCTTGCCATGGCCCTGACCGAAAGCGAAGGGTTTGGGCTGCAGTAAACAGTGTTTGTGTTAGTACCATATCCATGTAACTGAGGTTTTAATGTGTGCATCGTGCGTGAGTGTATTTTGTGTATTCGCGTTGTCAGCTGCAGTATTTCCACATTGTGACGATGGACGATCATTTGGAGGCGCCGGGTGCAGTGAGCGGCGGATCGGCAGGCCCATGCAGCGATTGTTCCGACAACGACGACTCTGAGTACCTGTGCCCCATCTGCTTACAGCCAGTGACACACCAGAGCTACGTAGAGCCCTGCTACCACGAATACTGCTACTTGTGCATTTGCCAGTGGATCGAATTCCGCCCCCATTGCCCGCTCTGCAATGGCAAGGCGCAGTCTGTTGTCCAGCAATTAAAGTCAGGCAAAATCGTCAAGACCGCGGTTGCTAGTGAGCCTGGCAAGCCAGTCGAGGTCCACAGTAGGCGGCTACGGCAGCAGACAAGGGTGTATGGATGGCCTGAGGACAGCCAAAAAGACTCCGAGCAAGGGCACCGCAAGCGCATGGCTGTGTACTCGCGAAGCCTGCGCCGTGCAGCGTTCCTTTCTGAAACCAGTACTCGCACACGTGTCTCGAAATCCCCGGAACTCGTAAGACAAGCCATTGTCAGTGGCCGGTGCCGAGCGTGGGTGCAGCGGGATATTGCTGTAATTTTGGACACCTCTGACACAACAATACTAGAGGAACTGGTTGTGTCTATAATTAAGGATTCAGGAACGCTAGACAACCAGGTGGTCGGGCCGCTGATTGAGCCAGTGCTGGGTTCGCACACCGGAATGTTCGTTGATGAGTTGGCCGCGTTCATGGACTCGACGCTGCCGATGGCAATGTACGACCGGTATATCGTTTATGACACCGCCAATCCGGAATAATGGTTTTTTTTTCGTGCTGACTGGCAAAATGTTTTCTATGTCATTTTTTGAATTAAGCAGCTACACTTCTGTCTCACGTTGGGTGAAGGGGATGCATATATGAGATTGCACCACATGCCAGGTCTCTTTATTCGATATGGTGTGCACTCCATGTGGGCTGGGTGGACAGGGCTAAATTTGAAGTTGGCGCGAAGGGGAAGTGGGGCTCAGGCTTGTTTTTTGTCTGCTTGGAGTTTACAAAGGAGTATTCGAAGCTTGGCAAAGCCCGGTAGCGCCTTTCCTGTGGTAGCAGAACGCCAAGGGAACCCTGGCGCATAGTGCTGGTGGTGGCGTAGTCATAATATGCCTCCCCAACACAGCACAGCCTCAGCACCTGTCAGGTCCACCGCCTGCTATACTCATGCGCATGTATTGATACTTCAAGGGGCAGATACGGCGAGCTTGGCCAAGCCAAGGCGAGCGTTGATGGACTCTGATACTTGTTAGAACCGGCTCTATCCGGATTTCGGAGAATTGCACACTGGTGACACCATACTGGGCCTGCCCAGGGTGGCGGAGCAGCATCGGGCGACAGTTTGCACAGGGTTGGTGTTGACGAAGCGCATGCATTTGTCCAGGGCACAGATTATGTATCGCAGCTCTTCACTGCCGCAACAATGCGTCACTGTAGAGCATCAGAAATGCAGCAGGCTGGCGCGGATCGGCTAAAGCACTGAGGCTGGTCATTGCCAAGGATGGTAATGCCGGGCCAATTTGACATCGTTCCTAGGGGGCTTAGGAATCAGGCTCTGCAAATATGGTAGCAGGGTAGGAGCCCAATGCAAGAAAAATGCGCCTCATTATTGTCGCCTATATCTTGCGACGGGGTCCACCCAAAGGCGTTGTCTCGCCGGCCATCTGTTTTCCACCGCTCCCGCAACAACTACGCCCTCTATCTCTTTATTGCTTTGCTTTCTCCTCTTAATGAACATTGTTGTTGGCAAAGCTCGTGGTGGAGATTAACTATTTTACTTGTAACTGACGACACCACCATATATCTGTTTTCATGGTTTTCATGTCCCTTTCGCTTTGTAACACTGTAACATACGCTTAATCACCTATATTATTTTGCCTCGTAAGCCGCGGTTTGGAGAAGAGCCTCCATACTATATTATTCACGTGGGAAAGCTGATTCTAAATGACTGTGTATACCGCAGCTCATGGTAGACGACTGCTCGCTTTCACATACTGCATACTTCTCATGCTCGCTGGCCTTGCGCATGGTACAATCACGGTCGGAGCACAATCGTTTGATAGCTTTAGGTTTTTCCAGGCGGACAAAAACACAGAGCTCGACGGTACATTCGCCCCGGTACGGCTTAATATGCAGCATGGCTGCACTGTCAAAATGGCAAATACGACCAGAGTGGATACAGAAGTGGTGGTGCTGGCGGCGTGGCAGGAGGCGATGGTCGCCGGATGCTTTTCATATGCACAGGTACGGCTGAGAACCAGGTTGTGTGTATATGCGCTGGCCACCATGATATCTGTACTAAACACATGGCATCTATATAGATTATTAGTGCATTTGCACAGGTTCCACTTCCGCAAGGTACAGTTGTGCGCGGGATGGTGTTTAGCAGCAGCATTGCGGACGACACGCTCCCGATGGGTAGTCCGATGGTCGAGCCCTATGGCTTCTACAAGTCTGTGGAGACCAGCGCATGCCTAATACTCACCCGTCCAGCAACGCTGGAGCTCATGTCGCAGTCGCCGACAGTCCGCGTAACCGCAGTCTCGGGACCATGGAACACGCTTGAAAAGTCCCGCGGATACGCTGCCCAGCGCTATCTATTCTTTACCATCTCCATCCTGCTGATACTGTACATATTCCTGGAAATCGGGCTAATGCTATGTACGCAGACGGTGTGGAACAAGCGCATGCTAATGTACGTGGCGGCTATTACGTACCTGTTGATATTCACGCTGCTGCGGCCATACGTCATGAACAACAAGGCAGCGCAGATGACGGTTTTTGTGTCGTGGATCGTCGGATACATGAGCTTCACTATATTCATTGTTGCGTGGGGCTCACTAGTCGGCAAGATCCACCGGTACCGGCGGACTTCTGACGCTGCACAACACCGTGCACTACACTGCAGCAGGGATGTTTGGCGTCAGCATGCTGTTCAAGACATGGGCGTACGCAGCTGAGTCCCATGGCCTGGTGCAGATTGTCAACACCGTGCTGACATTCGAGATGCCAGTGGTGTTTGGCGTGCAGACGGTCCTGCTGGCCATGCTGATCACAGCATTCCTGACGCGCACATTCCGAATCGCCATATCGCGATATACAAAGGCAGTGCTCCGCAATGTGGCCATCATGTGCTCAGTAGCACTGCTTGGATGCCTGTGCATCCTTGGGCTCAGCATCTTGCTGGCCACCAACAGGCCCGCTGTATGTGTCTGGGTATATGGCTGCAACAGTCCTGTACTCGCTTGGCCAATGCCTACTGTTCTTTGCAATCTTTGCAGCGCTGTGGATCCGTGACCATGCGAAACGCACTCGGCCAATGTTCCACGAGCACGAGTTTTACGTGGACATTGACGAGTCCGAGCACCGCACAATTCCGCTGGAGCCGCCATCGGCTGCCCGGTTCACCGACGCCGACGACACATCGGCAGTGATGCCGCCTGAGGTGTTCGATATGTATGACGAGAGTATATTTGACCACGAGTCGCCGCGACAAGTGTCGCCGGCCGCAACCATCGGCTCGCAGCTTTCCCATGCGAGTGTTTGGTGCTGTGAGAAGTAACGGCGGCGCAGCGGCGAGTCTTGCCAGGAAAACAAGTCAGCGCCACGTCTTTGTGCCCCTGGCGCCAACCATTGCCCAGCATCGCCGGCTGCAAACTACAAGCGACAGCCAATAAGTTTTTCCGCAGATGGCTTATTAACAAAATTGAATGCGTATATTGCCCTGGCTCATTTTCTCTCCTCGCGTGCATTACGTTATCTCGCTCCCTCTAGCCTGGGTGTGCAATTAGGAGGGATATATGTGGGGTGACGGGGATATGAAAATTGAAGGGTTGCTTAGAGGATTTTACCGAATATGAAAAAGAGAAACGACATCGAGATTGGCGGGCAGGGGGACATTAGCGCCATTCAGAAGAAGAAGTAGCCGACCAGGAAAGCAACTAAGGCCACAGCAACAACCGACTGCGACGAGAACCCATCGACGCTGTGCTGCTGCTTGACGGCCACCCGCGGCGGCTGTTGCTTGCGCGATGACGACGCAGCAACCTCCTCGCTGGCTGCCAGCCGCCTCTTGGCATCGCTCAGCTCCTTCTCCAGGCCCGCAATGGTGGCATTCGCCTGCGCCAGTTCCGTCGCCATACCGTCCTTGGCCGGGGATGCACGCGCGGCAGCAGCAAAGGCGGCAGCAGCCGGCTTGGGCGCGTCCTCAATCTCGTGAGCGTACGTGGTTGTATCCGCAGGCGACGACGCCGGCGTATCCTCAAACAGGCGCGGCTTGGCCAGCGTGCTGTCAACCGACCGCTCGGCAGCACCAATGGACGTTGCCAGGGTCGTTACCGGCGACGACGGCTCGGGGCTCTCCTCGCCCGCCGACTCCAGGTGGTCGATCGACTTGGCCAGTGGCGACGGGCCAGGCAGCTGGCGCGTGGTGGCCGGCGACGCACGCACTGGCGCCGGCTGCGGCTTGGTCGGCGACGCGGACTGCTCGTTTGTCACACCCTCCTCTGGCGCGGCCGGCGACGCTGTTGGCTGCGCAGGGAGGTATTTGACGCGCAGCTTCTTCTCGTTGATCGAGCCCTTGGCCTCGCGCTCCACCATAGCCCACAGCTCGCTCATGGGCATCGAGTCCATCTCGGGCGTGATCTGGATGCTCTGGATGAGGAACTTGTCGCGGCACTTGTGGTCGGCCGGGAACTCCTCCTGCATCGGCTGCAGTACAACTACAAAGGAAACACGTTTTGAGCTTGGTGGTCTAGTGTGACCAGCTGACCACCCTTTTCCACTTGGCATGGCCGCCCTTGAGGGGGAGCTATACTTACTCTGCACCTCGACCGCATCCCCAGACTCGATGCGCCCCGCGTTGGGACGCACACAGTACTGCTTCGGCGCCGTCGTCTTGACCTTGAAGGCCACCGGCGAGTTGTTTTTGTTTGTCAGGCGCAGGACGTCCTGCGTCAGCGTTTTGAACGGCTCTACAGGGAGGAGATATGTGAGGTCAGGGCTGGGCTGCAATGCGACGTCGCATCTGACGAATGAGGCTCGGCTTGGCTTTGCGTCACTTACGGCGAAAGACAAGCGCGTCTCCGGGTTCATATACAAGTGCCATTTTGGTGTCTGCGAATTGCGACGCTGCGTGTGCTGAATTAAGAAAAAGGAAAAAGTCACAGGCTTTGGAGTAGAGGAGGAAAGGAAGAAGGGTGACGGAGGTTGCTGCTCAGCTTTCATGCTTCAAAAATAAAAAATAAAAAAGAAGGGTGGGGCTTATTGTCTGTCCACACCCTCAGCTCAGCCAGAGCCCATACTTTTTGCGTCGGGCCTAATAGCGGCACGGCCAGTGCGGAGAATCAGCGGCAGGTACCAGCAGGTCTTTGAGCAGCCTGCATATGAATGGCCCAGGTATGTATGGCACCAGCGAGCGACGTGTCGTGCTTTGGCAGCCCGTTGCTCGTGGCCGCACAGAGGATACCCCAGACTACACTCAGCAGCATGCACAGCTATAGCTATTGATGAGCGCTGATCTAGATCTGCTCCCCCAGCTCCCCCACACCGAGGTCCTGGATTCAAGCCTACGCGGTCGGACGACCCGTCCTGTGGCTAGGCGGCACCCGTCACTGGCCTCCCTTCTGCGTGGATGCCAACGCGCTTCGAGGCGGACCGGACCCATCTGGCAGCTGCGATCCCGGGCTATTTCCAGGCTCCACGCTGTGCGGACATTGGTGATCGAGAGGGGTTTGGAGACTGGGTCCGCCCGCCCCAGCATTTTGAAAATTTTTTAGTACTTTCATACGCCTATGCGCTTCATAGCCTCGCCTCTTTCTTGCTTCTTCGAATTCCAACAGACTTTTCCCTCCCTTTTTTCCTCTCTTCCTCTCGCCTTCCTTTTGTTGTTGTTGTGGTTGTTGTTGTGTCTTTCTCGTGTACTGCTACTACTTTTTTATATATTTTCATTATCGATTTTCCTTAGCCTTGTACTTTTCAACCTGTTCAATTCACCGCAAAAGAGAATAGCCCATTCTGCCCAATTCCACGCTGCTGGTACAGACGAAGAAAGCTGCACTCGCTCCTCGCAACTATATTACTCTTACAGCGCCCGGTCAGCAACAAGCAACACGCTGGCGTGAACAGAGGAGCCCGTCTCTACAGAGGTAAGAAAGGAGCGCCGCAATTCAGCAGCCTGCCCCTCCCCGAATCGGGGAAGCAATAGTAGCACACGCTCCGAGCTTATTATCCAAAAAGCCTTGGCGTGCTTGGCTGCCGATTTTCCCCCACTAACCAGTGGGAGCCTTCCAGACTGCCCGCCGCACCATGCTTGCAGTGGGCAAAGTGGGCAAAGTGGCAAAGTGCGCTTTATTTTTTTGGGAACAGCGGCTCCCCAGGCGAACATCAATTTAATCAAGTCTATTTATAGTAGTATAAATCACGCCAACCGACAGGCAGCTTCGAAACAGCGCGGAATTCCAGACACGCACCCTAGCCTGTACATACACAAGGACAGATGGCAGCAGCGATCAAGCGCAAACTGGTGATCATCGGCGATGGTGGGTGTGGCAAGACCTGCCTGCTGCACGTATACCGCGAGGGCGAGTTCCCGCCGAACGACCAGTACATCCCGACTATCTTTGAGGAGTGGGTGGCCGAGCTCAGGATAGATGGGCGGGCAGTGGAGCTGGCGCTCTGGGATACAGCGGGACAGGAAGACTACGACAATGTGCGGTACCCATGCTACACCAACGCCAACGTGGTGGTGATCTGCTTCAGCGTCGACTCGCCCGACTCGCTCGAGAACGTGCAGGAGAAGTGGATCGGCGAGGTGCTCGAGTACGCACCTGGCGTCCCAGTACTGCTGGTGGGCCTGAAGGAGGACCTGAGGCGCGACGAGAACATCATCCGCCAGCTGGCCAAGGACGGGCAGCAGCCCACCACGCGCGAGGAGGCCCTGAATGTGGCCAAGGCGGTCGGCGCCCAGCTGTATCTGGAGTGCTCGGCCAAGGAGAACCGCGGCGTACGGGAGATCTTTGATGCAGCAGTGAGGTGCACGCTGAAGGCGCAGAAGCAGGCCTACGGCTCGGAAGACTCGGGCTGCTGCATCATCCTCTGAGTAGCCTGCACCGGCTGCCATGCGCTCAGACACCATCTAAACCCCTTCTATCTTTCTTGCTCCTCACCAGAATCAACATTTTTGAAGTACACAGCATTCTCCCATTTACCGGTTAGGAAATGTGTCCGCAAGTGACGTATCCTGCAGCATGCTGCCAAGGCCGCCTTTGGCTGCGGGCGCGCATTTTCCAGGCTGATTTTGCGTCCCCCACCACTGGTTGCGCCCGGCTTCTGGCCCGTCCCCTGCGACTCCCAGACACCTAGTCGCTATCCAGCGGGCAGTCGTCCATGCATCTCTACCCTCGCTGTTGGGTAGTGTAGTGGTCAGGTTTTGAGCTGGAAAAAAGCATGCACATGCGTCTTGCGGCCCCTTGATTTCTGGCCGAAAAGGCCGGTGGGGGCTAAATTTACACCCTTGAACACGGTCGAGCACCATATACCGGAAAAGTGACAGACAGGAATGGCGCAGGTCATGGGGAAGGGCCTGCGGGAAACAAGCGAACAAAAAGCCTGGAGGGAGGGTGCACACCCCTCTTCTCCTTCGACTCGCACTACACTTTCCTTTCTCTTTTCGCCCACCCTATTTTTTAACAGCATGGGAGACTACAACAAGAACATTCTCCAGCGCAAGGCCATCGTTATCGGCGACGGCGCGTGCGGCAAGACCTGCCTCTTGCATGTATTCCGAATGGGCAAGTTCCCCGAGGACGACCGGTACATCCCCACAGTATTCGACGCATGGGTGGCGGACATGGAGGTCAACAACCAGCCGGTCGAGCTGGCGCTCTGGGATACCGCTGGGCAGGAGGAATTCGACCGGCTGCGGTTCCTCTGCTACCCAGACGCATCAGTTGTGGTGATTTGCTTCAGCGTGGACACGCCCGACTCGCTCGACAACGTGGAGGACAAGTGGTATGCCGAGTCGTCGGTGCAGGCCGCCGGCGCGCCCGTCATCCTGGTCGCGCTTAAGCTGGATCTGCGCCATGATCAGCGCACCATTAACGAGCTGGCCAGGTACAGCCAGCACCCGGTCACTATGGCTGAGGGCCAGCGCATGGCCGAGAGGATTGGTGCTGTGGCCTACATTGAGTGCTCGTCGATTCAGAACCTCAACGTCAGGCAGGTGTTTGAGTTTGCCGCCCGGGCGGCTGTCGTGCCCAAGGGAAAGAGGCGGATGGGCGACTCGGCCAGCTCCAACTGCTGCGTGATCCTGTAAGCCCCGTTGTCCTTTTGTTTATTTATTGTCTACATAATCGAAATGTTCCCCTTTCAATAATACTGCGCGTCTATATTCGGAAAGCCCCGATTGGTGATACAAAGTACATGGGGGATCAAAGGGGCAGCCAGTCTCCACATACCGCATGTGTCTAATGGCCATGTACCATGGAGAACTGGCGTGGCATGTGCTGCCCGGCCCTAGTGTCCCCAGCTCATGCGCAGTACGGTGCTGGCAGAGGAAACCCAATAAGGCTGGGACGCACAACACTCCCGGAAATTGCTCCCCACTCGCGGAGCAAGGAGAGGAAGGAAAATCCATGCTGCTGCTAAGCGTGCCAATCCACCGCCGTCCTCGCCCCGTTCCTCTTCTGCGCGCATTTTGCAGGCCGATTCGCCTTTCCCCCCATAGCGTCCATTTAATTTCCATAGGCGTGCTATGCGCTCACGGGCAACAACAACAAAATAGCAGGTCGGTCCAGATAAACCTAGGGACAAAAAAGCGGTCTGCCAAATATGCACGCTGTAGGAAACAACAACAACTAGAAAAAAATTGACAGCGCTCGCCCCTTTTTTTACCTTCTCCAGTCTCTTTCAGCCCCGCCACATATTCTTGCTATTGATAACATAGTTTTTTATATTCACAACCCCATTTGTACTTTTTTCTTTCTTATCAGCATAATGGCTCCGAGACACGGCGCGCAGTCACTAAAGATGATTGTGGTTGGAGACGGCGCGTGCGGCAAGACATGCCTGTTGTACACGTTCCGCGAAGGACAGTTCCCGCCCGACAACCGCTACATCCCGACAGTGTTTGACACGTGCGTGGTGGACATAAGAACGCAGGGGAAGCGCGTCGAGCTGTCGCTCTGGGACACGGCGGGGCAGGAGGAGTTTGACCGGCTGCGGCTGCTGTGCTACCCGGGCGTGGACGCGGTGATTATCTGCTTCAGCGTGGACTCGCCGGACTCGCTCGAGAACGTCACCACCAAAGTGGTATGTCGAGGCATGCAAGCAGGCGCCCAGGGTGCCGATTGTCGTGGTGGCGCTCAAGGCCGATTTGAAGACCGACCCCAGCATTGTCGCGCACCTGGCCAGGTACAAGCCAGACGCCCGTCACCTACGAGCAGGGGCGGGACACGGCCGCCAAGATTGGCGCCGCTGCCTTTGTCGAGTGCTCGTCGATTAGGAACCTCAATGTCAAGGAGGTGTTTGAGACCGCCGCCGCTGCTACGCTGGAGACCAAGGAGGTGGCCCCACCAACCCCGGCTTCGGACGGGTGCTGCATTATCCTGTAGCCCGCTCGCCCGCAAAATCAGCAACGCTTGCAGCAAGCAATAGTCGCTTTTCTTAGCTCGTTCCCTCCTCGTTCCCTCCCTCGTTCCCTTCTCCCCCCATCGCTGGGCAGTCGTTTTCTAGATGCAAAAACAAATAACATTCTCCTCCTTCTCCATGATCTGTCCCTGGGACCGCCCAACAGGTCCTCTCCGGGTGTATTTTTAGAAAAGCCTGTCGGCCGTCTGGGTGAAGGGACAAGCTTGCACTGATGTACCTTGGCACGGTGAGCCCTGTGGGGGGCTACTGCACCATAATTTCCGTGCATATGCCGCGGATCGCGCGCTTGGGCAGCGTTCCTGGGAAATCTCCTAAACCTCGAATGTTTCGGTCTCGACGCGCTCCATCATTGCTTGGCAATGACTTGAATAAGCTACTGCTCTCCGTTGCTTCTGCCCTTTATTTTCTTTCTTAAACCATCACCCACTCACTCGCCTCTGTTTTATCCCGCTCCAGACAGTACCCTCCGCTGTTTGCAGCAGTACATTTCGCACCACACCCCCTCATTTGACTGGCCGTCTCACATTTCAGTCGCAATTGTCCGCTGACGAGCAAAGACAGTACGGACATATACATATAAGCAGTGCTCTCCAGCAGGGACACCTGGGCTGACAACCAACGCTAGTATTCACTGTACACCACAAGGCACATCGACTCCACGCCCCTGTAAACACCCACCTTTTTCTGCATACGCATCACCCCTAGTCTCCCTCTCTCGCATACGCATCATCCCTGCAACACCCCACTCCTCCCCATTCTCCCCGTATAGCATATCATGCAGGCAGTATTTCGGCTGGTGCTCGAGGGCCTGGCTATGTTTGCTGGCTCATGGGCGGCCGGCTGCATCCCGCTCTATGTGCGCATGGAGGCATCGCGGTTCAACATCATAGCACTGTTTGGCGCTGGACTCCTGATCGGAGCATCCCTGGCAGTGATCCTGCCCGAGGGAGTCGAGACGCTGATGCGTGCGCTCGACGCCAACAATGGGCAAGGGCAAGGGCGGCAGCCCAGACTCGCTGATTGACACAATCAACAACACGATCGGCTGGTCGCTGGTGGCCGGGTTCAGCATCATGTTCCTCATCGACAACGCATTCCCGTCGCACCACGCACATAGCGAGAGCGACCACGACCAGTGCCCGACTGCGGCCCCGGCAAACGACAGCGCCGCATGCCTGGATCAGATCCAGCTGTCGGCGCGCGGGGCCAACTCGGAGTACACGCTGCACGATGCCGGGTTTAGAAGCCAGCAGCCGAACGATGCGCTGCCGTTTGTTGTTGGCGACGAGAGGCCGCGGCGCGTCGCCGCTTGACTCGGCGAGCCACGACCGGAGCAGCCACGAGTGGGTCCGGCCTGGGTATGCGCAGCCCAGATGGCGCCGCATGGTCGGCCAGGTTGGATCGGCCCTGGCTCCTCCGGTCGCTGCCATCGACGCTAATTGGCATCCTGGTTCATTCGTGTGCCGACGGCCTGGCGCTTGGCGCAGCTGTGGCTGCGGCCTCGGCGGCAGTCCAGAAGAAGCCGGCGGTCGGAAGCCCCAGCGCTGTTGCAGCCGACGACCACACGTCGTCCTCTCGAGATCATTGTGTTCCTGGCTCTGCTGCTGCACAAGGCACCGGCGGCTTTTGGCCTCATCACGACACTGAAGCAGCAGGGGTATGCGCCGTACAAGCTCAGTGTTTGGCTGACGGTGTTTGCTGCATCGGCCCCGCTGGCTGCCCTGGTCACCTATGCCGTCTTCTCGATCTTTGCCAGCCCAGCCCCAGGCCACCACAGCGAGGCCCACCCGTGGACAGGCACAATCATGCTGTTCTCGGCAGGCACCTTCATGTATGTGGCCATGGCACACACCCTGGCTGAGGCTATCCACCAGGCCAAGGCGCTGCGCGCGCGCGAGAAGGCTGCGCGCCAGGGCGGGTCAATGGCAAACGTCGTCGGATCGCTGAGCCTGGTCGACATTGTCGTGCTGCTGTTTGGCGTCATCCTGCCGCCGCTCGTGTCCAAGGACCATGACGACTAACGGGAAGCCAGTGTATACGCTTTATTTTAAAATTACAAGAGTCTATAAGTCGGGTCTCCCTCGGTCAATGTGTGATGTTACAGGAGGGCGTTGGTGGGGTCGGGCAGCACATCCTTGGCAAAGGCGCTTACTGTATGCTCAACCTCGCTGTCGGAGCCGGCAGTGGAGGACGATCCTGCGCGCGGCCGCATGCGACGGTGCCGAGGCGAGTCGGGCTGGACCAGCTCCTTCCTGTCCTTGGAGTAGCTGTCCGGGGATGCGCAGGCAAAGAGGATGTGGTCGTAGTAGCTGTCGGCCGAGGACGCGACAAAGCTGCAGTTGGTGCACTCCATAGCTTGTGGTGTTAATGTACAGAATTGATGAAAGGGGGATATAAAGAACTATGTGCTGTTTGTATGAGGTGGGAGGGAAGTCTTGGGCGATAAATGACGGTGTTTGCGGCAATGTGAAAAGGGGGCTGGAATATCCTTGACTCCGTCGCAGCCGGGCGATGGGGCCCTTGCCTATTTATATGAAAGCAAAACGAATTCGAAAATGAATAGAAAAAAAAAGCCTGATCGGTAACAGTCGCCCGCTGCAACCATCGATAGCCCATCGCTGCACAACAAACACCAGGGCGTCACCAGTCCTGCCATTCGGCAGCTGATACAGCGCACCAGGCGCCCGTTTATTGGCCGACACTCGACATTGCATACCTGCCCCATCGGTCGAAAAGGTCCGTCCACTGCTGGTGGACCTGGAGCAGCATGACTGGCAGATGACCTTGTGCCGTGTTTGCGTCCTTGGGGGCCACCACCTGCCTGATTACCGAAGAACGCAACCCGCGCTGCTGGCCAAATAGATAAAGCTGCATGGAATGCGTGGGCGGGAGCTGACCTGTTCTCACGGCCAGTCGGCGTTGAGGAAACTGGTGGGCCAGTCATGCGCAAATCTCTGTTGGCTGTGTGCACCTGCCAAAAGCAGGCTCGCCAGCTCCGAGGCTCGCCAGCTCCCAAGTGCAACAGGCGCACCTGCCTCCCACTGAGCGGACCAATTAGTTTATTTGCCAGTTCTCCTGAAACTGCTATAGTCTGCTGATGATAGTGATAGCGCAGGAACTCCTGCAGATATGCCGCCCCCTTTGCACCTCATATCCGGCTCCCGGAGCACCTGCTTGAGTGGAACAGAAAGGCAGGACTCATCGTCGAGTGTCAAGCCACAGCCAGCGCAGAAGAACCCGCGCAGCTGCCGCCTGGCCGCTGCCGACTCCCTTGGCTGCATGAGTATCTGGCGGATCTGCTCTCTCTCGCTATCGCTCAAATCGACTGGCTGTTGAATGAGCTCCTTGTGGTGCTTCTGGTGCAGCGGCGCTAATATCCAAGTGTGTGCTCATGCTGGGCGCTATATGCTGGGCCAGTTCTTTCTTGTTGCCAGTAGAATATAGTGGCCGTTTTTAGACAGGTTTCAGATCCTTCCGGAGTGTAAGGCAGCTATGATGTAGAGAGAAGCGCAACAGAATGAGTGGAGTGATTCTTGATACCAGTGCTGTTGGAAGAAGAGAGGGAAAATTTTTCTTGTTGTTTTGCAATATCGCCGCGCTCTTGTCCCATCCCACGGCCCGGCGGCTTCTTGCTTGCTTTTATACCGCAAAATGCTCCCTTCTCCATCCTGGCGCAGCGGCTATTTTTTTTTTTTGCTTCCCATGCCAGCGCAGCGGGTGACAGTGATTCGTCGCCACATGGCCAGCCGACCATCCCGCAAGCTGCATGTGTGCTTTCAAACCCCCATGCTCTCGGTCCAGCGCACACGCGCAGCTCGAACCGTGCTGCCAAGCGAATGCAGGTGGTGTTTTGGTAAAAGCTGCTAGATCCCGGTGGCTTGCTGCCCCTCCCTGCTGTTCTCACGTGGAGGTGGACCCGCAGGTTGTCCGCCCCCCGCAGTAGCTGTTGCTTGGTAACCGCCAAGCTAATGACAGGGCGATGAGCAAGTTGCCGGACAGATCTCGCTGATATAGCCCGCAACAACCAAAAGACCAACTGGGGTGCGAGAATGGTGGGCGCTCAGCAAGCTATTGCAGGCTTCGTTGTGCAGGATATTTCCTCAGCTCCAATATAGACATACCGCCACTAACGCCGTATGCCGCGGGGGGGGGGTGATGCACTAGTCTGCGGGGGGCTTCCCAGGCTGTCGATTTGACGTGATGCATTTGGCAGCATGATTGCCAATGCAGTATTTGCTGGCTACAAATACTGCATCCGAGTTTAGAGGCTGCTGCTAAACCAGGTGCATATTCGGGCAGGACGCACCAAGTCCGAGGCAGATCACCGCAGGGCTGCAGCGTTTTCCCATTTACGCGGACCGGGTGGAGAACATCGCGCGTAAAGGCATGCTACAGCGCTCTATCCTGAAACCGCTCTTTCAAAAGCTGGCGCATTCGCCTGGTGTGTGTGCATAAGGATGATGCGGTTGATTGAAACCGGTTGGACTGCGATGCCCATGTCGGGCTATCTGCGCCGAAGGTTCTTTTCAATATGCACTGTCTAAACAGAAACACGTCGTTGGGCAAGCACTTTGGTCAAGTATCCTCTGCCGCACTCCACAAATGGACATACTGCAAGCCCTCGCACCCAGCTTCGTGAATAAACGGTCCCCAAAATGCAGCAACAGCGAGCCCTCATGAGAGGGTGCAGCGATCACCGCCTCTGCTGGCCGGCAACACGTCCAAGAGCAAAAAAACATTTAGCCAGAAGGCGGCATCATCACGACTGTTTGGCACCGGGTGAGCAAGAGGCAATCGCCCCTCTTGGGCTGTGCCGAGCCGTTTAAAGCGCAAGGAGCATCTATCCCCCGCTCGCATTTCCGTTTGTCTTGCATTCTATGGCGCGCATTGGCTGGCACCACGCACATCCTCCAATCGCCCATGCGCTCAACAGCTTCACAATTATACACTTGTAATTAATTAGCAAGCTGCGAGCGTGGTGGGACGATGCGCCCGCTACAAAAGGCAGCGGCTATGCTGCTGGTAACTGAACTCTCCTTCCCCTCCCCTCACTGCCTCCACTTTGCCTTGTTTGTCTGGTACCTTCCTACCTTCCGTTTGTTCTGCATTTCTATAATTAAGCTTTTCCCGCACCTTTTACTACTTGTCCTTAATTTTTGATTTCTGTTTACTTGTACTCACCCGCCGGACCATGTCGGACAAAGGCTCTGAATCCCAAGAGCTAATGCACATCGAAAAGAATACTGCCGCTGCTGTGATGACCGAAGCATCTGTAGGCGACGACAGCTCGGAGCCAGCTTCTGAGCACCACGGTTAGCCAACTGTCCGGTGGCAAGGTGCTCACCCGCAAGGAGCTCTGGGCATGGTACATCTATGGCGCCGCGGTAAGTAATCCCTGGTGAGAAGTCCTAGCTGGCACTCTGGCACCCTGTTTTCTGTGCATGGACTGCGGAAGCTGTTGGCATCCCTGTTTATTTCCCCTTTGTGCACATTGGCGTGTCCTGTTCCTGGTCGGGGGCACCTGTTTTGCTTTCACCAATGTTGTACGAGTTGCCAGAGAGCAGTACTTTGCTATGATCACCGACCAGGGACAATTTAGATCCTGGTGTCTGTATGGTGGATTTCCCTACGCTCTGTCGGCAGCCGCAGCCAGATATGGCCTTGCTTAGAAAAAAAGAATGCCCTCATGAGTGACAAAACAAGCGAGGCATGGTTTCCACATGTGAGTGCATAGACATATGCGGATCGACATACTGCATTCCTAAGACTTGTTTTCCGACACGGAGCTCACAGGCCAGATAGTGCTGTTAAATGTAGACTGAGCCGTTCAACACCAGCGTCATCGGCCTTTATATGTCGACAGCGCTGAATCTGATGGCTGCCATGGAGGGCTACGAGCTTGATCACACAACCAGATGTGACTACGATGTGACCAACTACAAGTGCGACTTTTGGTGGGCTGGGGGCTGGATTGACACAGCCAGCTTCCCCCTGTACATGACAACCATCGCCAGTCTCCTCCAAGCATTGCTCTACATTGGCCTTGGAACACTCGCCGACCACTCAAACTACCGCAAGCGCTTCCTGCTGTCTCTTTGCTGTGCTCGGTGGTGCATCGTGTATCTGTCCTGTTGGGCGTTCGGCAGTCGTCCTTGATTGCTACTGCCGCTGCTCTATATATCCTGGCAAGCATCGGCTACGGCTGCTCGCTGGTCTTCTACTACGCCTACATCCCGCTTCCTGGCACGTGCCCACCCAAGAACCATCTACCGCAAGCTGACTGAGGCCTACAACGGACTAGCGATCCCCGAGTCGCTGGCCAAGACAAAGCTGCTGAAGCAAAAGAAGGCTGACAAGGATGCGACACATAGCCCTGTTATCGTGGAAGAGTTTGTCACGAACAAACTCTCGGCACTGGGCAACCTGTGGATGAACCTAGCTGCCATCATCGTGCTTGGCATCGGTGTTGCGGTGCTGTCGGTGATGGAGGACCAGATGTATGCCATGATGATTGGCAGCGCTGTAGTTGGTCTGTGGTGGCTCCTGTTCACTGTATATCCAGTGCTCCAACTGCAGGAGCGCCCTGGTCCCGCCGCTCCCTGCCGGCACCAACAAATGGATGTTCCCGCTAAAGTCATTCAAGCAGACGTGCCTGGATGTGTGGAAGCTGCCCGAGACACTCAAGTTCCTGGTTGGCTGGTTCATGCTGGCCGATTCAATGAACACGAATCATGACTGTTACTAGCTTGTTTGCGCAGTCGGTGATCAACATGGATGAGACGTCGCTGGCAATTGGCGTGCTGATCGCACCGATTACCTCGATGATCGGTGCATTTGGGTTCTCGCTACTGCAGGAACGGTTCAACTACCGGACACGCACGCTCATTCTTGTCGTTATCTTCATGAGCTCTCTGCTGGGCATCTATGTTATTATCGGATTTGGCACGACTGCCTGGGGATTCAACCACTCGGCCGAGTTCTATCCACTTGTCGCATACTTTGGAATAATCAATGGTGCGTCGATTGCACTGACACGTGCCCAGTTTGTCGAGCTGTGCCCGCCTGGCATGGAGGCAGAGTTCTTCTCGCTGTTCCGCATCACCGACAAGGGGTCGGCGTTCATCGGACCGCTGGTTGCTGCTGGGATCAACACCGCCTCGCACAACCTGCGCTACGCCTACGTGTGGTGCTTTGCGCTGTTTTTCGTCTCTGGTGTGTTCTTCTTCTGGTGCAACCCTAAGAAGGGGCGCGAGGAGGCAATCGAGCTGGGCCGGCAAAACGGCTTCAGTGAGGAGAATCTGGGTGCCAAGCCCAAGGCGTTCTTGTAGAGACTACTCCCCCCCAAACATTTCACCTTGTTACCACTAGTTTTAAGCACACTGTTGCGCCCCTACCAGGCCTGCCTACTGGGCGCTGCCAGGGCTGTTTCCTGAGTTATAAAAAACATGCGGGTCTTGGGTTTCCTAACACAGCTGCCGACTATCTTTTGTATGTGGCGAGCTGTAACCCCAGCGGGTGGTCCAGGCCGATGTCAAACCTGACTGGCACCCAAATGCAATGGTCCATCATTGGTCTGCTCCAGACCGTCCGAATCATGGCCGCGGAATGCACTTGCGAGATCCATACAGGACTGACGCCTTGTAAGCCAGTCTGAAGCTATGGACTGCATATTTCCCAGTTTAAAGTAACTTTTCCATCCAAAGTAAAATGCAGCACTGTCCGATTTCGCTTCCTTGTTCAATTTGGCATTTTTCATCCCTTAGAACTACAATCTTTATTTGCAAAAGGTCTCTTTCTCAGCAGCCCCTGGCCTTGCATCTATGGCATTGCGACAGAGCCGTTCAACACTACCATTGCTGGTTTGTACATGTCGACAGCACCGAGCTTATTGGCGGCCATGGAGGGCTGCAAGCTGGATCACATAACCCTGTGTGACTACAATGCAGCCAACTACACGCGCGACTACAGGTGGACCGGGAGATGGGTAGACACCACCAGCTTTCCGCTGTACATGGCCACCATCGCCAACCTGATCCAAGCCATTTCTGTACATTGCGCTGGGCACAATTGCCGAATCTCTTAAGTAATCGCAAACGCATGTCGCTGGCCTTTGTCCGGACTCAGCGGCGCGTCCATGCATCTGCTTGCTGAGAGTCACAAAATCATCAGTGACTAGACACTGCTGCTGTTCTATATATCCTGGCAGGTATTTGCTACAGGCTGCTCGCTGGTATTCTACTATGTCTACATTCCACTACTGGATGGGTGCCCACCCGGGGGCTATCTACCGCAAGCTCACTAACTCATACAGTGCCACTGCGGCACCCTTACACTTGACAAGGACAAGGTTGTTGAAGCCCCCAAAATGGTCGAGCACGATGCACACCACCCAGCGCCAATCGTTGAGGAGTTTGTCACAAACAAAATATCGGCGCTCGGCAACCTGTAGACTAAGTCCAGTAGCCATTATCGCAGTTGGTATTGGCATTGGCATTCTATCGGCCATGGGTGACAACCAGCTGTATACCATGATGATTGGCACCGCCATCGTTGGCATCCTTGGTGGTGCCTGTTCACCAGTATATCCAATGTCTCGAACTCAAGGAGCGTCCCAGGTCCGCCGCTCCCTGCCGGCATCCAACAGGTGGCTGTTCCCGCTAAAGTCGTTCAATCAGACGTGCCTGGGATGTAGCGGAAGCTGCCCTGAAGCATTCAAGCTCCTTGTTCGGCTGGTTCATGGTGGCTGATTCGATGAACATGATCATGACTGTCGCCAGCCTGTTTGCACAAGCCGTGATCAACATGGACAAAGACCAGATGGCAATCGGTATTCTGATTGTCCCAATTACCCCGATGATCGGTGCATTCGGGTTCTGGATGGTGCAGGAAAGGGCTTTAACTACCGGACACGCACCCTAGCCTTGGTGGTGGTTGGCATGTACGTAGTGCTCAGGTGCCTATCGTGATGATTATATTTGGCACTGCCGCCTGGGGACTCAACTACTCGACCGAGTTCTATCCACTTGTCGCATACTTTTGGAATAATCAACGGTGCCTCGATTGCACTGGACACGTGCCCAGTTTGTCGAGCTGTGCCCGACCTGGCATGGAGGCAGAGTTCTTCTCGCTGTTCCGCATCACCGACAAGGGGTCGGCGTTCATCGGACCGCTGGCTTGCTGCTGGGATCAACACCGCCTCGCACAACCTGCGCTACGCCTACGTGCGGTGCCTGTCGCTGCTGTTCCTGTCAGGTGTGCTCTTCCATTGGTGCAACACAAAGAAGGGCCGTGAAGATGTGCCCAAGATGAGCACGCTTTCTGGTGTGACCAGGCGACGATCCTGCTGGGAAACCAAAGGCGTTCTTGTCATCGAAAAATAGATCTTCCAAATTGAATAGAAATTTGAAAGTCCGAATCTCGCTTATGCGTGTGTCTGCACCAGGAACATCAGTCTTGACACCATTCTATGCACCCAATTAGATCTGTCGATGTACGGCATCATGCCCGGGCCATGCAGCCTCGGAACGGAGGTTTTCCACACACCAAAAACTTTCCCATCAGGCAGGCATCGCTGATAAGGGATTATATGGCGGATAGCATGTGCCATGGGCGATAGATAAGGTGTTCTCCGCCCCGACTCAACAATGCACAGCAGCAAGCTGGATGGCGTTGCTCAAATCACATGGCGGAGGTGCGCTGGGCGAAGCCTCCCACATGATGGCAAGCACCGTCATTGTATTGGCATACAGCGCCCTTCATTTTTCAGAAACACAGGCCAGCTATTGCCAAGGAGGAGGTGGGAGGAGGTGGCAGGTGCAGATCCTTTTTTCGTGTGGAGGATGGGCCACAAACGTGCTTTGACATTTGAAACCCCGGCCCGAAGCAGGATCCATTTTCTTCTTAGGGACGTGCGATTGTCGGAAGGAGCTGCTGCATGCGCGATGTGCGGACCATTCGGAACATAGCCGTACACGAGTGGTTTTTTGGGTCAGTCGCGAAGCTTTTTCAAATGCGAGCGAGGGGCGGCGCTGCAGGAGGCCAATTACACTGCGATCTTCGGCAAAAGCTGGGTTATAAATAGGTGCTTTTATGTGGCCGTGCCATACCATGGAAGGACCCACCTCGGTCTGTCTCCCAGATACATGTTGACGATCCGCCATGTGTTTGTTTTGACCAGCAAAGGGTGTGGGGTGCTGGCCAGCTTTGTGATTACGTAGCAAACAGGGAGAGAGCCTGCTGGCCTCAGATGACACGAAAGGGGGCTCTGAGAAAACCACCTGTGGCCTTCATCTACGCACATCCCCCTGGCCACACAAGGTTTGCATCCGCCACATGAATGGCACCACCTAGGCGGGATTTTTATCTGTCAACAGGAAAATCCTTGCAGGCGTTGTTTACGATTTCGGCATTCCCCGGCATGAGAAAAAGCTCCAGGGTACATAAGGCAGGGCTGGTGGCGAACAGGAAGCATGCTCCCCACTCTTCCCCTTCCCCTCTACGCTTTTATATAGCACCATTTTAGGCATCTTACATATTTTAGCCACACTTTCATACACCATGAAGTGCAAAACCTGCGAGTTCGAGTGTGCCTCTGCCGACCTCTACTTTGACCACCTCCTGTTTGACGCCCGTCACCACGAGATCCTCCAGCAGCGGATGGAAGAGCTGGAAAAACACGAGTCGACATACATGCGGCCGGCCAAGGCATACAAGCGCGCTAGCCTGGTTATTATCTAGCTCCATCCAGTGCCCTTTGTGTATATGACATCCAACCCCTCGCAAAAAAACCACCTCTCATGTGTCTCTTCACCCTTTCATCTGTACAATCATCATCCAGCTCCCTTCCGGCTCCCTTTACCCAATTGTATACCTTCACTGACACTATCCACTGATATCAAGAACTACTTCTTTTTTTCTTTTAAAAAAACAAATCAGCATCTTTCACCACCAACATCCTGACTTCTTTTTGACTGGAGTCGCAGGGAGAAGGCAAAACAAAAACACTGATCACGCGCCTGCCATCCTGCATGTACTGACACCTGCTTTCAAAAATGACGTGTCCGACGAATTAAACATGTTTGTTCTGCAAGCCATTGTGCATGCCACGCGCATGCCTTTGTGCATTGGGCATACCAGTAGTGGAGGTGTGTATGCGCATTTCAGATATATGGCAAAAATTGGAAGGCGATGAGGGGCAAACCAACCAAAAGCAGAAGATAGTCTAGCAATAGCCTTCGCCGTAGTACGCCTGCTCCGGCTTGCTTGTGTCCGAGTCCGATCCAAAGTCCTGGGTCCACTTTCCGTTGACATTCGACACGCCCATATACGTGACGTTCGGATCAACGATATTCTCGTAATGCGGCGGGTCTTTCATCCACATATCAAACACCTCCTTGGCGCTTGCAGCGGGCGCATCAGCAATGTTTTCAGGCAGCTGCTGCAAAGTTGAAGCCGTTGTTGCGCAGTCGCTCGCCGACGGGGCCGTAGTTCTCATCGCTGTGGGTCATCTCGCCAACGCGTGCCTGGTACAGCGAGTGCTCGTGGGCGGCCTGCGTGACAGCCGGGTGCAGGGCAAGCGCGTTGAGGCCGACGCGCCGGCGCTCCTTGTTCACAAGGCAGAGGATTTCGCGCTCGTAGTCGGCACCAGCACTGCCGTGGTGCGAGGGAGTGTCGTGGGAGGCTTCGGGACGCCCCTGCGAGTTGCCTGCTCGGTGTGTCTTGGATCGCCATACAGAACATACTTGATTACCTGGGTGAGGTGGTCCCGGCGGGCCAGCCGCAAGGGGTGCCGCCTCACTTGAAAGCGCCATTAGAGTAGCTACTGAGGCACTAGCCAAGATTGAGAGCTTCATAATACTTCAATACGGGATACCGTCAAAGCAGAAGGAGAAGGGAGGGGAGGGGATATGCGAGGATGGTGAGGAGTAGCTACGAAAATAGTGCAAGGGAATAGATAAATCTATTTCCAAAAGAAACAAAAGAGGGAGTGGGATGGTTTATATGGACAGGAGGGAGACGTAGGTGTTTGTCGATGTCTTGAAGGCCCGAAGAGGGAGGATGGCTTCAAATGTAGTGCGAAAAAGAGGGAGGGGAGGAAAGTAATATTTTCATTTTGTAATGCTGGGTCATATAAGGACCGCCAGCAAGACACAAACTGGCCACGGCCAATTCCTGGAAGGCAAATAAACGAGGGATTTGGATAGTCGTGGCGGAGCAGCAGTCTTGTTGGCTTTTAGATGATACAATATGAGATGTGCACAATAGAGAATATCTTGTCTGGATACATCGATTATGTGCACAGAACAAACGGACCATGCGTCGGCGCCAAAAGAGGGAACATATTGAGCAGTCCCAGTCTGGCCTGGCTGCGGGCATAAGCAAAGTCAAGGCATGGCGTTGGCTTGTATTTGGTAACTGTCTGCGCTGGATGTATGTTGAAAAATGGTCATTTTTCCAAGCGTGGCCTACAGTGTAGATGTGTGGGGACAGCAAGGCTTCTGCCGCCTCCGAGCAACGTTGTTGTGCAGTAGCGCCGCACAGGTGTCGTCATGGCGGGAGCTCGGGCAGCGGCCAGCAGTAAAGCGAGCCAGGCGCCGTGCCAAAGCATGGAAAGAAAAAAGTAGGGACCAGCCGCCTTGGAGAGCGACATTCGCCGGTCTGGGAAGGACTTGCAGAGCAGCGTATTGGACGCCACAGCCGGGCGCAATTTCCGCCACAGCCCAGGCGCTGTGATTCGATCGGCTCAGCCCTCGCTTCAGTTTTTTGGGGACCAAGGAGCCAGTCGGAGCACGACTGCACTGCGATGGGTCTACTAGGAATTAAAGGCGCTCCGAGCCCACCACTCGGCCTCGCACTGCTGCAGCTGCACGATAGCCGCGCAGCAGGAGCCTGAAAGCAAAGGCAAGACTGGTCCAGTAACACGTGAACGCGGGGCCAATGCTGGCAAAAGAATTCCCGGAAGGGGAATTAGCAGCGAATCGCCGCCCGCCATCGCGGTCCTGGCTGCAGGTGGCTTTTGGCGCGGCGGGTGCATAATGTGATCGTGTATCGGGGACATGAGCATGCGGCCCAGACCAGGAAAAAACGCTCGGGACGGCGAATATGCATTGGATTTCAGATGTCAGCACGTAGCAGGTGCGTGTGGGGCAGGTGAAAAGGAAAATATCCTGCCAGTGCGCCAACTAGAAGCCGCATATTTTTGCAGCCTGGGACGGTGCTTTCTGCATTTGGCCAGATGGACTTCAGAAAAAGAGACAGCATGGGATTTTGGCGGGCGGAGGATTGCGCACCCGTGGCCCACCAAAAGGGCTTATCAAGAGTGGGGGCAAAGTGTCAAACGGGAAACGTGGGATCGACTGTTTGTCCTGGGAATAATAATGCCGTACGCTTGTAGGCGCGGACCAGTGGTTGGGGGAGCGAGGCGCCAGCAGTCCTGGTAGGTGTGTGGGCAGCACTTCAAGCAACACGGGCCAATTGCGCGCTCCGGTATGCCCTTTTTCTGGCTCCTTGGGCATGGCATCTGAAAGACGCGTAGGAAAGGGGGCGGGGTTAATATGCGGTCTGCCCTTCCGGCTTTCCACGAGGGCTGGCCTCCTTTGGGCGCTTTGGTATAAAAGCCAGCCAGAGCGATCTCTGCGGCGAAAGAGCGCCCACCCTTTTGTCCCCTTTCCGCCGCATTCTCTGCTGACTTTTGTCTTTCGATATCTTCACAAACTTTTCCACAAAAATGATCAAGTGCGAGTGCTGTGGATTCGAGTGCGACTGTATGGATCTCTACTACGACCATATCATGTTCGACAACCGCCACCACCTGCTGGCGCAGAACGAGCTGTACAATACAAAGAAGAAGCGCAGGTCCGCTTACAGGTCCGCCTATAGCTCGCGCAACTCGAGCACCAGCACCAGCAGCGTGCAGGCCGAGAACGCCATCAGCGCCAGCCACAGCTACCTGAACGCCGAGGTCTACTAGGACAACCCACCCGCCACCGCCGCCCTGTACCATAGCAACCCATCCTTTCCTCACGCACATATACTCTAGCTCTCCCTCGTGGCTGATAGAGCCCGCACAGCCCTGGCCAGCGTGGGACATGTTTCCCACGCTTTCTAGATTGGCTCTCCACGCTATTTTTGTACAGTATTTCCAATAATATTTCAGACCCAGGCCCCTGCTGTATATGTGGTGTTATGCCTGCGCGGGGAATATGTGTTTCTTCATTTTCTCGCCAGGTCGTCTGGTCTCCGCCCATCGCACTCCCAGGAAGACTGGATCGTGCATTGCGCGCAAAATAGGCTGTCACCTGGCCAGTGTGTGACAGGTCCAATATGCGGAGTGACTATGCGCGAAAAATGCCCGTGCCACGGTCACACAAAATGATAGATAAGGAGTGCGTCTCGTGGCAAGGCAGAGCCCAGCTGATAACCCCAAATACGAGGCCAGGAGCCCATATGCGGTTCCTGTTCCTGTGCTACCGGGTAGCTCCGGTGTAGGCTGAAACCCGCAGAGCTGGCGGGCGCACAAAATGGGCGCTTGAGTGGTCAAAAGGGGGTTGATGTAGATCTGTGTCAAGATTTTGCCATAGAGAAGGTTAGGAAGATATCTCGGCTTTGGCTAGCGTAGCACCTGGACGCTCCGAGCACGGCTCTCCTCGCTGTCGCTGTCGCTGTCGCGGTGGCGGCCAGGCCCCGCACTTACTTGCTGGCGTAGTACTCTTTGAGCTTGGCCTCGCGCCACCGACGGATCTCCTCCTTGAGCTCGGGCATCGGCTCCAGCATGTCGACCGTCAGCGGGCTGCGATTGAACGGGTCGCGCGGGTCGCTCAGCAGCTGGCCCTTAATCGACGCCAAGTCCATGATGGTGTCCGAGGTTGGCAGGCGGACTGGGTCGGTGATCAGCGAGGCCAGAACCGGGTCAAGATACGCATCAGGCGCCTCGTCCTCAAGGAACTCGATCGCATGCGAGTCGACCTTGGCCTGCTTGCAGTTCTCAGCAAACTCGAGCAGGCGCGCCAGCGACTCGGGGCTCTTGAGCGAGATGCGCTCCAGGATCCCGTAGGCCTTTTGGAACAGCTCCACCGAGTACGAGCGGTCGTCCTCGACCACGGCGGTGACAAACCGGTCAATGGCTTGCTGGTCCTCGGCATCGGTCATTGCGTCGTCCGAGCCGTCAGATTGGCGCGGGAGTCCAAGGTGAATGTACACACTGGTGAGCTCCGAGAGCAGGACGCGCGGATTGAATGAAAACCGCTGCTGCATATCGCGCACACGTAGGTTCGAGCACTTGGGGCCAGCAAGCTGGTCCAGGTTATAGTTGAGCATGGCTGCCAGACGATCGACGACTTCGCCAGCCTGGAATGGCCGCGGCACCTGCTTGACTGAGGAACGCCAGCATATGCACCGTCTCGTGGGCCAACGACACGTACGACCTGGCGATGCGCTCGGCATCCTGCAGACGCTGGGCACGGTCCCCAGCCTCGTCTTCGCCAGCGCCTGGCTGCTGCTGGCTCGGCTGGCTGCTTCTCGAGCTCGCGGATATCCTGCCAGCTTGCTCAGAGACTCGTCGAGGAGATACGTTGTGTCGGTCATCAGACGCGGCCACAAACTGCTCAATGACCTGCTGGTCACGGTATGTGCTGCCAGTCGTCGCCGCAGTGCTGGATTCACGGTGGCTCTGCGAGAAGAACTGCTTGGTGGCCACAACGTGGCTGCGTCCACGCGACCACAGCGACCGTAGCGTACGTGCGATGTAGTATCGGATATTGAACTTGTCGTAGAACTGAGAGCTGGCGCCTGTCTGTTCAATATCCACGTAGAACCGCAGCAGAGCTGGTACCAGATACGCCTTGGCAAACCGGTTGCTGTCGAGGATGTCGCGGAACTGGTAGACTTGCTGGGTGCACCCACAGGTCATCGCGGGGCAGATTGCCACCCAGAGTGTCAACATAGTCGTCGTCCTCGCGCGGATCACGGTACGTCAGCATATGCAGGACATCCACCAGCTTTCGCCTTCAGATACGGGTTCTTGATGTACGCTGGGCGGGCCAGGAACGTAATCAGGAACAGGGGGATGATGTCGTCGAATGTGCGCAGCTCGCCAACACCCACCTGCGCCGTGCTGTCAGTCAGCGTGTCAGGGTGATACGTGACGATGAACACGATGAATTCGATCGGGTCCTCCTGCCAGGAATTCCGGCAGCATGCGCCACGCCTCTGGAACCGACGCCTCGCCCTCATCGGTGGGCATTGCAAACGGCCTGTGCGGGTACTGGCCATTGGCATCAACCTGCCGCAGCAGGAACGCCATGGCGAATCTGTAGAAAATGACCATGCTATTGAGTCGCCGCGGGTCAAGCACCTGCGCATCCATCGCGATCTTTTCGCGCTTCATGCCCTTGAGCTGCTCCTTCCACCGCTGCATCGCCAGCGGCAACGATGCACGCTGCTCAGGTGGAAGCAGCTCAGGCATGCGCTCAATCCGCTCGACTTCGCCTCGGAACCGCGACAGCTTGCTCAGAATGTCCTTGTACTGGCTGAGGATCGAGATTGGGCCGAGGTGGAGGGCGTCCGCCGTGGCAAAGAAGCAGTCGGCAATGAATCCGGGCATCTGCTTGTCGCCCAGCCCCTCTGTCTCCTGCTGCCGCCGCTGCAGATACGCGTCTGCTGCCGACTGGTCAGCATGCAGCCGGGTCAGCTCGCGCCAATATGTGCCAATGTGGCTCTGCGCGTCGTCCAAGCCGGCAGGCATGGTCTCAGAGCTGCGAGTAGCGCGCAGGGAGATCCAGTCGGCATCCACCCGATCCAGCTTCTTCAGCTGAGGGTCACGGGTGAAGGGCTCAGACAGGCGCAGCCATATCGAGGCCAGGTTGTCAGCAAACCCGTTGTCGACAACCTTGTCGCGATCCACATGCATGCCTGAACGCAGGGCATTGGTTGCCAGGGTGCGCAGCGTGTACTGGATAGTAGCTGTCCGTGCCGGCACGCCTGAACGTGCCACCAGCTTGTAAAACACGTCAAACAGGGCTCCCTGCACGTACTGGACTGTCGAGCGGATGCTGCTGTGGAGTGCGTTGCGCTCTTCGCGGTTGCGCTCTGGTGCATCGGCGTAGTAGTTGCTGATTATCTCCGGGTTGCTGGTCGGGAAGGCGCTCAGTCGACAAGAACGGGACCTAGCGCTGTGCCTATCTGCATTCGCCGCCCGTTGCAATCCTCGGGGTCGAACGTCGGCATCTGCGGGATGGCCACGCAGATATCCGCGTAGGCAACCAGCTCCTCCAGCACTGCCAGAATCCTGCGGAAACCAGGCTCAAGCAGAGAGCGGTTCTTGCGCACGATTGTCCGCAGACCCAGCTCGGCAAACACGGGCGCAAGCACTTCGGGCAGCCCATCGTTGGCGAACCTTTTGATAATCTGGTCAAGCAGGCCCTGCGGCAGAGCAACGCCCGACTCCGGTGTCAGGGTCAGCGAGCAACCCGTCTACCAGAATCTTCTGGCCTGGCCTGCCAATGGCTGGGACGACCATGTCGGGGAACTGCAGCGACAGGCCCATGTACGACACCAGCAGTGCCTGCGCGCCCTGAAGAGCGCTGACACGAGCGCCACGCACTGCCGGGTCCAGTGCCCTGCCTCTGGCGCCAGTCAGGTTGCCGACCACATTGCTGACGCTGCGCCAGCTATTGAGCATGTACTCGAATGTTCCAGGACTGCCAGGAATCTGCGCAGTCTCGGCTAGCCGCGCAATCAGTACCCGCTCAAACGACGACTCGAGCGTTATCAGCAGCGGGATGTTCTCTGAGGTGAGTTCATCGGCCACGCCATTCAGGTAGTAGCGGGCTGTGCGCTTTGGGTTTCCTGTCTAAAGCGGGTTGCGAAGGGGAGGGGAGAGGCTTTGAGGTGTCAGGTGCGTATTACGTATGCATGACCTGATGCCATTATTCCGGGGTTCAGGTTTCTGGGCTCTGTGGGCCGACTTACCACTAGCGTGACCTGGAGGATGTTGGAGAAGGCATCGTCCTGCCACTCCTCAAACGTCTTTTCGGGCTACACGGGAGCGCGTGCGCGGTGGTGGTGCTAGTTAGCATGCAGGCGGCATTTATAGTCCTGGTGGCGGAAGGTCTCCCTGCAATTTGCCAGGCTGGTTCCGGCACAGCGCCGTGCCCTGTACCTTTGGTGTAGCCATGCTCTGCGTCCGCGTGTTTCTTCACACAGTATGCCGAATGCGCTCTTGAAAATGAAAAATGGTTTATCAGGGGGTCGTGAGGGGAGAGGAGGCTGCGTCGTCGTCACCACGCGCAGGCAGACAGCCCTGGCCGAAAACGGCTTGATTTTCGCCAGCCCATCGAATCATCAGCATCACAATCAACCAGGCTCTTGCCCAGCCGCTAGTATAGTGCAACCACCACCTGCACCAAAAGGCCTGCCTCTATTTTCCCCTCTTCTTTCGCCCATCTTAACTCATTTAGCAAATATTCTTTTATTTTATTTTTAGAAAGTAATATTTGTAATGGCTACTGAGCTCCGCCGCAAATTGGTTATCGTCGGTGACGGTGCCTGTGGAAAGACATGCCTGCTCATTGTCTTCTCCAACGGAACCTTCCCTGAGGTAAGTTGGTGTGAATTTCCTCCATCTGCTGCTGGCCCTGCCTGTGTGGCTATTGCACAGTATTTCTGCTCTAGCCCTGTGTGCGCTGGTTCGCGTGGCTTTCCTGTATGAGTGGGTTTTTTTTTGCAGGTCGCTCTCTCATCTGGCTGGAACTGGTCCGGAAAATTCATACTCTGTTCAGATTGAAAAAAGCCAGTGGTGGGGGCTAGCCTCGCCAAGCGAGGGTATGTGTGTATATGCTCAGCCAACAGCAGCAGCAGCAGGTCTTTTTTTGCCATGCCTTTGGACGCTGTGAGAATCTACATGCTGCTGTGCGGCGAATTCAAAGCGCAGATTGTTGAAATTGTCGCTCCTTTTTACTGCTCGCCCCAATAAAAACTGGTATACACAAAGCGCCGGTAGCAGCCCCCGCTCGTTTGTTTTTCTTTAGCCTTGCCCCCTCTATGCCTGCCTTTGCTGCCTTTTTGGCAGAGCGTGCCGGTCCTGTCTGGAGAGGCACCAGGAACCGGCTGCCCTTCCCGAAGGAGGTTCAGCTTCACCACCGCTCACACGCAACAGGCCAGTAGCGGCGGGAAGGCTGGTATCGCCGCGCCATTGGTCTTATTCACATGATTACTGACACTGGAGCTTCCAAATCATCGCCTGTGCTTTCCCTTTTTAGGTATATGTCCCTACAGTGTTTGAGAACTACGTGGCAGACGTCGAGGTTGACGGACGGCATGTCGAGCTCGCGCTCTGGGATACTGCTGGACAGGAGGACTACGATCGTCTTCGCCCCCTCTCGTACCCCGACTCGCATGTTATTCTCATCTGCTTCTCCATCGACTCGCCGGACTCGCTGGATAACGTCCAGGAGAAGTGGATATCCGAGGTCCTGCACTTCTGCGCCGGCCTGCCCATCATCCTTGTCGGATGCAAGAGGGATCTGCGTAACGACCCGCGCACCATCGAGGAGCTGAGCCGGAACAACCTGCATCCGGTTACTCCTGAGGAGGTAAGTTTCAGAAATCGCAGCTGGAAGGGCTTGGAACAATTTTTCGCCCCTTTCCTTTGCACGCAGTTTTTTGCTTGCATGGTGCAGAAGGGCGAGAAAGAAGAATGATGGCCGGCCTTACAGCTTGTGTTGTGGATATGCAGTTGAAGGGATTTGCATTTGTGTGATGTTTTCATGTCTCAACCGGCTGGTGACTGAGATCCTTGGACACATTGCTAACACGTCCACACACGCACTTGCTCTAACCCTCACGTTCCTTTCACGGGCCTTTTTTGCTGATGCCGCTGCGTTTCCACTGTCTCACATAGGCCTCTGCTGTCGCGCAGAAGATTGGAGCTACAAAGTACCTCGAGTGCTCCGCCAAGCACAACGACGGCGTCCGCGAGGTGTTTGAGACGGCGACCCGCGCCGCTCTGCTGGCCAAGACGAAGAAGAAGAAGAAGAGCGGATGCCTTGTTCTCTAAGCAGAATTCGGATACAGTCTGAAAAGGAGTCTTTCGCTGCACACGCCCTGCTCTTTCCGCCCGTCCGCACACTCGCCCCGTCCCGCCTGTCTCACCTCTGCCCACCTCTCTCTTGGCCTTGCTGACGTCAAGCCACCCCTTTGCATGCTGTTGCCGCTGTTGCTGTCGTCACCAGTCACTGGGGGCGAGAGGCGGTGCGGGGGAGCTGGAGCCTGTCGGCGTTCATACACCCTATCTTTTTCTATATCATCATTTTGGATAGCCCAAGGATGACAAGTATACGATTTTTGTTTTTTTCCTCCCTTTGCCCTCCAACCTTCCATTTTCTTTTAGTTCTCAACCCCCTTTTAGCCTGTTTTGATCAACAAACACCAACACAACAACCACTAATGAACCTCTCTTGGGCCGCCAGCAGTGCGTGTGCGTTTGTTGTGAAGGGCGAACGAAAGCCTTTCGATGGCAGAGGAGCAAGCCTCCAAAAATATTGTTTTAGCGCATGGGCGCTTGCATGTGGGGGTTGGCGGTTCGGTGGCGCCGGTCTAGAGGGGGTCTGCGGAGTCTCCTTGTAGCGGGCCGGCCGTCGTACTAGCTCCGCCTCCTCCTATTGCCGCCTTTCACAGGGTCAATAGCCCCCCCGCTTCTGGTAGTTTCGCAAATAACCGACTCTGAAGACAGCTGGCAGACATGCATTGAGCTCCTGGACGCCCAGCCAGAGGCGGGAGCATCCACTAAAACACATGCAATAGCGAGCCCTATTCCTGCTTCAGGCTGCTTCGTTTGTCCAATTGTTGTCCATTGCTTCGTAGACAGACACTGAATGCAAGGGCTATTTTTAACTCGTTGCTGCTGTATTCTGTGGGCTTTGTGGAAAGAACGGCAGGGCTAGCGGGGTGACATGGTCTTCCTGCTCCGCATCTGCTCAGCAACAGCCAGCGGAGGGGGTCTGGCGAATGCTGGCTAGGACCACACAACCCCAATTGCCGAGGGGCTGAGTGCCAGGAACATCGCAGCAGCACAGGGTCGTCCGATCCGTCCAGAGCGATGTCTGTCACGGCCTTGCCATTGTGTTCGGAGAGTAACTCAAAGGATAGTGCGAAAATTGGCTAGAAGGGATGGACCAGCATCGAACAACAGCAAAGAAGCGGAGAGGCGCGACATGTAGATCACAGAGTTACAGAACGAGTTTCTGAACAAGCACAGCTATTATGATGTCTCTACTCACACTCTTCCTTTTGACAGCCCGCTGAAGAAGCCAATTTCACTCAATACTTGATGGGAAAAAAATTGAGAGACAGAAAACAAAAGCCCATCACAATTGCCAAAGCAACGTATTGTGTGTGCCTTGGTGTGCATTTGGGAATATGAATTGGGATGGATATGTTGGAAAAACGAAGCACATCAGGCATGCGCAGGGAGGGCGTGGTTTGGTGAGAAAAGCGATAAAAACGGCGACTTCTTGGCCTGGCTGGCTCAGAGTTCGCTCAGGGATTCAACCACCAGATTGGGAAGGGGTCAATCAGGCTTCCGCCTCTTTCCTGCCCTTTGCGTACATATGTTGTGAGATGAAGTCGTGCGCATGCTTCCCTCGCTTCTCTCCTCTCCTCTCCTCCTCTCTCCCTCTCCTGACAACCAGTGCATTTTTCTTGTGGCCTAGAAGCAGTCGCCTTTTGTTGCCCTTTGCTCACTGCACACCATCGCTCAGTCGCCCTTTTCTACATTACTTCTGAGATACCAGGTACGGCGTTTATTGATATTACGCTATTGCGTAATCTACAATCGTGAATGCTATGTGCTGTTGTTCGCTGGCTGCTATGCCCTCCCGCTCTTTGCCTCGTTTCGGCTTTGTCGCACATGGGGAGCCCCTTTTCTTTCTCAGCACCAAGCAAGGAAAGCCGTGCATTTTCATTTGGGCATAACCGGCCGGAGAAAAAGGGGGTAGAGAATGTGTCAATGAGACAGGTCCATGGACTCTGCTCCTCACCAGCATATAGAGTCACCCTCCCACCACTCAGGGCACCACTACTTTGTATTTCCGCCGTAGCAAAAGTCTCTTTTTGAGTTCCCAACCCCCTGGTTGGCAAGTCAGCCAACCCCAGCCCGGCCCTATCTCTGAGTCTACTCCATTCTGCTGGCATAATCTACAATCCACCCCCCCACTGCAATCACACGCCCATCACTTGGCCACCGGCCCTCATTATTTTCAAACCCCGCCAGGGCGAGCGGACTTTGTGTTTAGATAATGCGCTTTTCAGATGTCCCCATTTTCGGCATTCGCATGGGCGATATTGCCAGAAAACCGTAACCCGCCCGGTGCGTCTGGTCTTCGGTGTTTCTGGGCATATGGGTTAGACTAGTTCACTGGGCAAACGCTATCCACCACCAAACCCCACTGTGGACAGCACTGGTGGTCCTGTTGAGCAACACTCCCCTACCCTCCTGCATCGTTGCCTCTTTTTCCCTAATACTCTTTTTCTTGCAACTGTCAATCCCTTTCCTTTTTGGCCCACTATCAACTCTCTTTCCCTAATGCTTGCTGCTTGTTCGACTACCCCCCATTTCGTGCTACAGCAGGTCCTCCCCATGTTCTCAGCACACCTCCCCCACTCGCTATCCGCTCCCTCCCTTCATTCTGCCAGCCCGGACCAAAGTCGAGGGTGCGGGCCTAAGAATATGAGCCTAGAGCGCGCAATGCCAAAAAATCTGTCCGATTTCCCTTGGCTCCCGCAGATCTGCATACTTGCCCCTTCTTTCTCCATGCACAGCAAGCGATTCACCCACTGACGCACATTGCCTCCCCTGTCTCCATTGCCCCACGCCCTGACCTGGCCTGGCCTTCCTGCCTGTGCCTGTGCCCGCTACCGGTCGCAAAACCTGGGATACTCGGGTATGCTTGTTTCATTTTTGGGCTACTTGCTGAACGGCGATTCAAGGCGGATCCCACGTCCAGATTTTGAGCCTCTTGTCTCAGCTCCCGGAATCCAACCTTCCGTCCTGTTTGCTGGCCATTTTCCACTCAATATTTTCTGCACCTTTTTTCTATTCTAGTCTCTTTGTCCCTCGCGCTCTCTTCTCTTAGATAGCCATCACCTCATCGCTGCGCGTGCACGCGGTCGAGTCCTCTGTCGGGTGCAGCACATCAAATCCCACCTTAGCCCTGCCGTGCAGCTCAGGAGCACGCCGCAGAGCTGCTTCTTCCTGCCAACAGCACGTTTTTCGTTACTCCTGCTCTTTCTCTCCTTTCCTCTTGGCTCGCATAGCTTTGCCTCGCCTTTCACTTTCATTCTTTTCGCTCCTTGCTTCTCGATATTGTTTGTCAGCCCGCCCTGCCCCCAATATCGGCCACTGACTTGGCTTACCCTATTTCCTGCTATTCTTTCGCCCGCACCTTCCTCCTTCATCGCACGCCACCTGTAAGAACAGCTTTGCACACGCAGATACTTGTCGCTTTTGTCTTATCTTGTATCTCCTTCTACTCCCTCACTTGCGTGCACATCTACACATAGCTAGGATAGCAGCAGCAGCAGCAGCAGCCAGCAGAAAGCTTTGCACTCAGCACACTTCCTTTTCGCTGACCCCACCTCACATCACTTATTTAGTCTCCTGCCTTTCAGTTATTTCGGCCTTTCGGTTATTGATGTGCTCAACGGCGACGGCAGCAGCAACAGCAGCAGCAGCAACAGTGTCAGCAGCCAGAGTGCATGTAACAGATGTCCCGTTCTCCCAGCCAGCCCCGAAACGGAAACCCTATTAAACGAACGAAAAGTATGTCATCCACCCTGCCCTGCTCCAAAGCAAAATTTTCTCTCACTCAAACACTCACAGCATGTTCCCCCTGTCGGCTTATCCACAACACTTGGCCTTTGCAACTCCCACTATATTGGGTGGTTACGAGGTCGCTTGAGGAAAGAGCAAAAGCAGGCTCGCCTGGAAAATGCTACGCCTCATTTACCTGCACAATTCCAACTGACGATTTTCTTGTTTGCCTCGCTCTTCCTATTCTGCCTTTGGCCATTGCTGGCAATGTGCAGGGTGGGCTTGTTTTAGCCTCGTTGGCTAAAAATGAAAAAGGATGACGAAGGGGGAGGGGAGCCTCAGCTAATCCCTGCTTGTTTTCTTCTCCCTCCCGTGGTCTCTCTTCTGCCATCGTTGCCGACGCTGTCGCTGGCATATAAGCAAAGCACATTTTCATCATCTCAATCACCACATCTACGTATCCCCATATACTATTTTAGGTCTGAGCAAGCAGCAACAATTGCACTGCGCGGCAGCCCCATCAGTACCTGCTGACGACGCTCAATCGGTGATGGATGAAGAATACGATCTTGAGCAGAATGGCGGCGTGTCGCGACACAACCACCAAGAATACCCACATAATCCCCATCCCCATCCCCATCCCCACCCCATCCCATCATCAGCATCAACGTCAACATCAACAGCACCAAGACGGCCACAGCAGTAGCACCACAAACAATAGGTCGGCATTCAACCCCAACACCACCATTGCTGGATTCGCGGTGTCAGCACCCACGCCACCCCTTGGCTCGCTAATGTCGCTCGTAGACTCGCCACCTGGCCAGAGCACCGCTATCGAGCATAGCCAGTCAACATTTAAGGCTGCCAACATTTTCTCGTGCCGCATCCGAGAGAATCTCCGCGCCGCCGCAGCGCGCCCAATGCACGCCATTCCACCGTCTTTCTGCAACCCCCACGACTCCTTCGACTCCTGTATTGAATATACACAGCGAGGCAGCGCACCCATTTGGCCACTCTGAACAGGCCAAGGGTAGCGATATCGAGGAGGAGCGGGGCGGGACAACTACCGAGGGTGCAACGGCTGCTCACTCGGCATCCACAAGCAACATAGGCACTGTGGCAGAGCCCAGTATGTCCGTACCTGCTGGCAGCAGTACCACAGGCAGGCCCACGGCCACTAGCACACCAGGCGACCTGGACCACGACACGTCGGCAGCGGTGGCATCGATGTCGCTGTCACCCAGGCAGATGATGGATGTCGAGGAGGACACTGGGTCTGGTATGCATTACTCATATTCGGTTGCCGAACAATCAGCCGGCCCACGCGCATGGGCCCTGGGCCAGCCACCGGCGCCACCGGCGCCACCAGCCAGCAGCGGCTCAAGACCCAAGGCCACGTCAGTGTCCATGACAGACGCTCCGCCCCTCGACCCATCTCCTGAGATGCTGCACTCCGTGCTAGACCGGGTACAGCGTATCGAGCAGTACTGCGAGAGCTTGATGGTCACCCAGAATCGTCAGTCGCGCCAAATGGAGGCTCTGGATACGCTGGTGCGGCAGCTGATGATGTCCAACATGCAGACATCGCCGCCAGGACCAGCCCCGGGCCTCTTGGTCGACCCGTCGCGACCCTCTACATCCCAGCAGCAGCAGCAGCAGCAGGTTCTGATGCAGCAGCAGCAACTGGCAACTAGGCGACCAGAGGTGGCAGGTCGCTTCCATTCACAGTCGTTTTCCTCACCAGTATCTGGCGCGTCGTCTTCCTCAGTGTCTACTGGACTAGGTATTGTTGCAATGGAGCCTGTGACTTCTTCGCATGCAGTGCCGCAAACAATCAGGCAGCAGCACCATCACAGGCAGTCTGTAGCATCAATGCTAGGCGCACCCGTGTCACCGCGCGCCAGGAACAATAGTGTCTCTGGACATCAAGGAAGGCCAAGGGCGGAATCAAGCCAGCCGCACTATTTCCAGCCTCTGGAGCCGCTGCCACAACCGCCATTGCCGCTGCAGCAGCAGCAACAGCAGGCCAATACCAATGTCTGCATTCCGACAGGGACTGGCTGGTAATATGGCAATGCAGCCTGGCCACATATCGCCAACGCATGGCCGGCTACGCGCCCCTACGCAATCGCGAGTGGGCAAGGTTGCATCGCCGCCAGGATACCGCACACCTGATGTTCTGAGCCGACGTGGATCGGTTGGGCAGCCTCACAGCCAGCACCAGCACAGCTCGTCATGGTCTCCCCCTGGTCCCCACCATTCACTGGCACAGGCTGGCCACGGCAGCGGACATTCCCCGTCACAGGACGACATGGAGGCTCGGCAGCATGTTCCATATACCATCTCCCAGCAGCTGATGCGGGCATCTGGCCAGTCACCGCACCACTACTCGCCGCGCCAGCCACCCGGCATGTTTCCAGCTGCTCGTCAATTGGAGATGCCTTATGGCGACCGTGCTGACAAGGAGTCGGCGTTACGCGCCAAGCGGCAACGCACCCACGAGGCGACTGATGATACAGTAGATCGTAAGCCTCATCATCACTCTACGCCGGCTGGAGGCAGCGCCGAGCCCGGGATGCGCGGCAATCAGACGCTGGACGTCAAGCCACGCGTCCGCACCATGAGCATGCTGGAGCCAGCCCACGCACCACCATCCAGCCAAATGCAGCTGCAGTTTGTCAGCACGACACGTGGAAACCCAGAGGCGCAGCCAAATGCCAGCTGGTTGTCGTCGCAGCGCCATTACAAGAATGCGCTGTTGCATTTGTTGACGCTGGAGTCGTTCTACCCAAGTGATGTGGCCATGCTGAACATGTTCCGTGCCCAGGGCGACTTTTCGAAGTGACCAGATCGACGCACACAGTGCAGCCCTGCTGTCTTGGGCGCGAAGCTGGCTGCGCTACAACCGCAACGCAGTCCTGCGGAGCACGCTGGAGAACAAGGCCAAGGCTTCGTTGACCCAGTTGGCAGAGACACTGCAGCACGACATGCACGCAGAGACTGACTTTACTACGCCTAAAAACCTACGCAGGTGTGCGCTGTTGCGGCTTATATATTTCCAGTGGCAGTCGCTGAACAAGCTCGGCACAAAGAGCCAGTCGATGTATCGTGATTACGAGAACAGACTGCGCGAAATAGAGGCTCTGCCGACGGAAAAGGAGCAGGAGGCCGAGTGGCAAAGCATTTTGCGCGAGGAACAGGACCGCCGTCTGGCACTGATACGCGAAAGCAGTCGTATCGGCATTCCAGTGGTCTTGACAGAGCAGCCGCAGCCCCAGCAGTCTGTTCTTGGACCTGTGGTGAAAAGTGATCCGCCGCTTTCCACAGCAGCCGCACCCGCAGCAGCAGCAGCACAACAACAACATCACCACCGCCACCACCAGCATACCTGGGGCAGCGGACAGGCCTGCTGCTTCGTCGGCCCAGCCCTCGCAGTCTTCCAAATCACCAATGGACCTTCCCCGACGCCAGTCATTGGATTGGCAGCCTGTATCATCAGTACAGTTTGCATCGCCTCCACAACAGCAGCAGCAGCAGCAACAACAACAACAACATCACATCCCAAATCCCACATCCCCATCATCGCCAGCAACAGCAGCAGCATCCATCAGGCCTTCATCCGCGGTATTACGCTGGTGTACCACCGTCTGCGCAACCCTCGCGCATACTGCCACCACCCTCTCAGGTGTACCATCGAACACCGACGCCTATGCAGCAGCGGCCACATGGCACCCACGAACATGAGGCGCAGCGGGATGACGACAGCGAGATGTCTGTTAATCTGTCACCGGAAGCCCTAATGGGCCCACATGAACACCTAGAGCAAATAGTGTATGCCACCGGACAGAGAGGTGCGACAAACACAGCAACCAACAAAAGCAGCTACCGCCGGGCACACAAGGTGATGCATATACCGCACATCATCACCCGCATACAGTAGCTTATATTACAACTAGCCACTGACTTTTTATTTATACCTTTTTATTCAAGACCCTGATTTATTACATGGCAAAATACACACTCCATACATTCGGTAGAAACAATCGTTAGTTCATAAACACCAGCTCTGGCTCGTCGTTCTCGACGGGCGTATATGGGGGCGGCTCGCAAGGCTCCACATCCTGCGCGTACATGGACCGCACTGGTCGAGAATACCGTGCATTGACCGAGGCGTGTGCCTGGTTGATATGTGCTGACGAGCTCGTAGCAGCAACAGCATTGCTAGCAGACGTGTCTTTCTCGTTGAGCTGAGGTGCGCTGGGCTCTGGGATATCATCAGGAGGGGATCTCTGGTGCCGCTGGCGCTGTTCTCATGGCCTCGGCATCCAGAGTGCCCCTAGCTACATATGCTGTTGGTCTGTTGTTCCAGCCACCTCTGCTGCCGGCCCCGGTACCTGCGCCTTGCAGCCCTGCCGCTGCCGCTCCGCCACCCCGCGTCCATACCACACCTCATGATGTTCCTGCGCACTTAGCGATCCTATCATAGGCATACTAGCCGGGGCCAGACCGCCAGCCGCCACCGACATCTCTGCATCATCAATATTTGGCACAGCATCATCAAACAGTGTTAGGGCCGCTGGTTCTGCGGCTTCCTGGCCCGTCACAAAGCCCGAGTCTACACAGAAATGCGGATTGCGCTTCATCCATGAGACCAGCCAGTCAAAGATTCTCTCGCCTACCCACAGGTACGCAGCCAGCAGCGGCGGATGCATCTTCTTCCGCTTACTCGGATTCCGCTCTACCTCCCTCGCCTGCTCAACCATCTCCTCGACGCACCGAATGCGCGAGTGCATGCGCTTTACGCGCTCCTTAAGGTCTGCTCGCAGCTGCCTCTCCCATAGCTCGCGGATCATCGGGTCTTCGATATCTGAGCCGAACTTAGCCACGGTTTTCGTTACATGGCGCTCTGCCTCTTCGTTGATCTGTGCTATGCGCGCATTACACCATGCCAGCCAGCGCTCCCCCGACTGCACGTTGATGGCTGGCCAGCAGAGCTGCCGCCGCAGTGTCAGGCCTGTGGCACGCCGGATCCCGGCCAGCACCGTCGAGGAGAGCGCTATGATGGCTGTGCCGGCAACTGTGTAGCCAGAGAATATCCCAACCGTCGAGTGATGATAGCGGAAGCAACCGCCCATGCCGCTGCCCTGGTGGCTGCTGCCGTGTCGCGGCCGCCATATGCTCATGACTAATAGTAAAATACCGCCAAGTCCCATTTTCGTGCCTGAAGAAACTTAAAGCATGAAATGTGTTAAGGAGTAATGCTAGTGTGTGTGTGTGTGTGTGTGTGTGTGTAGAATTCAGAAGGTATAAAGGCTAAAAAAAAGGTTGAAATGGGCGTGTCGACTTGTGTTTCGAGACTACTAGTTTCGGGACAATGGTGGCATGGTGCTTGGCGTAATGTCGTTTTTCCGCTCTAAGGCACGTTGGTGATTTATTGATGAGATTATATGATTTAGGGTTTAGAGCTGGTAGAAACTCGGCACAACCTGCAGTGGCACAGCTCTGAGAGCCGCCTGCCAGCCGCACACTTTGAGTGATTGGCAGCCAAGGACTATTTCGCCACCCTCATAACACTGAGGTTTATGAGACATGCAATTTCTGCCCAGCGCACAATATCGCTTGCTATGTATATCTCATCTGCATGTTTCGAATGAGCGCTAATATACACAGCACAGCTCGTCTTCAAGCTGCCCTAGATTACCCGCCATATAGCTCTGCACAGAATGGCTGGCGTCTCGTGGGAGCCAGATATATCCCTGCTCCATGAGCCACCAATGACCAGACTGCGCATCGACTGGCAGAGGCCATTGAAGTGCAAGTGTGCTCAAAAGCCACTAGACATTCCTCCTCGGTATCCCATGAATCGGTCTGCTTTTAGCAATAATAGTCAGCATGTACAATGGGCAAACAGAGACCTCCGTGTTTCTCCACAGAACACGACTGGAATAATACCAGCAATATCTGTATACATGATATACAGCATGAAAACAAAGTGCGGACAAACGCCGATCCAGGCTCCTTCCCTTTGCTCCCTCAGGCAGGCATCTATTTATTTCTTCGCCTCTCGTAATTCGCCATTCCTTGGGTATCTTGCACTGGGATTCCATAAAAGCACAGTTGCATACGGTGGCATAATACAGCACGGAGTTGGTGAGTTTGGAATGAGTCTATGGAAGGTGGTTTGTGCGTTGTCTCTCCTTTCTTGGCACACAAGCACCAGAGAGTGTGGCGGAGGCGGCTTCAGTGAACATGCCCTGTGCTGAGGCAGGGTGGCCAATGTTTCTTGGCAGGAAAGCAATGGCTGAGCAAAGAGGCGAGCAAAGCAAAATACTGGCATTCGAATGGATTATTCCATATAATCCCGGACATCCCTGGGGTCTCACTGCAAACAGTACGGTGCCATCCCCACCTGCAACAATTTGCATTCCACTCTAGCTTTTCTCTATCCAGATATTCGATCTAGCATTCCCTCATTCCCCACATACTATATCCAGACCGTCATCAGCTACATCTGCAAAGCCCAAGGAATATAAAAATGCCAAAAGACACCATTGGCGATGGCCACTCTGGCAAAAATAAGCCGTATATTCCGCACGACAACCCTGTCTTGCCCGCACCTCCCATGTGCCCAGTCGCCATCCGGCACTCGATGTCTGACCTAACGCTCGAATCGACATTCCGCATGGAGCAGCAGTCCAGCTGTCTGTTTAGCCAGGGTGCCAAGGCTGAAAGCATCGGGGGCCAGCCCGAGTCCAACGTGGTCGTTGCGACGCTCAAATTCCTGAACATCACCATGACACAGTGGTTAGTCAGTTGGGATACTATATCGTGGGTGCTCATTGGTCCTCATTTGGCGCGCCGCGGTATGGACCTCGAAGTGCTCTCGCTTCTGGCGCCCGCATACTATCTGGTATCGCTACTGGCCCCCCTCTACCTGTCGCTAAAGAGCCGTGTGCGTCCGTGCTCACGCGAGCGGCGTGCGCTGTGGCTCGACAGTGATGACACAGACCAATCTAGCATGCGCCAAATAATCCGGGATGTTTCTGGATTTCGGGTCGTCGACAATGGTTGTTGTTGTCGCGCTGTTTACTGTGGCTGGGTCTGCGGTGCCTGTGCTCAGCGACCATTGGTCGGCAATTGTCGGCGGCCGGGTTGTTGCTGGAAGCTGCGCTGGCAATCTGGGAAACATCGCAGCCACCTGGCCGCTGGTCGCTGTCGAACAGCGACCTGGGCATACCGCGCTTCATCCGGGCTATCGATGCCCTAGCGGTGGCAAAGTATCGCGTGCTGCGTATTCCGCCACTATTTGATGATTTCGGCTGGATGCACGGGATAATGATGGCCAGCTCCGTGTCTGATGTGCGGTGCGATCCTGCATGCTAGCCAATTGGAAGGCATGTCTGCTCGTCACCATTGCGTGGGGTGGGCTGCTGCTGGTTGCCAATCTTTTGGTCATGGCACCTGGTGTCTGGCAGTGGCTAACAGAGTACGTAATTGGTGCTGCGTCGTGCATCCACGGTGGTTCTCCCGGCCGCACGCAAAGGTGTTCATGCACAGCATGCAGGCGGGCGGAGAAAGCTGATGCCACTAATATGCCCTGGCATGGACTGTTTGGGCTGCGTGAGCTCGACTACTTGGGGGCAGGCATAGCGATCGTTGCCGGTGGTTCTTCTATGGGCGGGTGTGTTCCTGGGATCAGGCGCACGTTACCCATGGACCTCGCCAATCGTACTGATTCTCTTGATTTCGTCTGGCTTGTTGCTGATTTCATTTGTCCTTTGTCGAGCGGTACTCTGCGTGTCGGCCAATAATCGTACACCGCTGGTTGCGGATCCGCAATGTCACTTTGAGCTTTGTCTGCCTGCTGCTCGTGGGCACGGCACACGCCACACATCTGTTCTACCTGCCGCTGTACTTTGTGTACGTCAAAGGAGATCGGCAGATGCACTTGGCGCTGCGCCTGTTTGCCTTATCTGCTTGGGTGGATTCCAGCTGGGCTGATTGTGGACTGGGCTACGCCGCGCTACGACACTTACCGAGTGTTTGTGTGGGTGGGCACTGGGCTTTTGTGCGCTGGTGCTGGACTGCTGGCTCAACTGACCGCGTATTCGCATATCGACGTGCAGATCGCATACCTGGTAATTAATGGCATTGGGATGTGCCTGGCAATCCGTGGGCTCCTGTTCACTGTCAACTCGGCGCGGTTTGTCCATGACAGCATGCCTGCCGCCTTGCATCTGATGCGATACCTGACCCGCTTGGGCCATATCATCGGTGTTGGAATCATCAACTGTGTGGTAATCAGCCACGGGCACAGCCTGTGGAAGCAGTACGGGCACAACGACGGATGGAACATGTCAGATATCACAATAGTGGCGAGTATGCAGATGAAGGAGTCTAATGGCGGAGTCACGTTTGGTAACATATATGATGCCAAAGAGTTCATGTTCTTCAACGAGGTTTTTTGCAGGGCGTTTGCAGTGGCATTCTACATGCTCATTCCGGCAGCTGGTCCTCTCGTTTGTTTTATCGCTGATTCATTCGGCATCTTCCGCGGCCAATATGAAAGATGATATTTGTCGATAGAGGTAGCTGCTACAATCATTAAATAATTATGCATAATGGCAGGTAAATGGTGGTTTGAGGAACGTCAATTTTATGTGCATGGTGGTACACTCCTACATTGCTGAAGTTAATGGACAATCTTGGCCTCAATAATGCAGTGCTGGACTAAACGTGCGGGTATGCAAATATGCCAGCGCTTGTGTACACTGGCTATGCTTGGGATGCGACGACGCAGCCTTCGCCGGCTCCGTGGTATAAATAAGCGTAATCTTCCGTCCGACCCAACTCTGAGTTTGCGCGCACATTCACCGTGAATTTATAAACTAGTCTAAGAGCGATTCACTTTATGTCGCGGCAGACAGAGCAGGCAAGTACCCATTATACACAATGGAGTGGCAGTCCTGCCAGTCGATTACGAGGACCAGGTAGGGATCCGCCGTAGACCTACAACTACTCTGGACCTCAGCAACGCTGCCTCTGACTGGCTCATCCATTTCGTTCGGCTTTGGCACCAGCTTTAGCTCTGGGTATGTACCTGTCGGCATCGATTTCCGGTGGGCACCTGAACCCAGCCATCACCCTGGTCAATGCGCTGCTTGGAAAAGCTTCCCTTGGCGCAAAGTACCTGGATACAGTGCTCCACACAGCTGCTGGCCGTGTGACGAATAGCCAGTTCAGCAATCTCGCCATCGCTATAATATCTCAATTTAATATGCATGTGCCTGACATTGGGTGCCAGTCTGCTTGTCCAAATCAGCACACCAAATTTCGTTTCTAAGGGCAACCAGGTACTGGACTGATAGCGCAGAGCCCAGCAACGCCAACAGCGTAGTGGTATTTAAGCCTCTCCTTTGGTTAGCCTGTTATTGTTGTCATCAGAATATATCCACTGAAGCAATGTTCTGGCATCGCCTTCCTCATTGGCTCGCCAATACGACTGATGTTCAAAGCAAAAGCTTGTTTTTCCAGGCCAGTATGTTACTGTGGGTCAGTCGTGGGCCGAAAAGCTCTGAGTATATTGGGTTGATAGCGAAACTCGCGAGAGGCTGGCACGGAGTGTGATAGTGTGGACTTTCCTGAGCCTGCCCTTTCACTGGACGAACAATGAATCAGCTGCTGAGTACACGGCTTGTGTCGGCAATATCCTTGATGGAAAAAGCAAGCAGCAGATGGAGGACATGCCACTCGAGCCCGAACTTGATGGTTTTCTCAAAGAGCTACATGTACTGAGAAATCAATCCGGATTGCCTGGAGTTTAGCAGATCGATGCATGTACCTGGCGGATTCGCTTACAAACACACCGACAGCATATCTCTACTCTAGGCAAATGCCCATCAGGGGATACGGAGAATGCAGCACAGAAAGTGAGCGGAATGTGGTCCAAAGTCTTGGGAGCACTCTGCCATCTCCCGAACCATTTACGATACGATACTTTCGATGATATGCAGTGGTAGATTATCCATAGCGATGCTTCATACTTCAACGCGTTGGAGAAGGAATGGAAGGGAAGCGAGGTGAGAACGGATCATTTCGCTGCGTACCGCTCATGCTATCTCAAGTACAGCTGCAGCAGGGGCATCGATTGTGGCTTACACCACGTAGATTGCAGCTGTGATACATAACACTCTCTACGCTCATAGCTGATGATGACTGACTCCTCTATGTAGAGCTGGTAGGGCTACCATATGCTACAGGGCCGGAGCGCATCAAGTCAATCTCCACACAAGGATCGATAATGGCCTGTCCTGGAATGCAATAAGAGAAGATCGATGTACTTTAAGCCTACAAGGCGAAGCTTATGCAGCTGAATGCTAGAACAGTACAGTCACATAGTTAAGTGTATATTGGATAATATCAGCGCCGCTTGCCTCTTTGTGGATGTATTGGCTATGCAAAAAGGGAGGCAGGTTGAGCAAACTTGGAATTCTACGAAGAGAAAGCCTATTTATATTCAACACTCGTTTACCAATGACGCCAATAAACAATTGAAGACCGATGAAATGTATTTCCGAGATGCTAACCAAGGACAGCATGTCTCCCAGCCATATGTAAATATAGACAAATCATTATTGAGGAGGATAAGGGGGAGGCGGCTAATCGCTGTGGAGTCTAAATACATAAATGTGCTTGGCTTGGCCATTGTGGCGTCGATGTATAGTTGCCGCATCAGGAGGTCATCAAACCACATATGTTTTGAGATCGCCACCCATCGCAGATCTTTAAGGCAGCAGGCAGTTTATTAATTAAACTAGTACTCGGAAAGGTGTAGTGGATTCTTTTTGTTCGCTATATCCGCTTAGGTTACGGTGGCACAGCAAAAATACTCTACCGGATATAAGGCGGCTTGAGGAGCTAGGGTTTCCATTATTGGTAGTATACTCCTTGAACTCCGAAGCTGATGAGCGATCTTGGTCCCTATAATGGAAATAGCGCCGGGGCAAATGGCAGGCCTTGGGGATTACTGATGCCTCGTAGTCACTATGGGGCAAGCAGGCGGGCATTGCTTCTACTAGATTTGGGTTGCTGTCCTATTACCCAGGGTGCTTCACAGTCGCCCCGGCTAAGCGGAGGTGCACAAATATAGAAGGTGTCCCCCCGCATCTAGGCATTCCCGGCCGGAAAACAAAGATGTAATGTACAGTTTGCAGCTGTGATGTGCGCTCTAGATGTGACGAGAGAGGGAGATTATCGCCGACACCTGGTATAAAATAGTATGAGCTTCTACTGATCCCAGCTCTGAGCATGACAGCATCTCTTGAAATCGTATCCCCTATTGCAAATCCGGCATAATAACCCCCTGTACTTCTATTCTTACTTTCGCCCAGGCCTATTCTCACACTGCAGTCTACGCTAGTACAACGACGCCTATGGCCCATGTTTCAGCATACCTGAGCAAGCAAGTTTCCATAAACACTATGACGAGACTGTCCTGCCAGTCGATTACGACCAGAAGGTAGAGTTCGCCGTAGAGCCACCGAGAGTGGGAGAGCGCATGCCTCTCTTCAACCTCCGCTGGGCATACCGCGAATACACTGCCGAGTTCTGGGGCACCTTCATACTTGCGTTCTTGGGAAAAAGCGCCGTAGCCACAGCTACTTTGAACGTCAGCAACGCTGCCTCTGGCTGGCTCATCATTTCGTTCGGCTTTGGCACCGGCTTTAGCTTTGGGTATGTACCTGTCGGCATCGATTTCCGGTGGGCACCTGAACCCTGCCATCACCCTGGTCAATGCACTGTTTGGCAAAGTTCCCTGGCGCAAAGTACCTGGATACATGTTCTCACAGCTGCTGGGCGCATTTGTAGCAACTGCTACCATGTACGGTGTATTCAAGTCCCAACTAGATATGTTTGATGGTGGCAAGCGGCGATTCCAGGGCCCGACTGGTACTAGTGGTATCTTTGCAACATACGCACATCCCGAAGACAGCAAGTTCTTCTCTGCATTCTCTGAAATTGTCAACACAGGGCTTCTGGTCGCTGGTATTTATGCGGTCTGTGATGAGCGCGGAACACCAGCCACTGGCTTCATGCCCATGGCGGCTGGCGTGGCGATTTTTGCTGTTGCCTGTTGTGCAGGCTGGGCCAATGGTAGTTCAATGAACCCAGCGTGTGATTTCGGACCACGCATATTCTCGACCATCCTGTACGGAAAAGCGCCGTTCACTGCCGGTGGCCACTATTTCTGGGTGCCACTGTTCATGCCGTTTGTTGGTGCAGCCTGCGGCGTGACATTTTACGAGTTCTTTATCCTCAACGAGCCGGTCAAGAAGAGGTGGAGCTAGTGAGTGCTTCATAATTCTATCTGTCGAGCACTCAGATAGCTGTATCATGTAAAACACTGTGCTTTTCTGACGACCAATGAGCCGCGCTTGGTCTCAGGAAGTGCAATTCCTTAGGGTGCTGTTATCAGTTGTCATGTGAGGGGCATATCGGCCACCACCTGGCGAGTGTGCAAAGGACTACACACATCACTTTCTATTATTACTTTTCTATAGATTTCAATATATAGCGTGCCGACTGGTTACTTAGATAAAACACATGCGGACATGAATCCTACCACAACTATAATTTGAAAATACAGCGCCATAGCTACACAATCCATTGGCTATCAACATCAATTATTGCAATCTCCATGGTTCTAATTCAGCCTTGTTCGTCGCTGTCGAAGCACCCGCGTTATTTGGGTCTCGTCATGTGGTGCCAGAATTTCATAGTTGCACCCACATATCCCAGAGAATCCTGGTTCTCATGACGGATTTGAACATACTTGGCAGCAGTGAGATATGATGCGCTTCACGCGAATATGAAGGAAAGTTACTAATCTCAATGCACAGAGTCTTAGGTCTTGAGGGTCCAGCACCACCTGCTTTTGCTGGAACCTCTTGACATCGCCATCAGTAACGAAACCTTGCTTGTTAATGTTACTGGTGTCTTTTAGGTACTAGAATTGCTCTGCTCGCGATGCGAGCTCGGCTGCTAGTCAGCATGGGTTGACACGTCGATACAAGCATCACGGCGAACCGGTCATTTGAACGTGTCGGATAGTTGTTGGTGCCATGGCCCGCTTACATGACTCGCTTGTACGGCGGAGAAGGCCAGGACACTTTACAGTTGGGTTCTTGCTCTCTCTGATAGGGCCGCGGGTTGGGAATGTCAACCTGGGGAATGAGTGGTTATCGAATATATGAAAAAAACTTCTCAAAGTGACTGAGGGGAAGAAGGAAGGCTGGTAGTCTGTCTGGGCCTTTGTACATATGCGTTTCGACCTTGTCAATGGTGGTGCAGGGGGACTCCAGACCCCGAATGTCAACAGGCTCAACTCCCTTAAAGTCCCCGCACATACAAAGGGTGGTCATTGTACTGTCAGACAGTAATGTATCTGCTAAATAAATGCCTTGTTTGAGGGCTGGGCTGAGTGACTATACATGCCTGGGATCACATGCGGAGCTGGTATTCAACCGGCTGCTTCCCGTTACAGTCAATGGCAGCCTCATAGTACAGATTTGGGAACGAGCCAGCAGCGAGTGCATCTTCTCCAGCAGACTTTTCATACATCTTGTCAGACAGATGCACCTTTATCACCTCGACTGTAGCCTGGATCCAGCAAAATACATTGTTAGTGGTTGTCGGATGGCCATCCTTGCATGCATACCGCTGCAGTACCGGAAAAGGGTTAGTCCGTAGTGTGAAGGTGCCGTTGTCAAACACATGGCCAATGCCACATGATAACTTGAGTGTATGTAACTTTGAGTATACGACAAGGGACCCGTCTGCAGGCCTATTGAATAGTTTGCGGAATGATCCAAAGCTCATGGTATTTATTGATAGCGTCTTCAGATAGTCTGCATGGCATACAGCTAGCCCAGCAATCTCGCTGTTGCTATACATTCCCATTCCAACGTGCATATACTTGACATCAGGCGTCAGTCAGTCGGACATGGATGTATGAAACAGCATGCCTCGAATGACGCTCAGATATTGAATTGATGGCGCTGCGCGCAGAAATGCCGAAAGGGCGATAGAGTTCTGCCGCTGCTTGTGTAGCCTATGATCTTGGTCACCTGAATACATGCTTGAAATGGTGTTTGGCATCGTCTCCCTTAGCGGTTCGCCAATATAACTAGTATACTGGGAAATTAACAGCTTCATGTTGGCCTGCCCCTGCAGGTCAATTGCAGGCAGAAACCCCCAGGTAGGCTACGCTGATAGTGGTAATTGCGAGTAGACATATGAAGTGTGGTTGTATTGGCTTCTCTGAGCCTTCCCTTACACTGGGCAAGCAGAGGGTCAGCTCCCGAGTATACCATTCCGTTGGCAATACCCTCGGTAGTGCAGTCAAGCAGGAAATTGTAGCCATGAGGTTTAAACCCAAGTGCAAAGCTGTCGGTAAATGCGTGTTCATATCCTATCTTAATAAGAAGCACTGTGCTATGTGAGCTGGCATAAATACTAGTAAACCCCCAATAACTGTGCTGATAACGTATCTCTACTCACGGCAAGCACCATCAGAGGATACAGAAAACGCAGCACAGTAAGCGAGTCGAGTGTAGTCCAAGGTCTTGGGAGCACCCTGCCTCTCCTGACCATGTACCAGACGAGTTTTTGAATGGTATACAGCGGAGGATTATTCATAGCGGTGCTTCATGTTTCAAAGAGCTGCATGAAGGGGCATGTTGCTTTTAAAGAAATGGAGCTAGAAAACTTTTCAACCAAAGGAAAGAGAGACAAGAACGGAGCACTCGGTGTGTGTGGTTTATGTCATTTCAACCACAGCTGCGACCGGAAGTGTGGAGTATCAGCTTGGTAGTTTGTGCAATGTATCAGAATCTGCGGCTCAAGTGGAGCCTCGTTAAAAAGGAGATCACGTCACACCTTGGGTGATTCGCAGATCAGCCAGGGTAACCTGAATGGTACCACTGGGAAGCTTGGCATAAGCGTCACCATCTTCGTTTCCACTTTTTTTTCGCAAACATCTTTTTTGATGAACATATACTTTTCGTTGTTCTACCTCGAAATGATAATGGCGCAGAAGCCGTCGATCTTAGTGCTGACAGGTACTGCGGTAGCAGCGGGGCTAAACGCTCTCTGGCTAGCGACATTGCTAGCTGCGATACAAAAAACGACCGGACGCCGACTGCGCACCAACAACGCCTTCCAGCGGTACTTTCTCAATTGGGGTAATTCAGTGCTCGGTGGACTGCAGAGATGGGCACAGCGGTCATCGCTATTTACAGGCGAAGAAGCAGCGGAAATGACTAATTCGCAGGCAATGGGCAGGGCGGTGAGCGCAGCACAAAGAGCCACGGAGCAAGCGCAGAAGCAATTAAAGCGGCGAGTGGTCACGGTCGAAGTGGAGGTGGTCAGAAGACAGAGCGAAGACTTGCCGGAATACACGCCGTTTACAGAATGCACAGAATGCACAGAATGCACAGAATGCACAGAATGCCGGCCGCCGCACGAGGTCGTGGGCAGCAAGCCAGCGACATTAGTGACGGCATCGATCGACTCTGCGGATCTGAAACCGTCGCTGTACAGTTTGGTGTCCACGCACGGCGGCTCTAGCTCAATGCTCTGACGATAATGAAAATATAATACTACTCAAAGTCCTGTGTTCGCGATGCAAGTACACCTCCTTGGTGAGACTTTATATGTTGCGTTCCTCTCGCCAAATCCTGAGACATCTACGCAGTGCATCGTTGGCCATGTGTAGTCTGCCGCGAGCATCACAGTTGTTGATTTCGTTGACCAGGCGCACGCGCAGTTGCTCTAGCGATTCAACGGAGCAGCCGGCGGTGGCCTGGACGATTTCAGGCACCAGCGTGTCGATCGGCACCCTGACTCCGTGCGTAACCACAGGGATCCCACGGGAGTCCAAAGTCGGCGTGACGCTGACTGGCCGACGCACGGCGGGCCGCTGCGCACGCATCATGTTGCTGATCGGCGGCTTTCGCTCGGCTTGCCGCGGCTGACTAGCCTCGCGCGCCAGTTCGATCAGATTCTCAGGAACGTGCTTTCTCACCAGTTTGCGTGTCAGCTCGCGCAAAAACTGCGCACGATTCTGAGTGTCCTCGGGATACCGCTTGACCAATTCAGCGTATTTCACCCAGTCGTTGGCGATCTTGGCGATATCCAGCAGGAACGCCTCGGTCGTTTTATATTGGTAAGCCGACGCCCGCAGCTTCACAGTCGAGAGGCAGGCCGGGTCTTGCGTCGTCTCATAAAAGCGTGCGTGAAGCTGCGGATCAGGCGGCTCGGCAAACATGCGCAGGAGGCGGTTTTCTGCCACGGCACGAATCACCTCGAGTAGCGCGCGCTTCAGCTGGCGCTGCACCAGCCGCATGTTGACCGGCGCTGGTGCAGGTATTGGATCCGCAGGCAGCTCATTCGGGTCGGATGTCGGCTCCGGCGCTGGTGCCTGCGGGGTGTGAGTCGCCAGTGTCTGGAAAAAGTTCGTGCGGTCGACGCGCTCGGGTGCCGAAATTGTAAGGAAACACGTTCGCGACATGCCATGGAACCACCGCCGTACGAATTCGGGAGCGCTGTGCCAGTCATCGGCTTCGACATCCACAAGCACCGCCACGCGTGCACCAATAGGCAAGGCGCGGATGCAGTGGTCCAGCATGGCAATTGCGGCCGCATCCATGGTCAGCGCCAAGCCGTCAGCCATTGGAACGTGGAGGACGCTCGGCTGACGCCTGAGCGCTTCTTGGAACAGGTGGCCGACCCCCGCAATGTCGTGGAGGAGAGCAGGCGTCACATGGAAAACTGGAACATCTCGGGCTTCCATGGCATACGCAGCCGCTGCCCCGACACTGGCAGAGGCCATGCCCGCTGCGCCATGCACGGCGAGTCGTGGGCGGAAGACATTTGGCGCCGAACTGCCCAGCGCCAGCGCCGTCGACAGCTTCAGCGCCGCTATGCCCACCAACTGCCCCAGCAGCGGCTGCAGCGGCTGCGGCAACGGCATGGCCGATGACGTTGCCGAGCGCTGCGACGACGGGACAATCTGAGCGGCAGCTAGCCGCAGGTCCGTCATTGACACGTTGATCACATCGGCGCTGATTTGCAGCCGCTGCGCCGATTCGTATAGAGTAGGGTACCGCCTGCGCAGAGCGCGCAGCGCAGCCTCGGTACACAGCGCCTGGATATCGGCGCCACCCCAGCCTTGCGTTAGATCCGTCAACACCGCCAGCTCGTCTTCCGCCAGCTGCCTGGGCCATTTCCGTGTGTGTATCTGCAAGATCCGGTGCCGAGCCGTGAGCCCAGGCAGCCGGAACAACATCTCTCTGTCAAACCGTCCGGGTCGGCGGAGCGCCGGGTCGATTGCATCGGGGCGGTTGGTCGCGCCAATCACCACCACCTGCCCACGGTCCTCAATGCCATCCATTAGCGCCAGCAACGTGGTTACTATAGATGCGTGCGCTTGGTCCTGCCGCGCACTGCGCACCGGCGCCAGCCCGTCCAGCTCGTCAAAGAATATAATTGACGGCTGGAATGCGCGCGCCTGCGCAAACAGCTTGCGCAAAGTGCGCTCTCCCTCGCCCACCCATTTGGACAGTACGTCGCCGCCGCGTCGCATGAAAAAGGCAATCGGCGGGCCGCCCGCCTTGCCCGACGCCAGCGCCCGCGCCAGCAGCGTCTTACCCGTCCCCGGCGGTCCGTGAAACAGTACGCCGCGCGGCGCCCGGATCCCCAGTGTCTCGCACAGGTCCGGGTAGACTAGCGGCAGCATCACCATTTCTTTCAGCCCACGCACGTGCTCTTCTAGACCGCCTACGTCCTCAAACGACGTAGCATCTGCTGTCGGGGTGCCAACGGCTCCCAGATATCCGGCTTTGCGGCAGCGCTCGACGCCCAATTCCGCAAGGTTCATCGGTAAGATCTGGTCCCCGCCGTCGTTGCCTTTGCTGCTCTCCGACTCTTCGATATCGCTCAGTGCATCTTTCTCCTCGGCCGCCCGCCGCAAGTCGCGCATATTGCGCATAAATTCCTCGTATTGCTGCGGCGGCTTCTCTGCCACTGGCTCCATCTGGTACGACACTTTGCTGCGCTGGCGCAGATTATATGTTCCCTGCCTGCCGCGCCGCCGCCGCTTCCACTTCCGCTCATCATCGCTCTGGCTTTTAAGCGACAGCGAGTAATTCACTGCCCGCCGCTTCCGCAGCCGGTTCTTCACTGGTGTGGTATTGGGTCCTGTCACCAACACCACCGGCGCCGGTCCGCTCTTTTTGTTGCTTTTGTGGTCTGAGTCGTCGCTGGAGATACCCTGCACTGTGCGTTTGCCTTGCCCGGATATCCGCATGGGCCGCCGGTGCAGAAACGTCCCCGAGAGCTCGTCTTCGGCCGAGTCTGCTACGCGCAATGTGCGCCGTCTTCGCGTCAAGGGCGGCTTTTGGAACTCGCTTTCGTTAGAGGATGTCTCGGTCACTTGATCCTGCTTACTCTCTCCGTCGCTGTCCTCGTATGCTGCGCTGGATGCCGAGTCCGAGTGTCTGCGCTTGCTCATTTCTCAAATGCTCCTGATAAATGGGTTGTGAATAAAATACATGGAGGAAAAAGCGGATCGGTATCCGTACCACTGCTCCCACCTCGTAACTGTAATTGACAGACAAAGAAAAAGCAAACAAGCTGCGGCGTTTCTTGATCAGTTGATCCATATATCTTTCCAACTCATCACCTAGCGCGCCTGACGTCGATGCCACCAGGCATATTTATATGCATGCCATAGATGTCTCGTGCTCCGCCTTCGTTTCTTTTCTATACTGCCTGTTTTACTTTTTATTTTACTCATGGCTGCTCCGCTTCAGATATCCTTCAAAGACTTGTCATATTCCGTCGACGTACCCGCGCTCCGCACTGTCTCCCACACCAGGCGCGTCCCCGCAATCAAACGTGTATTCACCAAACAGCCCACTACCCCAAAGACCATTCTACATGACCTAACTGGCACATTCCGACCCGGTAGATTCACTGCTATCCTGGGTCCTTCAGGATCGGGTAAAACCACTCTGCTGAATCTTCTCGCTGGCCAACTAACCACTGGTACTGTAACCGGAAACATTTGGGTCAATGGCCGCCAGACCACCGCCCAGGGCCTACATATGTTGGCCGGCTACGTCCACCAGGACGACGTGATTCTGCCCACCCAGACTGTCCAAGAGGCTATTGACATGTCTGTGATTCTGCGTCCTTGCATCTCCCACCTGCCATTGCCCATCGCTATGCATGAGCATGACAGGCCAGACACAGACTTGTGTGGTTTGGCTATTTCTACTTTTGAACTCGAAGGGTGCAAGCATACTGTGGTCGGCGACTCAATCACCAAGGGGATTTCTGGTGGCGAACGTAAACGCACTGCCATTGCCATGGAGTACGTGACCGACACACATATCCTGTTCCTCGACGAGCCCACTTCGGGGCTGGATGCACACTCAGCGCTTCTGGTCGCCCACCAGTTGAAGCGCATTGCCATGAATAGCCGAACTGTCGTTGCTGTTCTGCACCAGCCGTCATCTGAAGTATTTGCACTTGTAGATGATCTGATGGTCTTGAGCGAGGGCCGCATCGTGTATCTGGGAGAACGGCATGCATTTATTCCATACTTTGACAATCTGGGCTTTCCGTGCCCGACCTACTCGAACCCCGCCGACCATCTATTCAACACTGTCCTGTTCCCGACGCACTTTTCGCAGCACGACACATTGCCACTGGAGACCAGTACAACACGCTCCAAAATCCTGGCCAATGCCTGGGCTGGCTCGCCCGACGCTGTATCAGTCAAATGTCTGGTGGACCGCCCAGAGCTTCGCCCGCCCACCAGATCCCAGCTGCGCCGCACTGTCTCGCTGTCCAAGCAGCTGCATTACCTGGTCGGCCGCTCAACACGCAATGCGCTGCGCAACCCCCTGGTACTCTACATCCGCCTGGTGCAGTCTGCCATTCTGGGCCTGCTCTTCGGTTTCCTGTTCTTGAATACCAATAAGCGGTCTGCAGCTATACAGACGCAGAACTTTTCAGGCGCCCTGTTTTTGTCGTGTGCTGCACAGTACATGCTGACATTGCTTGCCGTTGTCAATGCCTTTGCGTCAGAACGGCCTGTGTTTGTGCGCGAGTGGCAGGCTGGTTATTACGGACTCACTGCGTATTTCCTGGCCAAGAACATTGTCGAGCTTCCCATCCAGCTGTGCTCGCCCGCGCTCTACTCTGTCTGCGCGTACTGGCTAATCGGGTTCCAGCGGACCGCGGCAAAGTTTTTCATTTACATGGTTACATGCATTGCACTGAGCGTCTGCGGCTTCGCCTTTGGCATTACCTTGGGCGCTGCCTTCAGCAGTCTGTCGGTCATCCTGGCCATCCTGCCTGCCGCTATCATCCCGTTCCTTCTGTTTGGCGGCCTGTTTGTCAACACTGGCAGCTCGACTGTCTGGCTGCGCTGGATCCAATGGCTGAGTCCGATCAAGTACGGGTATGCGGCTCTGTCACAAAACCAGTATGCTGGCTATGTTATAGACGGCATGGCTGTGGGCAATATGTATTTGGATAACCTCCAGCTCGGAGGGTTCTCGATTGGTGTCAACATTTTGTTTGTGTTTATCCTCGCATTCGTCCTGTGGTGTGCGTCGTTCTTGGCCCTTTGGCGCCTGACCATGCATGGCCGTGGTGCATTCAATAGGAATACCCGCCGGCAGGTTGAGGCCGACTTGTTAGGCCCACCCGATCCCTGCTTCAGCACGCCGGATGCTGCTTGAATTTTCACCGCTCTCTTTTTGCACTCATTTTCAGACATATTCGGCGATAATGCTTTAATTTTTTTTATGTCAATTGATCTGAATTCATTTGTAAAAGGACAAGAGTGTAAAGTACGAAATATAAAGCGATCGAAACGGCGACGCTAATGAATGCAAAGAGATGTGCAAAGACATTCTCTGATAATATATGATGCAGGATCGTATTTTTGTGTACCGAATACTAAAATACAATCTTTAAATGTCAAGACCTCCCCCATGGCTTTGCAAACAGTGATATGTATCAAATGATGTCCAGTGTCAAAGAATGTATTTATATGTAGAAATTTTATTAAGACAAAAGGCTGGGGGTGAACATAAAGTCTTATGCCGTGGCTGACAGGTGATCTCGCCGATCGCGTTTTCGGCGCGTACACGCTGGCTAGTCTGATGTACGCCAATGGCTGGAAAGGACTTCATATACTTGGCAACATGTGCGGCCATAAGCGTGTACGGGTTCGCTTTTGGAATCACAATTGGTGCGGCGTTTGGCAGCTTGGCGACAATTTTAGCTGTGCTGCCTATGGTGCTGTTGTCGTTTCTGCTGTTTGGCAGGCTGCTTGTCAACACAGGGAGTATGACTGTCTGGCTTGGGTGGGTCCACCGGGTCAGCCTGATAAAGTACGGCTATGCCGTGCTGTCCAGGATCCAATACACTGGGTATGTTGTTGATGGAGTGTCTGTCGGCGACTCCTATCCACACAGCACCCAGGTGGGTAGCCTTTTGGTTTGGACCAGCATTAGTTTTGTATTTGTGCCGGCCTCTGTCCTATGGTGCGTGTCGTATGTGGCGTTGTGGAGTCTGACAGAATCCAGCCAGCACAAGCATAGTCGGCGCCAGCTTAAAGAATCGCTACTGGGGTCATTCTATCACCGGCTCAATGTGGCCATCTCGCTCAGCAATGCAGACCAGTATCTGCCCATGATCTCGCGGTAGATGTACACGTCAGGTATGTGCCAGTTTCTCAATGTGGGGCCTGAATAAATCGTATAAGCGCTATGACGTGCAAATATGTCACACAGCTGACACCCAGCATGTAATTCTCTTGTGAATTCGACGCATGCGATTGCCCAGATGGTAGCTGGATGGCCTACGTCATTCAATATATGCAAAAATCAACCTGGCGGTTTGTGCGCAGCATTTATCGGGCACAATTGCCATAACCTGGGCATAAAGCACCAGTTGCAGAATCAGCCAAGCGTGTTGTTCCTGGGGAGGTTCAGAGCAGCTTTTCAAGATCGTTTTTATCGACTATGCATCTTACTACGTTGTCTACCATCGGGATCCGAGCAGCGCAGCGCATGCGGCCAGGGCCACTGCGGTGTACGTCACTGATATAGGAATATACGTGGTGCTAGGGCAATTAATGACGGCGCCATGGTGCAATGTAGGGTTGCGATATGTATATGCTAATACATAATATATCATATGTAGACTACTCGGGATCACCGCCACCAGCGCCATCATCGGCGCCTAGGGGCTGGCGCAAGTATGCACATAGGTTCCGCGACCGGCCGGTGAGCCATCTGACGTCATTTGCACTCTTGCATGAGCTGACAGCGATAGTGCCGCTGTTTGGCGTGTACTACACGCTCGACTTCTTCGAGGTGAAGGTGCCGTTTCCAGAGGACGTGATGCGCCAAGGAAACAGATACATCAACAAGCTGCGGCAGTATGTTGGGATGGAGGCGCTGGACGAGGGGTCGCCTGTGCTGGTGAACCTGGCGACTAGCTACGCGGTGGTCAAGGCAGCGGCACCGCTGCGGATTGCGGCAAGCCTGGCGATGACACCGATGTTTGCCAGGGCGTTTGTGGTGCCGATTGCCCGGGTACTTGAGAAGCTAAGAGGCAAGCCAAGAAGTTAGAGCCTGCCAGCCGCGGAAAGTTTAAATGGAAAATGTCACTTTAAAAATTCAGAAAGAGAGAGCAAGAGAAGGGTGTGGTGGTGAGTCAGTATGTTGCTTAGAAGGTCTCCTCTTCGTCGAGGTGCGCATCGGCCGCGGGAACGCTGCTCTGGGGCTCGTAGGTCTCGTCATTGAGGTCGCCCTGGAGCTGCTCCTCCTCGCCAGCATAGTTGTCGTCTGTGCTATACAGGATGCCCTGGATATGGCTGGCCATCTCCCCAATGTCCGATCTAGGCTCGAACTCCAGCTGTTGCAAGTACACCTCGATTTCGCGCAGCTTGGAGAAGTAAAAGTCCCGCTCCTTCTCCGCGGTCTCAATCAGCACCTTGGCCTCAGACAGCTGGCGGTTCAGTTCCTGCACCTGGTGGGAATTGGCGGCTGCTCCAGGGCCCGTGCGGCTGCCAGGCCGCAGACCAGCGGAGCCGGGACGCATGGCGGCAGCCTGCGGGCGCTGGGCAGCGGGGCGGACGGCGGAGCGCGCGGCACGCATACCCGTGGACGAGCTGTGGGCGGATGACGCGCTGCTGCGCGGGCGGGAGGCAGCAGCGTTACCAGGGATGTCGGCAGAGCGGCCGTTCCGCCTGGCCACCGGGTCGTAGGGCTGGCCCGAGAAGTACGAGTCCCAGAACCGCTTCAGCCACTGCAGGAACTCAAAGTTGTCCTGGAACCGGCACTTCATCAGCTTCGTCGGGTCAATGGGCTTGTCAATCTTGTGCTTCCGGATCATGTTCTGCAGAATCTTGTAGTTCTCAATGTACTCGTACTGCTGGTTCGCCGCGAACTTGACGCGGGCAAGCGGCACATCCAGGTATATCGAGTCGATGATCTGGCAGTACGCCGCACCTAAACACCCGGGGGTAATTAGAGATGTGCCAATTCGCAATTGGGCTGCTCTCCCCTTCGGAGGGGTTCGATTCCACGGCTCTTACCTGAACCCAGCTGCTCGACCTTGGTGTAGTTGGTCTGCAGAAGCTCGTTGACCCACGCAATCAGACTCTGGCGACTCTCGCTCATTGTGCCGTTCTTTAATGCAAACAAAGAAAAAGGGGGAGGAATGTAAAGAAACAACAGCTGGCATACAGAAGCGAGCCGCAACAGTCTAGGAAAAGACAGAATTTTTTATTTTTCAGCTCATGTTGTCGGTTGTGCCAATGCAGCCAATAAAAAACGCTAGTGTAGAGGGCCATTCAAGCAATATCAACGCCGTTCGCGCGCAGATCGTCCTTGGCCTCAGAAATCTCCTGCATCAGCTCATGGTACGCCTCGGGGCACTCGCGGAACACGAGCAGGTTGTAGCCGATGTTGACGAATGCGTAGGCGCCCAGAGACACCAGCGCCAGCAGCGGCAGCACCGGCCACACCTGGGTCTGCAGGACCTCGGGAAGCGGGAGAAGGCCAACGAGGCCAAGCAGCCAGAGCCCAGCGGCTGCTGCGAGCATAGTTCCGACCTGTTGCGCACGAGCCATTATTTCTGCAGGAGAGGAGGTGAATTGGAGAGAGGGAGAGGGCGAGATTGTCGTTAGAATCGGGGAGGGGAGTGAGGTTGAAAAAGAGATTTTTGGCTGGCCAATTCGACTTCTGGTCAAAGATGAGCCAAACGTTCCCCGAGCCCGGCCGCGAGAGCCATTTGTGTCACAGCCAATCACAGTGATCTGCAGGCTGGGCAACGAGGTACGTCATAGAGAAAAAAGTTCACACCTGTTTTTCATCCAAGGGCGGCTGGGCGCTTCTCCCGCCACCCGGCGCGCTCAGTGCTGCTGCGCCTTAAGAGGGACCACCTCCCCGCTGCTGCAGGCTGCCGGTGAGATCCAGGACTTTTCTGTGGCCAGCGCTTTCTCTTCTCTTTCCCTGCAATTCGCCCTGTACTCTTAGCCTTTTTCTTTTCTCTTCTCCACTCTAGATCCCCTCCTATCCCTTATCCCAGGCGGCCACTGCTCTTTTGTTTGAGCCGGTGCCCCCGTTGATTTTTCTGTTCTACTCCACGCTTTTGTTTGCTAGCGCACGCGCGTTCGTTATCGACTCCAGGAGCAAGGACCCGTGCACACACCCGCGCTCCTGCTGTCGCCCCCTTCTCTTTGTATATATTGCCCGGCACACTTGCGTTTCTTTACAAACCCCCCGCATATACGCTCAAGCGCACAGCACGCGCTGGCAGCTCCGAATTCACGAACAGAGCAAACCCTACTTTTTGCTGGAGCCAGTTCTCTATACTCTGACACATTTTCTCCTCTTGCTTTCATTGCAGGGCGCCGGCGTTTTTAAGCGTTCCTCCTTCCCTTCTCTCTCCCTTGTATCTTGCTTATCGCTCTGAAAAAAGCCCGTGGCTAAAAGGGTAAGTTACCGCGGACAATGTTTCCGAGGTGGAAAAAAGCTTGTGTCTTTGTATAAGCTGTTTTGACGCCCAGTGTCTGTGTGCAAACAAAGAAATCCCGGCGTGGATGAGCCGTGCATGACTCGTTGATAAGACCCGGGATCTCGCCGGACACGTCGGCACATTCCACCAGCCCACACGTTATTACGCTCGTTCTCCTCCTGCGTCCGCCCCCAAAAACACAACCACTCAGAGAAAATTTTGACACACAAGTACCCTAAACCCGGTTCTTTCTGTATCCCCCGTGTTCTATATCCCGTACCCTTTTCTACGTTGTAGGCATTTCTACCAGCGGCACTCTCGCTCGTTTTCTCTATCCTTCTCACACCATGGCGTACAATACACAGCCGGCAGGCGTGTACATGAACCATGCGAGCAGCGCCAGCATGCTGGATACAAATGCCGAGAACGACCACGGTGGCGAGCAGCAGCAGCAGCAGGACAGCCGCCGCCGCCGGTCAAGCACTTATGCTATGCATGTAGACTCGCCGTATGACTACCAGCAGCCCAGATCAGCAGTGCAGACCTCGTTTACAGTTCCACCACCACCACCCCAACAACAACAACAGCAACAACAACAGCAACAGCAATATACGCCGGCATATAACGAGTACTATACATACGCGACAACAACAGCACAGATGGTCGATCCATGGGCGTTCAACCACGCCAACCTGCTCGCTAACCTGAGTCAGATGCCGCCGGATTTGCTCTCTTCGCTGGTGCCCCAGCTAAGCAGCCAGAACCAGCAGCAACAGTCGCGAATGGGCTCAGCGCAGAGCATGTCAGCCTTGGCTGCCGCTGCAGCAGCCGCCGTGGCCGCAGCTAACGGTGACCCACTCCAGCAGCAGCAGCAACCACAGCAGGCGATGCAAAGCGGTTCGGGCGACTATTACTCGCAGAACCAGCAGCAACAGCAGCAGCAGTCGATGCATGTTGATCACACGTTCGCAGTGCCAGCAGTGCCGGCAGCCCGGCAATTTGGGACCAAAAATGTTGTCTTACCCTCGATATCCTCGCTGCAGTCGTCTACGGCGCGCCAATGCCGAGGCGGAGCAATACTGCCGCACGATTCTCAACAGCAGCAGATGCCATATCGGGACCCAATGTCTACTGCGTATCAGCATCAGCCCAACCCCAATCTATCGCAGTTCCCACAGCCTCAGCAGGCGGCTCCGCAATATCAGCCGCCACCGCAGGATCTGAACAGCAACTACTACGGCCAGCAGAACCTGTATTACTCAGCACCAATGCTGCAGCCGCTGATGCTGCCGCCGCCGTCGCCGACAATCCTTTCGTACTACACAGCAGATCCGACGCAGTGGATGTCGCTTCTCGGCCAGAACGCGTATCAGCCGCAGGCGTACCACTACGACTATCCGATGCCAGTGCATCAGGTGCCATTCAACTTCCCGGTGCCGGCAACCCCCACCTATGGCGTCACACCCATGCAGAAGAACGACCCGTCAATGGCGGCAGCAGTAGCCGTGGCCGCCGCGGCAGCAGCAGCACAAGCGGCAGCCCAGCAGGGCAGCAGTAGCAACGTTGTTGGTCCGGCGGGCAGCCAGATGCTGTTGACGCAGCAGTTCCCGCCCCCGCAGAACCCACAAATGGCGCTGCCGTCTATCGACCAGGCGCTGCAGCATGGCGGCGTCAACGCCCAGATGGCTGCTGCGGCTGCAGTCGTCGCCGCAGCCTCTGGCCAGTACCCGCTCTCGGCGCCCGCAGGAGCTATGGTTCCGCAGATCATGCCGCCGCTGCAGCAGGCTCAGCAGCAACCGCTGATGCTTCCAGCTCTGCAGCAGCAGGCACACGCAAATGGGGTGGCGTTCCACACACCGCAGCCACAGCTGCACTATGAAGCGCCCTCGCTTGTCAGTCCGGCCATGGCTCAGCCACCGCAACAGCAGGACAGCTTCTATCTGCCAGCTACCAAGCGCGCATCCTCGTTTACAAACCTGGCCCTTCTTCAGCAGCAGCAGCAGCAGCAGCAGCCGTCACTCTTGCGTCAAGACTATGGCGGTGGCGTGCCGTTGTTTCCGAAGCAGAGCAGTCTATTACTTCCAGGTCAGGCAAAGTCTAACCTGGCACATCAGCAGGGTCTTTCGGGTTACGGCAAGCAACCGCTTGGCTCAGACATGTTTGGCAGCAGCGCAGCCTCGATGATGTCACAGCAGCAGCAGCAGCAGCAGAGCCATGTCTCGGGCGCGTTGGGGTCAACCGGGCAGATGTTTGGGTCATCTGCATCTGCGCGGTTTTCCGGCTCGGGCAGCTACGGAAACCCGCAGTTTGGGTCGCTGCCCGCATCTGCAAATCGGCATTCGAGTGCGTCAAGCACACGGCCCATCGCTACTTTGTCATCGTCACGGCGTGCATCGCTGCTGCACAAGGCGCGTCATGAACTTCCGTCGCTGTTTGGGGATCGCAAGCCCGCATCGGTAGCTGCGGCGGCAAAGACAGCGGCAGCATACAGCGCGGCGATATCAGCACATCTGGCGTCAACAGCAGCAACAGCGCCAGTCTCGCTGCTGGGCAGCATCGATGGCTCAGGCACACGGCCAGACATGGCCAAGTATGTTCCTGGGACCCGGGTCACTTGCCAGCAGGCAATGGTGGAGTCGACTCGCGACCATGTCTTGCAGACAGCCCACCAGCTATACTCGACCAACGCCCGCGACCCAACGCTCATCGAGATGCTTCTGTGCCTGCATCGCCTGCACCCGCGCCATCTGCCAACGCTGCTGCTGCTGGCCTGTGCGTACTTTAGCAGCAGCAAGCCCGAAAAGTCTCTCGAGTATAACGAGCTCATTCTCAAAATTGACCCCAACTATGTCGAGGCGATGTCGAACATCGGGACCACCCTGCGTAGCATGGGCAAGTCGTCGGAGGCCGAGTCGTGGTGGTGGCAGGCAGTTAAGCTGCGGCCGGGGTACTGGGACGCTGTGGAGAACCTCATGGGCGTTCTGTGCAATCCCGCGCAGCAGCAGACAGCCACACCAAAGAGCCCCTCGAGCAAGGCAGATGGCGCTCCTGCCACGGGTCCGCGCTACCGCGAGGCACTGCAGCTGTGCGAGTTTGTTGACAGCAGTCTGCACATCAGGGACGACATCTCCAAGGACGGGGCTGGCAAGGTGGCAAAGTACCAGGTGCAGGACAAGCAGCTGTCGCGTCTGCAGTCGCTGCTGTACTCGGAGGGCAACCTGCGCTTTGCTCTGGGCGATGTTGCCGGTGCCAGGCGCGAGTACGAGAAGGCAATGGAGGCGATCCTGGGCGGCTACAAGCTGGACGAGATCGTTGTGCGCATCGCGTACATTGGCTCGCAGGAGAGTGTCAACCAGATGTTCCACAAGCAGCTGAACAACCAGGCGCCGCCGTCGCACAACCTGAACATCAACAACCTGCCACTGACGCTCCTGGCGCCGCAGAACGCCATCCGCATGCTGCAGATTCTGTTCCCAGAGACCAACGGTGTGCTGCCTGGCCTGGTCGCCCTGGCTGGTAAGGCTGCAGTTCAGCAGGCAACGGGTAACCATACCGCATCGACTCAGCTGCAGCAGGCGAACCAGGTCGCGTCGAACCTGCTACTAACGCTGGCCAAGCTGCACCAGGATCACGCCGTGGTTGCACAGCCGCTGTCGATTGTGCTGCCCCTCTACTACATGTCTCTGTCGCTGGTGCCATCCCCATCGACATGCAACAACCTGGGCATCATCTTGTCGGCGATCCCTTCCCCGTCGACGCCGACAATGGTGCCGTCTGTGCAGGGCGGGCAGCAGCCAACGCAGGCACCAATGGGCTCGGCCCTGGCCATGCAGTACTACACACACGGGCTGTCCCTGGACCAGCGGCACCCTCACCTGTACACCAACCTGGGCTCGCTTCTCAAGGACCTCGGGTACCTGGCCGAGGCCGTCAAAATGTACGAGAAGGCGGTCGAGTGCAACGCTACGTTCGATGTTGCGCTGGCCAACCTGGGCAATGCCATCAAGGACATGGGCCGCGTGCAGGACTCGATTCCGTGGTACCTGCGCGCTGTTGAAGCCAGCCCCAACTTTGTTGAGGCGGTATGCGGGCTCGCCAACGCTATGGCGGGCGTGTGCGACTGGCACGCGCGTGACGGAGTCTACACCGAGATTGCCACCCGCTGGCGTGCAGTTGCGATGGTCGGCGAGGAGCAGGCGGTCAAGATCTTCGGCGTCATGGGGCGTGGCAAACGGCCGACAGCCAAGGCGTACAGGCGCAAGCTGTTCAGGCGCATCAACTACGTGCATGCACAGAGCCCGAAGCAGACGCATGGCGTGGACAAGCGGCGCGGGTGGATGGACCGCGTCGTGGAGATTGTCGACCAGCAACTCAGCGACGGCAGCACATGGGGCCATGGTGTGCTGCTGATGCAGCCGGCTGCTACTGACGCCAGCGATGGGGGTGGCCTCGTGCGCCCGACCAGTGGGCTGGTGAGTTTCTTGGAGGGCGTCTGTCGACTCGTTCCCCGTGTCTCAACGGCGCCAGCCACTGGCCTGGCGGTGTTTTTGCACGACGCGCTTGATCTTGTGCGGCTTATTGCTGGGGTCCACGATGCCGGCGAGGTGCCCGGCGACAAGATGCGCAGCTGGAAGCACTTCATGGCACTGATCCGCAATGAGGGGGGCTGGGCGCTGAGGATTGTCGAGCGCGCAGCAGTTCTGATCCAGAGGCAGTGGTACTGGGATGCGCAGCAAGGCAGCCAGCATGCGCTCGAGGCACTGCGCAATCCGCAGGCAGGCGCGTATAAGCGGCCACGGCTCCCGGCAGGTCTCGGAGCGCCGCTGGTTCCGACGGTGCTGCCATTCCACACCTTCACGTATCCGCTTGATGCCCGCGAGGTGCGACTGATTTCGCACCGCAACGCGCTTCGCCTGTCGTTTACGACGCTGGGCGGCGGCGCGCCTTGGCTGCCGGGCCATGTGTATCCGCCGCCGCCGCCGCCTGACCCCCAGGTCAACATTGGGTATGTGTCGTCGGACTTCAACAACCACCCTCTGTCGCATCTGATGCAGTCGGTCTTTGGAATGCACGACAGACAGCGGTTCCGCGTGTTCTGTTATGCAACGACGCCGCCCGATGGCACCGTGCATCGGCAGAAGATCGAGCAGGAGGCCGACGTGTTTGTGAACTGCGCGGCGTGGTCAACGCAGCGCATTGTTGACCAGATCGCAAGCGACAAGATCCACATCCTTGTCAATCTGAACGGATACACCAAGGGGGCGCGCAACGAGATCTTTGCTGCTCGGCCAGCGCCGGTTCTTGTTGCGTTCATGGGCTTTGCCGGAACCCTGGGGGCTGGGTGGTGCGACTATGTGGTCACGGATCCGATTGTGTGCCCACCGTGGACTGTGCGGTGCGAGGTGCGTGCCGAGCGGGAGCGCAGAGCCCTTGCCGCTGGTGGGGGTAAGAGCAGGATGCTGTCGAGCAGGCCGGCAAGGCAGCCCGAGATGCAGGAGAAAGGCCGCGAGCACTACAGCTGGAGCCAGCGCAATGGCTCGCGTGGTGGCGACAATGGCGATGGCGACGATACTGACGACATCACCAGCCAGGACCGTGCCAGGCGCGTGCATGAGTGGATGGGTGATGTGCGCTGGGACTTTGGCGAGATCGACCCCGAAGAGGTTGACGAGACGGATCTGCAGGGTGCCCGCGTGAATGGCTCTGCTGAGCACAATCAGGTCAGCTCTGCGGGGGCTGGTGGGGCGGCTGGCGCGCAGTTCAACTACGTCGATACCGTGGCCGACGAGCAGCTCGATGAGGCCGGCGCGGACAACTGGGTATACACGGAGAAGATGATATACATGCCGCACACGTACTTTGTCAACGACCACCGGCAAGGATTCCGTGAGGACGAGGAGCTGCGTGAGCTGCAAACGCCCGAGGCGCTGTGGATGGCCGAGCAGGATGCGCGGTACCGGATGCGCAGCGAGCTGTTTCCGGCGCTGGGCGACGACGTGTTTATCTTTGCCAACTTCAACCAGCTCTACAAGATCGACCCGACGCTGTTCCGCATGTGGCTGCGGATTCTGGAGCGGGCGCCAAAGTCGATTCTGTGGCTGCTGCGCTTTCCGGCAGCAGGCGAGCAGCACCTGCACCGCGTGGCAGTCGAGTGGGCGGGCGAGGAGGTTGCGCGGCGGGTGGTCTTCACCGATGTTGCACCCAAGCACATGCACATCAAACGCGGGCGCGTGGCCGATGCGTTCCTGGACACGCCCGAGTGCAATGCCCACACCACGGCTGTCGACATTCTGTGGAGCGGCACGCCGGTGCTAACGTGGCCGCGACACGAGCACAAGCTGTGCTCCCGCGTAGCAGCGTCTGTCGCCTGTGCCACCGGCCATGGCCAGCACATGGTGGTCCACAGCGCCGACGAGTACGTGGACCGGGCCGTCGAGTGGGCGACGCGGGCCTCGCACGAGTACACTTATGACCGGCCGAGACACTACGATCCGAAGGCCATCCTGAAGCCAGACCCGCAGACTGGGTACGTCAAGCACCTGCTGTGCGGCGGACCAGCCATGGACCTGCGCTACCAGCTGTTTATGACGCGCGATGCGTCGCGCCTGTTTGATACGCTGCGGTGGACGCGCAACCTGGAGCGCGGCCTGGAGGAGGCGTGGCGGCGCTGGGTCACTGGTGAGGACGAGGTAGGCGAGCCTGCCTATACCGGCGAGACCAACGGCACTGAGTCTGGTATGGAGCATTCGATGATATCCATGGACATTGACGACCAGCACCAGCACCAGCACCACCAACACATGCTATCCGACCGCAAGGACGCGGCTGCACTGTGCAAGTCTGACCAGCGCAAACTGCGGTGGGCCAAGCGCATCGAGCGCCAGATCGAAGCGGCGTCAGCGGGCGGGCAGTCCAGCGCCGTGTACTCGCCCCGCGGGCGCAGCATCTGGGTGCTCGACGAGGACGACGCCATGCCATCGCATTCGTGGCTGCACAGGATGATGACATGGTGAGCGAGTCCGCTCCATTATAGTCCTCCCTCCAGTCCCTTTTTCGTGCCTTTCTTTCAAACTGAGATGCCTAGCCCTTTTGCGCATTGCCGGTGCCACTGCACTGGGCACGGCTGTTCTGTGGGCTGTTCCAATGGCGGAGCAGACAGGTGTGCCTGTGGTGCCACGGCGCGTGTTTGGGTCTCCGCGTAAGCACATGGCAAGTCGGTTTCTATTTTAGGCTCGTCGCCGGCGAGCATGGGGGCGTGCCAAAAGAGCTCGCCAAGAGTTCTCCAAGAATTCAGTTGCAATGGATCCGCCATCATGGGTCGCCCTGTCTTAGGAAGGCACTGCGATGTTTCACGGATTCATTAAGACCAGGCCATGGTGCGCATTGTTAGCTAATAGACGCGAATCACGTGTCCGAACTCGGAACAGGGATCAGTCTGCGCCAGTAGGGCAGCCACCTCTCTTCCCTCTGCGACTGCCTTCTCCCTCCTGCCTTGCACTAGCGCCGACATTTTTAAACTACACGCCATTTTCCGCTATTAGTCTCTTTTACGACCTGCGTTTTTCAGTACTCTCTTTGCGAAACATACACACGCTGCTATTGCCCGGAAGAAGAGCAGGCAAATACACTTGGCGGCTTTTTTGTGCGACATTTCCTTCTGCTACCTTCTCATTTCGTGGCAGCCGACGCAGGGTGACGCGTTATTGGCATCTAGAGCTCGGTGCAGCCCGCCAGAGGGACACTGAACAGGTAAGTCCATCGAAAAACGCGCCTGCCCTGGATCGTGCACCGCATGGCGGATGGAGGAGGCGACGGAAGGGGCAGACCGGAGCTGTCTGGCAGCCAGCTTGGCGGCACCTGACCTGGGGTGGGCGTGTCTCTCCGCCCATGCGGGCCGACTCCCACGCGTGGCAGGCGGGCATTTCCTGCTTGGCCCAATATTTTCCGCCAAAATAGCCTTTGGCCGGCTGCACGTTTTGTTTCAAGGGCAGACGCTGTTTGTGTACACAGGGATTTCGCTATTTCCCTGTTGTTTTTGTGCCAGCCCATCTCGCCCTCTCCTCCCCGGACCGTCTGATTGATGGTCTCCCTAAAAGGGAGCATTACGTCGCTTTTTCTTCGTTTCAGCAAAACACGGTGGCCCGCGGTCGGGATTTGCAAGCTTCTTGCTTTCAGCAATGCGCCTTCCCTGCTGGGGCAATATGCGTGGTTGATGTATGTGCGCGACTGGGCGTGGGTGGGTTTTTGTCTTTTGGAGAGCAATGCGGCTGTCTGGATCGGCCCGCGTTCTGGGCGAAAGAGAGTGCATTTTCTTACCGCCCATGCCGACGTTTATTATGAAAAATCCTGCCTGCGCGCTGTTTTTTTTGGCTGCGAGCAGTGACGCCCAGCTTTCTGATGCGATTTTTCTGCTCTTGTTGTGATTTCGAGGCACATACGACAGGATCGGCGTGCGTCGTGCATTGGGTGGGGGAAGAGAGCCCAGCTGCTCGCTTTGCAGAAGGAAAACAACAAACCACTCGCATCTTGGTTCCGCGTCCTTGCACCTTTTTCCCACTCTTGTATTATTTGTATATCTCGCACAGCGCTCTTGTCTCCCTCCCTTCCATCCCACACCTCATATCAGCGGTCGCAGGAGCCTCATATTGTAAATATCAAATCCCACCCCTTGCGGCATACTGGCAAAATGGCCTGGCGCTATCGCCTAATTGTTATCCTCGATTATTTTGCGTGTCGCTTTTTTCGCGACAAGGCGAAATTTCTATACCGCCCCTTCGTGCAGCATTGTTGATGACAATGATGTGAATGGCAGCAGCAGTTCTGGCCGCCGTGTGGAGAGACGCGGCACGGGCAGCACGGACACAAGCAGGGGGAGGACGAGGAGCCGGCTGGTGAACCCACCCTGATACACCGCTCGGTGCTTCCTATTGTTGGCTAAATACCTGCCGATTGTTTATTCAGTTTTGGTCTTCAGGCAGGCTCTTTCTGGTTGCCTGGCCTGCTGTATTTTTAGAAAGCGCCATGATGTGTCCGCTCCCTCGCACGCTTTTTTCCTTTGCTCTTTCCCTTCCGCCTCCGTACTTGATTTTCAGTCCAATACTGCTGCCTATGCCTCAAACTAACCGCCGCAGCACATACCTGACAGCTATAGGCTCGACACGGAGGTCGCTCAGCGCAGACTTTTTACACGACACTTTCCGAAGCAGTTGCTGTGCGGCTGGACCAACAGCATCAACAACCACATTTTCATCCACCACAACAACAGAAAACAGCGCACCCCTACTGCATAGCAAACAGCCGCAGCGACGACTCCTGCAGCAACTCTTGCATATCGTTCCGCAGAAACACAGCAACAAAGCATCATCTCTGATGATGGAGAGCAAATACAAGGCAATCAAGCACATTGGCGAAGGGGCGTTCAGCTCAGTGATTCTGGCGCTCAACATGGAAACCGGCGAAAAGGTGGCAATTAAGAAGATGAAGAAGCGGCGGTGGAAGGACACGGCAGCGCAGGCCGAAATTGGCGCGCTGAAAAAGCTTGACCACGACAACATCATCCAGCTGCTGGACGTGTTCCGCGAAGACTACCGGTCATTCCTGGTCTTTGAGTGCATGGACTGCGACCTCAACGAGCTGGTCAACTCGCGCAAGGGCCGGAAGCTGCCCGAGACAGTCATCCTGGACATCACATACCAGGTGCTCAATGGGCTGGCGTTTATTCACGAGAACGATCTGTTCCACCGCGACATCAAGCCCGAGAACGTGCTGATTCGCCGGCGTATCACGCCTGCATCGGGTCCTGGCGGCAGTTCGACGATTGTGGTTGAGGCCAAGATTGCTGACTTTGGACTCGTGCATGACATGGACTTTTCGCGCCCGCTGACCGACTACATCAGCACACGGTGGTATCGCGCGCCCGAGGTGCTGCTGAACTGCAATAACTACTCGACGCCTATCGACGTGTGGGCTGTGGGCACCATTGTCGCTGAGCTGGCGATGCTACGGCCACTGTTCCCTGGCAGCAACCAGATTGACCAGCTGCGGCGGATCTTCGAGGTTCTCGGTACGCCCAAGATCTCTGTGCCGGCACCGACAGACGAGGATAGCAAAGCACAGGACCCGAGCTCATCGGCTACCGGCTCATGGTACGAGGGCGCTGTGCATGCCCGCAAGCTCGGCATTGCGTTTATTCCGAGTAACCGCAAGCCTATGCCCTCAGTGATGCCCGATGTGCCAGATTACCTGGTCCAGCTCGTTGATTTCATCCTGGTGCTTAATCCCAACGACAGACCGACTGCTATCCGACGCTCTGCAGCTGGTTTCGCATATGCTCGATCACTCGCTTGGCCAGCAGCAGCAACACCAGCACCAACAGCAGAAACAGACACAGAAGCCATCACCTTCCAAGCAATTGTCGGCTCGTGTGGTGCAGAGCATGGTCATTCCGCCGTTTAAGAAAAAGACACTACCGGCCGTGCCCACAGAAGCCAGCAAACCTAGCACAGTGGTATCGTCTGCTGCTAGCGCGATGCCAGACCCTGTGCGGGCGTCGCCGGCTGGCGGCTCTCGCCATGTACCAGCCAGTGCTGCTGCCGTCCCATTCGCCAAACGTTCTTGACTCGCCCACAACGCGAACCGTCCCTGATTCGCCATGCGCGGACCTACCAGCGTTCAAAAGCCATCAGCCAGCAGTGAATGACGGGCGGGTCAGTTTTACGCCGATGCAGATGTTTGCCAAGGAGCAGGAGCACCACCAGGCCATTCTCAATTCGTTGAGCCGGACTCTAGGCGAATGAGCAGCAGCCGTCATCAGCAACACCAACAGCTGTCAGCGCACCAGGCGCCAAGCCAGAGACCCCTGCGGCTAGCGTCATCGCGGCCGTCGGTCGAGGTCAGCATTACGCGCAGATTCCAGAAGGAGCCGATGATTCGACCCGCGCGCCTGACCTGTCGGATCTGGTGCGCTCAGACCAACCGAGTCAGGACGATGACTACGCTGACGAGATCCAGCAGGTGATGCGCAAGCGGTCGGCCAAGGTCGAGAGTGCAGCGTCTGTGGCCGACTGCATTGTACCGCTGATGCGTGTTTCGACGCCTGTGTCGACCAGCGTGCCGGCGCCGCGGATGGTGCCTCGGTCCAACATCAACAGCCAGAGCTTTGGCGACGAGGAGATTGACGAGGCTGTCATGCGGACGAAGCAGGATCAGCGCAACATTCAACCCGCGCGTGTCTCTGGCCGACAGGCCCGACCAGCGACGTGTCGATGGGCGACAGCGACGACATCGAGGACTTTCTGTTTGATGATAACGCCAGCCCGCAGTCCAACCAGCTCAGCTTCTCCCTATCGGACCGCCGCATGTCTGAGGATATTTATCACCGCGAGTCATCCGACAGCTACTGGTCCAGCGAGCAGCAGCATCCGGCACAGGTGCCTGTGAGCAGCGCCATGGCCGGTAGACGCTCAAGCGCAGCGCGCATGCGGTCGCACACCATGTCGTCGCTGAGCAGCATCGAGAGTCTCAACACCCAAGCGATGGATGTGTCACCGCCGGCGAGCAGCCGCGAGCATTTGAGCCAGACTGCTTCATCGATGGCAAGAGGCAGCATAGATGCGGCTGAAGCAGAGGCGTCGCAGCGGTCATCGGCCTACAGCAACTGGGTGTCTAACCAGGCAATTATTGGCGAGCAGTCGTTGCTGAGCCAGCTGGCACACGAGGAGCTCAAACGCACCAGTGCTGCCCTGGGTCTGAATGAGAAGAGACAGGCGGCAGGCGAAGGTTCAGCGATTCAGCAGGCCAGCGCTTCCTCATCGGGGAAGATGGCTGATGATGACGGACAGCTGCCCTGCCGCCGCCTGCAATGCCGGATGATAATGGCAGCTATCGGCAGCGTTGGCGAGCGGTCGTCCGGGATTCTGGAGTTTGTCAGCTCTTCGGTCTCGCAGACACGTGTCATACCGAGGCTAGTCAAGATCAACCAAACGTCGGCCAGACCGCCTGTGCCGCAAAGGACATCGTCCACTCTGCCTGTGCTACTGCCGCCCGCTGTGGTCACGTCTCTGCCAACCCAGCCCACGGATCCGTTCGCAGGGCTCCCCCGTGGCCCTGGCCATGTCGCCCACTGGCAGCCTAGGCTCGAGCAAGTCGTCGAGTGGCAAATTCAAGATAGCGATGCCTTCTCCGCGCAAGCTCAAGCTGCGTGGATCCAAACCAGGAGAATATCCGTCCAGGAACCGTCTGCTGCAGATGTGCCGGCGAAGAGTGCACCAGAGATTCCAGGAGCACAAACCGACGCCGCCGCCGGTGCCGCCCAAGGAGAGGTTTATGCAGGGGCTACGGCGCAAGAGCAGCATGGGAAGCCCACTGAATCAAACGTGCGCTGAGCTTGAAGAAGCGATCCAACAAGGACCTCAACAACGACGATGACGACCAAAAGCCCAATCGTCGTGGAAAGGGCGAGCGCAGGAGCAAGCGTAACAGCGTTCCGCAGCCACCTCAGCTGTTGGTGTCACCGCCCAAACTGGAGGATGTGACTCTTTCACGGTCTGTGCTGCCGATGCCTCTCAGCAACGGTCTGTCGATCGACCTGAGCTTCGATATACGCCTGGATGGCACTGGCTCTGTTGCCTCCGAGCCTAGTCCGCCCGCCGTGCCAGCCAAGGACACGCGCAGCTCGGTGTCTCTTCGCAGCGAGCAACACAAGCAGCGGAATTCGCCTAACCCCTCAGAAGACATCCCTCTCGCTGCTGAGCTTGGGAGTTTCGGGCGGTCTTCACGCGCACGGCCTGTACTCTGGTAGCAGCAGCAGCAGCAGCCTGGCTAGCGCTAAGCAGGAGTGGCTGTCAAACACTCACAAGCTGCGCCAGCGGATCGGCGAGCGCGGCGTCAATCGCACTAGCGGTGAGGTCAAGGACGGTCTGGTTGCCTCTGCACTCACATCCCGTAGCGCGCAAGCGGCGCAGTGCTGGCTGCGAAGTGCGGTCGGCAATGCCGATGCGCGACTTTCTGATCTTGAAGAGCAACCACAAGCGGGGGCCCTCAGGGCAAATCCACGGCGTCCTCAACGCATACTACGGCCAGGTCACGGCAGTCTGTCGCCAACAGCATTGCGTCGTCTATCAGGGACGACCAGCAATCGGTGGACGCTGCGGGCCAGAAAAAGTGCAGCAAACCACCGTTTGTGCAGGCGATGGCGGTACGCCGTGCACGCGAGGCCGAAATTGCCCAGAACAGTGTGCGCTCTGCAATCACATCGCGGTATTACCCGACCGGCAGCGGGATGCAGCGCCGCGAGTCGCTGGATGATGTTGGCGCTGTGCTGGCGCTGGACGAGATGATGGGCCCGGCTTCGGATCTGGCGGCCTCCTCTGGCAAACCGATAGCTGCCCAGCAGCGGCCACGCAGCACCCGGGGACCCGAACAGGGAAGCCAGTGTCGCCATATGGCATGACATACGAGGCCCGGGGTAACAGCGGCGCACATGGCGAGCAGGCGCTCAAGCGAGGTCAGCGACATGCTGATGGCTGATTTCGACAGGTTTGCTGATGTCACATTTGATGCTGGCATGCTGTTCCGCCAGTCGATTGTTGACCGCGCGGCTGTTGGCACACTGGCCCAGGCCGTCGGCACCATCGGAAAGCCCCGCTGCCTCTGTCGCCATTGCCGACCGCAGCAGCGGTGTGCGTGGTCGGCATAGGTCGCCGCGATGGGTCGGGTGGAGACAGCTCTGGCCACCGGTTCTTTTCCAAGGTACGCCATGCCTTTAGCAGCCGTGGCAACAACAGCCACAGCAGCCAAGGCCATTACCAACAGCAGTCCGCTGAGCAGCCCTATCCGCCTGTGCCGCAGCTGCCAGCCACAGCTACCGCCGGTGGGCGGATCGCAGCCCAGACGACTGTCAGAAGCAGCGCAGGCTAGCCTGCAGACCCTGCGCGGTGGTGGCGAGCAGACTCCTGTCGGTCAGCCCAGGCAGCCGCGTACACTGAAGACATCAAAGTCAGCGGTGAACATTGGCAAAGCTGCAGCGCCGCCGCGGCTGGACTTTGACTTTGGCATGTCGCTGCTGACACCCGAGTCGCTGCGCAAACCATCGAGCGAGACCTGGCGTCGGCCCTGCAGGCGCGCAAGGAGCAGCCGTCGACCGACTATGGATCGCAGACCACTGCAAACAGCAACTCGCCGTCGTACCTGATCGACTACATCAACCATGGCTATAATGACAGCACGAGCAACACGTCGTTTGACTTTACTGGCAGCGGCGAGTCGTATTCACGCCAGTCCGTTGCGCGGCGGATCATTAACAAGAACACACAGGTGCGGCAGACCCAGTACGAGTACAACTTTGGCAGCCAGATCTTTGACTGCTTTGACAACGACTTTATGCTGCTCAAGACCGACGCCTTCAACAACGTCGGTGGCCTGGCTGCGATCCCCGGCTCTCGCTGGCAGCAGCAGCAGCAGCATCAGCAGGCCGAAGCAGGTGCGCAAGACAGCGAAAGGCACGATCCCCGCTCCAGCTGCTCGCAAGAAGAATGTTGACAGCGTTGACGGCTGCTGCAGCGTACACGGCCGCGGCAATCAACAGCCTGGTTGCAAACGGCTCGAAGACGCGTGGTCCGGTGGCCTCCGCAGCTACCGGCAGCAGCACGTACCAGCAGCACCAGGTTCTAATCCCGTCTGCATTAAAGTGAGATCAGCCGGCCCTGCTTCCTCTTTCCTACTTTTATCAACATTTTTTCTTATCCCAATGCATCTGGTACTAGCTTGCTACGGCCCATCTGCCTCTGCACTCTGTGTGGTGCTAAATACAATCAGTCCCGAACTCATATCGCCTTAGCAATGAGCCAATTCCACAGAGCTGACTGGCGCCATATGCTGGTGCAGCGATGGAAAAGGCTGGGCTGAACAGGGATAATTACAATGTACTGAAATAAATGATACTTAATGAATACAGAAATACGCACATAGGGTGAGCGCAACTCGTCACCAGCGCAGCAGATTGCTTTTTTTTTTTTGGGTAGGGTGATGCATGTGGGGAGGATCTTGGGACAGGGCATGGCACTCTGCTACAGCCCCAGCACCCAAACCTGGGCATCCATTTGTGACAAGGATCATCCGATGTAGCCAAACGCCGAAAAATGCACGCCATTCTGTCCCTGGACACAATGGCCCTGCCCCCGATGCCAACCGGAGTGCGTTTACTGAGCGCAATGCACGTCCTGCGTCTGCGAATGCATCGGTAATTACCGATTCCCAAAAGCATCAAGCCGACTCTTGCGCCGACGCCTGGTTGGCCATTGCCTTAGGACACAAATAAAAGTCCAGGACCCCCATTTGCAGAACCTCGTCGTCACGATTCCGGCATGGAGGGATATGCCTGTCCCCACACGCCCCTATTTCGCTCGACGGTGCGGAGACAGATTCCAACTCCGCCCTCTAGTGTGGTGAAGCGAAGCGGCAATGTATGGTGCACGCGAGCAGTATTTGTCTGCTGCCATAAGTCCCGCTGCCACGGATCTGGTGCGTGCGTGCGTATGTGTGTGTATGTGTATGTGTATGTGAGCTCGGGTAAACTGTACAGACCACACATATGCGCTCCTTTTTCTCGTTGGCAGCAGCTGTCTTGTGGAATTACAAACCGCAGTCTGCTGATGGTTGCTTTTAAAGGCCGCTGCAGGCGCCAACGTGTGCCAGGTACTCGGATTCGTCTTTTGTCGAGAAATCGCAGTTTGGACATGTCCACGCGCCCTTTCTAACCCGTATTGTGAATGGCGGCGGCAGGCCCATGTACCGCCGCGAGTAGGTTGTCATCAGCGCCATATGCGTATGTCGACGGACGGCCAGCAAAGACGAAAGAGCACCCCCAGGGCAATATGGAGGATTAGAGCAGGGGTGACGAAATAAAAAGAGCTGGCGCAAAAAGAGTTGGTGCTGAGTCCAGAGGAAGAAAGGAGGAAAGGACGCTGCCCATGCCGCCAAGCTCCTGCGCCCCGGCTTTATTAGTCTTGCTCGCTCCAGATGCGACAGGCTCGCGCTACTTATCGAGCACCATTCGATTCGCCCAACGCTTCCACCCCCTGGGCTGCACGTCGGCAAGCACCACAACTCTTTATGCAAAAAGGAAAAACCGCGAAGTCCTCAAGGCATCCTAAAATAGAAGGCTGTGCTTCCTCCACAGGAGTAGGGTACGGGCGGCGGGTTGCATGCCCGCCCCTCCTCCACAGCCCCATCGCAGACGAGAGGCAATTTAGAGGTGATGGTGCCTCATGCGTCGTTTTTGGCTTGCCCAAACATCTCTCTTCTACGACGAAAAATCGATGGGATGTGCAGCCTGGGAGTGCCCATGGCCTGCTTTTTCTCAGCGCTCCCAATGGCGTAGTGGGGCAAAATAATACGGAATGCGAAGATTTCCACCCTCAGCCCGTGCTGTATCTCTTTCGCTCTCATTCGGTTTCCGGGCTTAATGAGGGAATGACAGAGTGCTGGGTCCTTTTCCTCGCAGCACTGTTGCCCTGGTCTCGGATTCCAGGCCCCGCGCATTGCTGGCCCGTTTTTGGGTAGCCCACCCAGTAGTTCCCTGGAGCGGGTAGAGTGCTAATAATACGTGTCCCGATTCGCAAATGCCACCAATTCCCGCCATCTTGCCTCGGTATGCGTCTTGCTACGCAAGCGCACAATCCCATTTTCTGCAGCAGTCGTTGTTGGCGGAGGCTGGGGGCGCGGCCGGATTGGTTAAGGTGCAGGACTCGGTGGGGAGGGAAGTGGGTGCGAGGATCCGATTTGCGGCAACCACGCGCTGGCCGAGTGCACGCTTTTTTGCTTTTAAAGGCGAATAGCGCGTGCACAAGAGTGGTTTCGTCAGCCGGCCATATGGCTAGGCGATGTGGGGGATGTTCAGGTAACAGATGGCGCATGAGGCAAAACCACCATCTTCCGCAATGCCGCTGCTGCTAGCCAAGAAATTTTTTTGCATTTGCAGATATAAAACATGCATGACAAACTGAGGCGATCCCCTTCTTTTCCCGGCACCCTGTCCTCACAGCTCCTGCTGCTACTTCTCCCAGCAAGCCTTTGTTGCAGTGTTGCAATGTTATAGTTGGCGGCTGTCTCAGAGCCCTACCATAGAGCCCATGTAGCATGCCACTTTTGTATGAGGAGTAACCTGGCGGCAGCAAAGGCCTTGAACTTTTTACCTTCATTTGGCCACTCTGCATATCTATGCTTGCGTCTATCTTGAGGGTACTTCATTGGCATGCCTGCCACAATGTCTTGCTTACATATAGGTGCCAGAAAAGCTACTGCATCATGCACGCATCTCCTGCTATTACGATGAGCATGCCCCGAACCTGCGTCCCATTGTGGCCTGCTCGTCCTTCACTGGCATGTGACTGGTACCCCGTGAATAGTCCAAGCATGCACTTGGTCTGCCTCATGTAGTGTGGTCACCATGTGTAATGCGGACGGAACGAAGGCGCATTCATGTGGACGAGGGAAATCTGCAGGATGCAGTGTGCAATAGTGCGGACTGTGAGCGCCTACGCATTACATGCGTCAGGTATCGCCAGGCCAAGCGTGGTTTTTCGTAGTGTCTCGGTCATTATTACACGCCAGGCACACCCTGTTGGCGTCCACGTGTGTGCATCAATGAGGAAGGAGGCTGCTGCTGCCCTACAGTGCTTGCCTGCGGTTGGGTGGAGAAAAGCACAAGAGGATTTCTAATGCCGATCTTGCGCCTGTCCTTGCGCTCGTAGACAACAAATGATATTATTCTCGGTTGGTGAAGGTAAAAAAAAACCTATAGATGCTGTATACTTTACACACTCCTGCCAGCATTCCCCATTCAGCGATTTTCGGTGCATCTGGCACAGACTGCAGAGTATCCGCATGTTTTTTGGGCAGAGGGAAACTGCACCCTTCTGGGCTGCCGCATGGTACATGGAGCGCTGCATGTTTTGGTGCGAAAAACGAAGTGATTAACGGCCGCTGAGCCGGATAACATACCGGCCGACGCTTCCTTCACAGCACGCACACCAGAGTCCCACACCGAGATAGCCTGCGGCATCAGCCTGCCAATCACTATTGAACCAAGGTTGGACGAAAAAAACAGGTGGTAGAATTGCTATCTCTCGACCGCCAGTGAGCTAGGCAGGTAGACAATTGCATATGTCACCAGACTTGCCGCACTCGACAAAAACACACACCAATGGTGCAAAATGGAACCAGCTTCAAATGGCACTACCTCCATCGATGATGCTGTGCAACGCAGGTCTAGCCAAAAGTAGTCAACAAAAAGTAGGGATGCGAAGCATATGCAATGGCAGCATCTGACACCTCGCTTGACTGGTGGGCCCCTGCCATCACCACAGCCAATAGCCCCTGGCGTACCTGTTAGGGCCGGATGCAGCACCCTAATCTAGCGGCGTCTGCTCCCTCATTCTGGGGACGGGGAAGAGGAGGGGAGTGGGCCTGACATCGTGTACGCAAACATGCACCCCTGGGTTTGACAAGTTCCCGAGCCCACGGCACCAAGGTAATCTGCAAATCGGGGTGATTTGATACGCCAGCACAACTCAGCCATCTCCCCTTGCCAATGCAACAAACGCAACGCGATTGACCGGCGATTGCGAGTGGAGGGGTGCCAAAGGCGTAAAAGACCCGCACATGCATTCCCAAAAGGCCATTGGAAGCGGCGGAGTCTCTGCGCTACACGGTTTAGTTTTGAAGGGCAGTAGACAGTTGCCGATCCCTGGTGTGATGTGCAGATACAAGCCGCGCACAGTCCACTTGCAACCCTTGCGCGGTATTTCCAGCTATGTTCTGAGTGGTATATATGAAGCGAAAACAGCTGGCCAGAGGTGGATTTTCGTCCCCATTGGCTGTGATCAATGTCTATAAATAATCGCGCCATCAAAACATGTGTTTTTCGTTTCTCACTTCCTCCCCTCCACATGCACCAAATGCTGTTCTTTCTCTCTGGAGGAAGCAAGCGGATCGTTCTGCGGCGCTGTGCAACGAGAAAGGGGGCCAGCCAGTGCTGGTATGAAAGCTCCACGTACTGCGGGCTATATGGTTCGTCCATTTTTAGCGGCGGGAGACCAACCCTCTATTTCTGCATCCGAGGCCGGCGTCGCTTTTTCTCCTTTACCTTCAATATAAAACCACACGCATATGGTGATTGGCATGTGGGTTGTTGTTGTGCCAAGATCAGGTGTTGCCACACTAGTGTGTGTATGCAATGATTTGTGTAGTGGAACATCATCTTGTGACATGGTGAGATGTACTTTTGGCTTCTTTCCTCTCCCCCAATATTTTCGCACCAGTGCGTATGTGCGCAGGCTGGAGGAGAGATCGTCGGTTGCATGCTGGCAACGTACTGTTTGGGAGTGGAGCCAGCAAAATGCCTTCTTTGTGTCCACATCCATGGGAATGTGGGGAGCAACCGAAAACTACACAACAAATAGCTGGTACATTTTGCCACAAAAAGGAAAAACAAATCCCAGAGGTAAGATGTGCTGGTAGCAAACATGCGTCAATTTTAGGCGAAGGACGCCATGGTGCTCGCACATCCCCTTTCTAGTGATGGCCGCTTGTAGTGGGCTTTTTCTGAAGAGAGGGATGTGTCCACATGCAGGCAGCGAGATGGGACCTGATCTGCCTCCTGCCTCTCCACTGCCGGACAGATACCTCTGTGGCTAGTGAGTGGGAACGGGCAGATCGTCAGGCTTTCCCGAGTGCTATTTATTTTTCCTTACTCGATGCCTCTGTAGCAAAGCTGTCTATTGTAGCAGGTAGCTCCTGGTGTGCCTGTTTATAGAAAGAGGGTCGGGAAATGCGGCTAGTTCCGGCCATGAATGGCCACTATGTTTGACTCTACGTCACTCGGAGAATATCCCAAGATTGCAAAATGCATGCTTTGAGAGCCCTTGACGTATGTATGGAAAAGTACAACCCGTCCAAAAGGAGAATTTTTAAGAGGCATGCAGGATGGTAGGCCGGGGGAACGAGCCCCTCCCCCTGCTCGCTGGCGAGGCAGGTATAAAATCCCAATGCGATTCCCAACCGAGGGGAGCATTCTGAATTTCTTTAATTTCTTTCTCACAACACGATTTTTCTTCCCTTCTCCTGTAGCGACCCAACAAGACGCAACTGCTCTTTCTTTTTTGCTGCCTCGCCTACCCACCTTTTTATCTCTGCAAGCTGTACATAGGCATACACTGCTGTCATAATGGCAAACACGTCGTCCACTAATCCGATGCGCTGCCAGACGACCGGGCACGTCTGTGAGAAGTGTGGAGCCGAGTGGAACTTCTTCTCTGACTACCTGGCGCACAAGGCAGCGTGCGTGTATGGGCCTATTGCACTTGGGCTCTGATCCCATCAAAAAAAGTCATAGCGCGAGGCCATGTTCAAAGCAGAAAACGCCCTGCTATTGGGTGGGGACGCACTGCATTGTTCCAGTGTTTTTTGTTTTCCACAAGGGTCCTTGGCGCACAGCGACCAAAAAAGCACTTTTCACTTCTTGTCTATACTAAAAAAATATATATTTTGGCCGGTTTTTTCTCCAGCAGAGAAAAGGTTTTATGCTCCAGGATGCATGCGACAGATCGTACATTGCTTCCCCAAGAGAAATAATGCACCGCTCCTGTTCTGCACTGGCAGCCTCATCTGCATACCTACACATCCTGTCCTTTCTCTTTTGCGCGATGCGCAAAGGGAAAAAGGTACCTGCACATCCTTTTCTGGCCACTACACTCCTCCAGGGATATCCCGTATGTTGGCACTATCCGCCACCAAACAGGCCATCAGGGACATGCGGTATCCTCCATTAGTCAACATACGCTACAACTTGTGTTGCAGGATGGTGTTTTCTGTTAAAAAGGAAGAAAAAGAGACCTTTAGCATCCCAACCACAGTCTCTAATGCTGGTATGTCCAGCCCAATAGCGTCTGCAGAAGATGAAGCACTCGCAATATTCGCTCTGCTTTGTTTTGTTTTTCCACATACCCGAATTGGTCAACAATAAGCCTGTACATATATTAAGTTCGCGTAGACAATCATTCCAATCCAGGGGCGAAAGGGGAGCAAAGAAAGAACAAGGGTATCCCGCAGTCCTTTATACGCGTGCATATATTACACACTGGCCGCTACGGCAGAAAAATGGAGGAGTGAGTTGACGGTGGCCAGTGCCATATTGTTTGGGCTCGGTGGAGTCGGCAGATAAATAGGCAATAAGAGATAGCTCGTATATGCCCAGGATGGAAGGCAAAAGGGAATGCAGTGCCGGTTGTCAGGTAGGTGCAGAGTAGCAGACAAACCAGCATCCACTATGCCCTTTACTTTAGCTTGAGGGCTGAAGGAATCCATTGGCATGGGTGTGCCCTGATTGCGAACATGGATGATGGTGTGGGAGGCGGTTCCCGAGTTCGAAAAGAGCTTCAGATACCCACAGTGCGCGAGAGAGAAAAAGCAGCACTGTCCAATGTAGAAAGTACACCCAGGTGCAAATCAGTTGACATGCATTGCAGAAACAACCTCATTGTTCAAGGAACTAGGAACATTTGCTTTCTCCCGTGCCCAAAGGGAGAAAGAAAGCGGAGTGATGCGATAGGCAACCCTGAACCTACACTGGAATGACATTGGCAAATAAAAGACGAGAAAAAAGATAGCCATCACGACAGCTACAAATTGACAGGGAGGCGAAAAAATTTGGAGCAAAGAAAATAGGTTGGATTTCCATTCCTGCGGGCAACGACGGGATAAGGAGATCAGCCTTGGGCGTATATAATGTATGATGTGCAACCACACCCTGGAATGGCGGCCACAACGCCGCTGCTTTTGGACGTGGACTCGGGGACACACTACACAGCGATTTATGCAGAGATTTCGGCAATGCATCCCGAGTGCAGGCCGCTCTGTGGAGGAGATGGGCAGATGATAAGACAAGTGTGTTTATTGGCAACACCTAGAGATGGGGTTTAGATGCGGATCGGCGAACGGCACACGCCCCTCCTTCTGGGCAGCCGGGATCCTGGCCATCTGCACAAGCTCGTCCTCGCACGCCAGACGCAGGTCCTCGGCAGTGGCCGGCGACTCCAAATGCAGGGTCTCTGTGACATCGCTGTGCTTGCGGGCAGCACTGACGGCGTCGCGTAGGGCGTAGAAGACCGATGCGCCGAGGAACAGCGGGGGCTCACCAATGCCCTTGGAGGAGAAGATAGTCTTCAGGGCGCTGTACTTTACGCCCTCGAGCAGTGAGACACGGAAGTCGCGCGGGATGTCCATGGCGGACGGGATCTTGTAGTTGCCGGGACCCTGGGTGAACAGACGGCCGTTCGAGGGGAAGTACAGGAACTCCTCGGTGGTGGACCACCCCTGGCCCTGGGCAAAGGCGCCCTCGATCTGGCCGATATCCAGCGCCTTGTTGAGCGACTTGCCGACATCCATCAGGATGTCGACGCGGCGCGTGGTGTGGGCGCCAGTCAGGGTGTCGAGTTCAACCTCAGCCGCGGCTACGCCCTGGGTAAAGTAGAAGAAGAACTGGCCCTCATTCTTCTCCCAGTCGAAGCCAATGTCGGGGAGTCGCATAGTGGCCGGTCGCCGACAGGTTGACGCGATCCAAGTAGGCCATCTTGGCAGCCTTGGAGAACGGCTCAGGAGGCGAATTTCTCGCGGTACGGGCGCAGGCGGTCAGCCAGCTCCTTGCAGGCATTGTAGACAGCGAAGCCATTGAGGTCGGCCGAGGCCGAGGCGGCAGTGGGCGAGGTGTTGGCGGCGGTGTTGGTGGCAGTCTCGCTGATAAAAACCAGGTCCAGCTGGCACCTCCAGGGTCTCGGCAGCAATCTGCGCCATCTTTGTGTGCAGGCCCTGGCCCATCTCAGTGCCGCCGTGGGCGACCAGCACCGAGCCGTCAGAAGTAGACATGCACCAGCGCGTAGCCCTGGTTCAGGAACTTGACACCGAACGAGATGCCGAACTTGGTGGGCAGCAGCGCCAGGACCGCGCTTGCGGTAGCGCGACTTTGCGTTGAAGGCGTCGACCTTCGCGGCGGCGCTCGTCGTAGCTGGCCTTGGCCTTGAGCTGCTCCCACATCAGCGGGACGTTCCAGTCAACCACAGGCTGGCGGAAGGGCGTCAGCTGGCCCTCCTTGTACATGTTGATTTCGCGCAGGCGCTCGACGGGCATGGCCAGCTTGTCAGCGACCTCACACAGCATGGACTCGAGGATGATCATGCCCTGGCAGCCGCCGAAGCTGCGGAAGGCAGTGTTGGACTGCGTGTTGGTCTTGCACACGCGGCCGACAATCTCGTTGTTCGGGATCCAGTAGCAGTTGTCCAGATGCGAGACTGCGCGCTCCAGCACACCCATCGACAGGTCGTGGGAGAAGCCGCCGTTCGAGTAGATATGGGCGCGCAGGCCCACCAGCTTGCCGTCGCGGTTGACTCCCACCCGCCACTTGCCCAGGAACGGGTGCCGTTGGCCCGAGGTCTGCATGTCCTCGTCGCGGTCCAGGATGCAGCGCACCGACTTGTTGGTGTGGTAGGCGCCCAGCGTCGTGAAGGTCGACAGCAGCACCGACCGCGACTCCTTGCCGCCAAAGCCGCCGCCCAGGCGCTTGGTGTGGCACACGATGCGGTTCGCCGGGACACCCAGCGCCTCGGCAGCCACAAGCTGCGACTCGGTCGGGTTCTGCGTCGACGAGTAGATGTCAAACTCGTCGCCCTCGCCCTTGGGCACCGTGATGCAGCCAAAGGTCTCCAGATAAAAGTGCTCCTGGGCACCGCAGTATGACTCGCCCTCAAACACAAAGTCGGCGTCGCGGAACGCTTGCTCAACGTCGCCATTGATCAACTGGCGCACCTCGGGGAACAGCGAGTCCTGGGCCACAGCGTCGCGGATGCTCAGCACTGCCGGCAGGTCATCGTACTCAACAGCCACAGCGCTGCGCGCGGCCTCCTGCGCCAGCTTCTGCGTAGTCGGCCAGCACCAGCGCCACTGGCTGGCCCATGTAGTGCACCTCCTCCGATGGCAGAATCTCCTCGTCGTGGAAGATGTTCCACACGTTGGAGCCCGGCACGTCCTTGTGTGTCAGCACGCGGTGCACGCCTGGCATGGCCAGCGCACGTGACGCATCAATCGACAGGATCTTTGCGTGGGCGCGCTGCGACATCACCAGCGCCATGTACAGCTCGCCTGTCCACCGCCGGTATGTCGTCGGTGTAGCGCGCCTCACCCGTGACCTGCTTCAGCGCCGACATGTGAGTGACGCCCTTGCCGACAATCGCAGCGCTCGGTTACCGTAGCATACTCCTGCTGGCCCTTGCACATCTCGCGCTCACTGTCCTCCATCTCGTGCGCAAACGCCGCCTCCTTGGTGTTGATCTGGAGAGCTGCGCATGCGATCGCCCAGAACTTGAACAGGAAGCTGGTCGTCAGCGCTACGCGGTACTCGGCCATGCCACCTGGCACTGGTGTAGTCCAGACGCATTTCGGCCTGGCACGCCTGCAGGATCCGATCCAGCACCGCGCGCTCGCCCCACGTGCCGCCCACTGCCGCTGCCATCGCTCCCTTGGCCAGCACTGTGGTTGGCGCCATACCGCCATACGCAAACGCTGCATCAGCAACCTTGCCGGTGGCCGGGTCGACACGCACACGCAGACCACACGTGACAATTGCAATGATCGTCGTCCTTGCGCTTGGCCTGCTTGAACGCACGCGTGATCTCGCCCTCCTGCGAAAACGGCACAAACACATTCAGCAGAACCTCGCTGGCGCGCATCGCCGTGCGGCGGTAACCCAGGAAGAACTCCGACAGCGGCACCTGCCGCTGGCCCTCAGCCGACACCAGCGTCACCACCGCACCGGCCGCCATGAACACCGGGTTCAGGTCCGAGATTGGCGATGCCGTCGCAATGTTACCAGCGATCGTCGCCACGTTGCGGATCTGGTTGCCGGCAAAGTACCGCAGGTTCTCGCGCAGCGCCGCAAAGTTCTGCGACTTGATCGAGCCGTGCTCTGCCACCAGCGCATCCAGCAGCACCTCGAACCGTGCCAGCGTCAGGTTGGCTCCGAACTGCACTCCGGTGTCCATGCACGTGACCTGCCGCAGCTCAGCAATGTCGTTCACATACACCTGCACCGGGAACTTGGCCCGCTTCAGCTTGATCTCCACCCCCACCTCACTGTTTCCTGCCACCAGCTTGCTGTCGGGGTGCTCCTGCCGGATCTCCAGCAGCTGCGCCAGCGTCAGCGGCCGGTAGAACCGCTGGCACCACGCCGTGCTGTCGCTGCTGGCGATTGCCAGCGCGCGCAGCTGCGGCTCGTCCTCCTTGGTCTCGCCCTTGGCGTAGCGCACCAGGAACGGCGGGAAAATCAGATCTTGCGTCGGGTCGTACGTCTGGAATTTGGCAATCACCGCCGCCTTCTCGTTCTCCGCCTCGTTCGATCCATCAACGCCAGCAACCGCGCTGTCTGCGCGCTTACCTGTCTTGCAGCACCCGCCGTCAGCACCGGCTCCGCCACAGCATCCGGAGCGGGTCACCGGCGGTTGTTGCATGTGCGGGTTGGTGGGGTCTGGCAGCTCAAACTTGTCTGCCTGTCCGGCCTCAGGACTATCTGTCACCGGCTTTTTCTGCAGCCGGCAGCAGCCCTCGATGCCGCAGCCGCCAGCCTTATCTCCCTCCACTGCCGTGACCGTGCCGTCGCTGTTCTGCACGGCTGCGCCGCGCTTCCACGCCTGGTCAGCGAAAGTCTTGGCCGCGTCCAGGATCGGTCCGGTAGCCCGTGCAGCGGCACAGGTTGCCGTCAAAACATTCCTCAATCTCGTGCTCCGTTGGCGATGGGTTGTTGCGCAGAAGCGTGTACAGCGACATCACAAACCCAGGCGTGCAGAACCCGCACTGCGAGCCAGTGGAGCAGCGCGATACGCTCCTGCACCGGGTGCGGCTTCTTGGTTGTCCCCAAGCCCTCCACCGTGATCACGTGCTTGCCGTCCACTGTATACAGTGGGCACAGGCACGCATTCACTGCCGTATGTACGATCCTCTGCTGGTCCAGGTCATACCGCGAAACCATCACCGTGCACGCCCCGCACCCGCCCTCACCGCACCCCAGCTTTGTGCCTGTCAGTCCGATGCTGCGCAGATACGACAGCAGCGTGAAGTCCAGGTCCGGCTTCTCTACCACCATGCGCTTGCCGTTCAGGTAGAACAGCAGCGAGTCTCCAAACGGCTTGGTCGTAGACATATCTTGGAATAGGTGACTGGTTATACAAAGAAAGAGAAAAATGAATACTACAAATAGTGGAATTAAAAGTGTGCTATCCGCTGGTATGCGTGGGAAATAGAATAGCGAAAACCGCTGTTGCTTTGCTGGAAGAGAGATGCGTGCTGCTGAGGACGAGGCGCCCCTCTGCCCTTTTATGTCCAGCCTCGGCGCCGCATCGCAAGCAGCAGGACAGAAAGATTAGATGAGGGAGTAAAAACGTGACCTGAACCTGCTGGCGGCAAATATTAGTGCCTTCTGCACAAGCGTGCGCCGGGAAACACCGCCTATTATTCGTCCGCCTGGCGCCTTTAGCAGTCACGCGCCCTCTATGCATGCTATCTCGGAGAAATCACCGTGCCTGGTAAATCACCCGTCGCTTCTAAACTGTGCCAGCGTGCATATCCCGTCCCCGCTCCCGCTCTTTTTTGCCTCATTATCGATGACCCTGCCACGAATAGTCGACAAATGTACCTGGCTGTTCGCAACAAGCGCCCCTTCTTCCGCTGATAACCTCAGCCAGCACCTCCGGTTTCCCGTTTATTGGCTCCCTGTCTCCCTCACCTAGTGGACTGTGCGCGCTTTTATTGCTCTTTGCCAAAGCCAGAGTCGCACTACCCGCTGTGGCGAAATAAAGAGGTGAGCCAACCCGTCTCTAATTCCTTTTATTCCCCGAGCCTCTGCCTTGCATAATCTTTGCTTCGAGCAACTACATCTGTTGCCGATGAAAAAACCTGCACTGAAGGGGCTTCCAGGAATAGATTGCGCACTGACGCCGGTCTTTGGTGGGTGCTGGAAAGTGAAACTCTTGCGCCTGCTGATCCAGCGAAACGCGGGTGGATATGTCCTTTTCCATTCAACCTGCGATTGTCGATTACACACACAGCTGAACCGTAAATCCCATTTGCCCCATGCGGTACCTTGATCACTGCAGTTGACTGCCTGCACCCCATACATCGATGAACAATGCAAATTGTGTTGCTCTTTGAACTGTCGCCTCATCAGACCCCACGCTGCATTTCCAGCTAAATAGCCATATAGTGCCAGCAATAGCACTGCTTCTAAGGGTGCATGCAGTGTACTCGGGGACAGCGTGTGGTTCCAAATTTGCAGGGTTTCGGAAACCCATGGATCAAGACCTTTGGGCCACAAAAGCCATTCATACTATTCCAGGCGATTAACGCCACTACTTTGACGGGCACCCGCCCCTTCACCTGACAACCCCTCATTCGTTCTTTCATAGCGCATATTTCATAAGCTCCATATGCGTTGTGGGAAGGTGCTTGGAGAGTAAATGTGTTACAGACAGCAGCACGAGGCTGTCTATCCAAGTGTATCGTACTTGAGACATAGCAATTCGTCTCAAAATGGATGCGGATGACTGTAGCTTCCTAAGCCATCAAGGAATCACCTAGTATAGGTGTGTATGCTGCAGACAGTGTTTCTAATAAAAATATGAGTCCCATTGGAGTGGCAAGAAAGTTACCCTAACGGATCCTTCGTTTTTGAGCGCCAGATAATTTCCTAATGATATGTGCGAGCTCTTATCTGAATGGCTGGTAATCAGGTGCACCACCCAAGATTCTGAATCTCCTAATTGTGCTACTGGTCATTATGACCATAGACAACGACCTGGGATTCTACGCGCCTTTATGCCCAGGCACAGTAATGACCAACCCTTTACCACCATGTTGGAAGCAGCTACTATTCAGCCCTACACTACCGTTTTCACAGGTCTCCACATGTGGTCTGCCCTACAATCTTTCGTAAATTAGTGGTCCATATATACAGTTATTTGCATGATTAATGAGGGTGTTGACATTTGGGGTCTGGAGTCTCCCTGCCCCACCATAGACAAGGCCGAAACTCATACGTACAAAGGCCCAGACAGACGATCAGCCTTCCTTCTTCCCCTCAGTCGCTTTGAGAAGTTTTTTTTCATATATTCGATAACCACTCATTCCCCAGGTTGACATTCCCAACCCACGGCCCTATCAGAGATCGAAGAACCCAACTGTGAAGTGCCATAGCCTTCTCCGCTGTACAAGCGAGTCATGTAAGCGGGCCATGGCACAATACAGGCAGGCCTATTCGTCTAGGCTCTTGAACCGCGATCTCGCAGCAGTTCTAAACTTCAGACTCATTTTCCAGTCACTCTGTGACTCAAGCAGTATTCCTGAACGGCTCTGTCGTTCTACGGCCATTGCTGCCGATGCTTCCGGTACCACCCCTGCAACAAAGAGGCCGCGCAAGAGGCGTGCAGCAGCGGACTAGCACTGAAATGCCTGCGCTGAGCAGGCCACCAAGATGGGAGATGTCCATGATCGTCATTGCACCAACAACCATCCGACACGTTCAAATGACCGGTTCGCCGTGATGCTTGTATCGACGTGCCAACCCATGCTGACTAGCAGCCGAGCTCGCATCGTGAGCAGAGCAATTCTAGTAATATAATCCTGGGACCTTTTTTGCGCCTTTCCACCCCTCTCGACAGGCCATCCAGCACATACGTTATACCTACCCTATCATAATTCTCTAACAATTGGGGAGCAGCCGAATACCTGGCCACCACTGGTAGTCGTTCGATGCCGAGCACAATTGTCTTACGTCTTTTTTGTTTTTTTCGATTGCATCTATGGCATTGCTTGTTGGCATGAGTAACCTGCAGCAGATAGAATCCTCCATCACACATGCATGCGTCCGATCCTTGCCCCTTCCTTTGCGAGATTTTGACATAGGGAGGAAAGGGATAAAGAGTCCATGTATAATAGCTTGCGCACACACAGGTTGGCCTACCTCCTTGTATTTCCTTCGAGTTTTTCATTTTCGTGCAGTTTTTAACGGCTTGAACTATCCTCACAGAATACAGAATGGTGTGTACTATTTTGGAGTGTATGCCTGCAAACCATATTGCTGTTCGCACTGCCAGTGTTTCACCTACCCCTACGCATGCCATCCCCTGGACCATCATCAGAACCATCACCACCACTCGGCCAGCACTGCAGCCACCACTCCATGTATCCCTGCTGCTCCCTCAACTCGCATTCCCACCACCACCACTTGGGGCAGTAATGACACTGAACATAGCAGGACCGCGTATGGTACATATACCCCTTATATCGGCTCCTAAGCCAACCACACATCCTTCCTTAGCCACTGCCCCCACTCCAGATTCTGTTGCAGATCCTTCTCGTATGCTAAGCACTCTGAAAAACGCTACCCGCAGGCCTCCTATGAAGTTCATATTGGGGCTGAATGCTCGTAGTAGAGCTGCAGGAGAGAGCGGCGATATGGATCTTTTCATGAGAAGAATAAAGGAAAGGATCGCTGTGTACAATGCATATGAGGATTGTTGGCATTCGGGGTTTAGAGCCCCTCTCCTAAAAATGTGATTGAGAAGAAGAAGGAAAACTGACCGCTTGTCTGAGCATTTGTACGTACGCGTTTTGGCCCTGCCTATGGTGGCGAAGCTATTTCCATATACCCAATAACCGCTCATCCCTTAGGTTAACAGGATAGCGTGGCCGAACCCCTAGCGACACACAGCAGTAAGCAGGCCACTCGATTGGCACAAAATCGCTCCTGTCGTTGCCGGACCAGGGGTTGGAAAGTGAGATCAGCGAAGACTTTGCGGCAAACAGCGACTATGGTTATATGCCAAAAGGCCCCAATAGCTTGACATTCCACTTGATCCGTACCAACAGATGCGTAAGATCGGCTCAAGATGAGTTTAGGGCGTACTGATCGGGTGGGTGGTGTAGACAAGACTACATGATAATATCAGGGACGACAGCCCCGGACGAGCAAATGTATTAATTTGAAATACAGTATGTATTGTGAATCTGAAGAGCGATGCAGAGGATCTCAAATTGGGTGCCAGCAAGGGTTACTCCTCAGTGTCTCCGATGAGTACCAGCAGGGTGGTGTGATGTCCCAGACAGTAGCCTGTAACAGGGGTATCCAAGGATGCTTTTTTTGCCTTTGCCAGCTACAATACAGCAACAGCAGAGCAACTGGTGATTTCCACATCCTTGTGTGGCAAAAATGGTCATTCCTCTTTCAGACCCTCTCACTTCTCTTTCTTAGTCTTCAAACCAAACATATTATTTCAAATCCTCCTTACACTAAAAGTAGTGGGATCTCTGTTTGTTTCCATGGCCAAATGTATGTCGACGTCTATCACAATACTGGTGTGTGCTAAGCCGAGGGCACAGCAGGTGGAGCATATTTGGCTATAGTTTGCGCTGATGATGCTAACTTTTAGACTAATGTCAGGATACAATCATAGATCTATTCGGTATCTATTAGCAGTACTAGCAAGCTCTGGTGGCAGTGTTTGGGTGAGTTTACAGGAACAAGCGCCGAGCAAGAGTGTTACCATATGCTCTGTTTTTTGTTTGGGCGAGCCGATGTCACAGGCAGCATACTGTACTTGTGTTTATACCATTGGCGTTGTCATAAACATGTCTGCTGATGTAATAAACATCACCAGGCTATGGCTTTGTATTGTTGTGTTTGTTGAATGTGTGGGGATTTTAAAGGTTGTATTTAATACTGAAGAAAAGAGAGAAAAGGGAATAGACGAGTTGCGCAGGGGAGTTTTCAATACGGCCGTCTGTGCAACTTATCAGAGGCTAGAACCTACCTCCATATTGTAGGCTGTAGCGGGGCTCTCGTTAGCGCCTGGCTTGCTGTCGCCTGATTCTGCTGGCATGCTGGCGTCAGGGACAGCCGCAGCGGGCGCGCAACAGTATTCCCTTACGTTGGCCGTAGGCCTATATGGTGGGGGCTTGTGTGGTACATGGAAGCCCTGAAAAGACGTCACGGAGGAATCACTGGTCAATAGGCAGAAATCTAATCAGTAGAAATCAGCCAATTGAATTTGATCAGCGCTAAATCCTGATCAGCCTCAACCAAGAATGGGCGCAGTGGTTGCTTGCCTGAAAGCGTGGGCCAACGTGCCCCTGTTGATTGGTCACGGCCCAGGGGCAAACAATAGACGCCGGAGAGGCCAGGTACGTCAACGTGACATGCACTAGCTGCTGGCAAGGGGTGTGGACTGTGCATGGCGTGCGTCACCTATGCGTAAAGCAATAAGCCACGACAATTACAAAATATAAGAAGCGTCGCTGCTTTTGTGTTGCTAGAGCCGGATCACGGGCTCCTGCAGCCAGCAGTAGTAGCCATGTCCCGCCAGATCACCGAGCCCAGTCTTGGGGATGCGCCTGCGCGCTGGATATTTGAGGAAAAAGTCTATGCACATTCACGGGCATCCGCACAGGCGTTTGCCCATTCTCCCCTGCCACCCCAACACTGACCAGAGTGGACCGCGTTTCCTTTAACGGCGTGAACTCCACTTTCAATCCGTTCGCACGGCCACAGCAGACAGATAGGATATTCTGCGTGGAACGGATATTACCCTTGCAGCCAGTTACCGGGAGTTGCCAGAATTTCGCTATATATCCCGCCGATTTCGAATAGCAGATGGGGACCGCGCTGTCCGGGGGTTGGGTGGAACCCGAACGCTGGTGCGCTGCCTGCACCGCCTGCAGTGTGCGTCGAGTGTTGGTGCTGGCAGAAAGTCACGAAATATGGCCTGAGCTTATCGCAGGCACACTCGGGCGGGAGATGCATTAGTAATGATAAAAAAAAGTGGTAGGGGATTGAAGGACGCACATCCCCGCCCAGCCGCAGAACAGTGCAGAAGGAACTGCGACATGCGAATGATGATAAGCCTGCGTGTGCGCGCGAAACAGGTTTTTAGGAGAATTACAGGCAGACATGGACGAAATTCTCCTATCGACGGCTTCTTTCTGGCCAATGGCCGCAGCCAGCAGCGCAGTTGATGGCGACGATAAGGCGGAGAAAGCGAGGCGTTGTGGTCATGCTGGCAGATTTTCTGCAACCGCGGACACTGGGCTGGCCTAAGCAAGCGGGAGCGTGCGCATATCACTCGGTGTTAGGAATATTTACTCTGCCCTCTGACAAATGCCAAATATGTGGCCTGTGAATCCCTCGAAAAAAACTCTTGGCCACAGACAGGAATCCACTTTTTCGGAGATATAAAAGTCGCGGCTGGGCTGCTCTCGCCCTTCTCCTCTGCTAGACTCCAGAAAAACTGACAGCCTTTCCCTCCTCTCCATTCTTTTCACCCGCTCCACAGTTTCGTATTCCCAGCAAAATACCCGGCAATGGATTTCTTCAAGCCCAGCTCTGTCTCCTACCAGCCGCACATGCGCCGCCGTTCGTCGGTGTCGTCGAGCGGGTCGTCGGCTGCTGCCGACTCCCTGCTGTCGTCGCCTGTGTCCCTGACTGCGCCCTCACTGCCAGCAGTTGAGCGCGTCCTGGGATACACGTATGTGTGCGAGGGGTGCGGGTTCGGCACCAATCTGCTGTCATCGTACATGCCGCACATCTCGAACCCGTGCGACCAGCCTGTCAAGATTTCGTGGGGCAAGCTCTGAGATGCGCGACAAACGAGATAGCCGGACAAAAAGAGTCGCTGCACTTGTACTGTAATAACACGGGAGGAAATATCCTTCCCCTTGATGCGGGTAACTTCACACTCTCTTTCCAAGCGCCAGCAGCGACATGTCTGCCAGGCCCAAATATCCAGCATGCTTTTCTTTCGCGGATACACGCAGTATCCGCCCCATTCCCCTCTTGTAACTTTATTCTCACCAGACTGACTAATAATAAATGCTCGCACCATATGTCTTCTGGCGACATCTGTTACTGCCTCGCCCAGCGTAATCCCACAGCGGACACATGTTCTGAGACATTCGAGCGTTTTTGGGCACAGTGAAATGTGTTTGTGTGCAAACACAGACCGTGCATGTCTGACAATTGCCTATACGTTGTCAATGTCTCGTTGCCACGCCACGCTGCCTTGCAACTTATCAGTTGCTTTTAGCCACACAAGGAAAAGAAAAGCGGCAGCCAAAGGGCGATAAGGCGGCTGGGAAAGCTTTTTTTTTTCTCGTTATTCGCGCGTGCGCCGATTCTCTCCACCGGGTGCCTGGGAACTGCGGGATCCATGAGCCTGCTGGGAATCGGCCAGTCCCCAATCGCCAGAGCAGGTGATCCAATCCGCGGTAATACCCGCGGCGCGCCAATAGAATTAAATCACCGTTTTAAACGAAAATATGGCCAAAAATTTTCAAAAAAAAAAACGACAGCTTAAAAACCTCCCAGGCGCAAGGCAGTGCTGCCCTCTCTACTCTTCACAGACCGTCTTCACCTCCATTCTCTTTACACACATACATATCATAAAAATGGCCGGCAAGTCTACCAGCAAGCACTCCAAGAAGGACAGATCAGCCAGCAAGGTAAGCACACATGGCACTACCGATCTGCTATGCCATCTTGATCCGAGTTCAATTGTACTGAATATGAATCCAAACTGTAATGCGCGTAGGCTGAGAAGAAGTCCAAGAAGAAGGAGGTCGCCAAGAAGCAGGAGCAGGCTTCGAGTTCCTCGGATTCATCCGATTCGTCTGATTCGTCTGATTCGTCCGACTCTGACAGCTCTGACAGCTCTGACAGCTCCGACTCTGAGCCTGAGACTAAGGCCGAGTCCAGCAGCTCCAGCTCCAGCTCCAGCTCCAACTCTAGCTCCAGCTCCAGCTCCAGCTCTGATTCCGACAGCTCTGACAGCTCCGACTCTGACAGCGAGTCCGAGTCCGAGGAGGAGAAGAAGGAGGAGAAGAAGGAAGAGTCTAGCTCCAGCAGCTCTGACTCGTCTGACAGCGAGTCCGAGTCCGAGTCCGAGTCCGAGGAGTCCGACGAGAAGGAGGAGTCCAGCGACAACAAGCGCAAGGCTTCGTCTGAGGAGGACGAGGCAGAGGTTGAGGAGGATGCCTCGACCAAGCGCCCCAAGAGCGATGACGCCGAGTCGACGACGACCGTCTTCACAGCCAACCTTCCGTTCGGCCTGGATGATGAGACCCTCAAGCAGTCGTTCGCCGACTTTGGCTCGGTCACCGACGCGTATGTTGCGCGCCTTCCCAACGGCCGTGCCCGCGGCTTCGGCTACGTCGACTTCACGACCACCGAGGAGCGCGATTCGGCTCTTAACGCCGGCGCCATCGAGATCGAGGGCCGCGAGGTGCGCATCGAGGAGAGCAACAAGACTGCCACTGCCCACCGTGCCCGCGCCGAGGCCGACGCCCAGCGCCAGGAGAGCGAGCCGTCGACCACGCTGTTCATTGGCAACCTCTCGTTCCAGACGTCCGAGGACTCGATCCGCGCTGCGTTTGCCGAGTGCGGTACCATCACTGACATCCGCCTCGCCACCGACCGCGATACCGGCCGCCCCAAGGGATTCGGCCATATCCAGTTCTCGACTGTTGAGGAGGCCCAGGAGGCCATGAAGTGGAACCAGTCGGAGCTCGACGGCCGTACCATCCGTCTTGACTACGCGCAGGGCCGTCAGGGCGGCGGTGGTCGCGGCGGCTTCGGCGGCGGCCGTGGCGGCTTCGGCGGCCGTGGTGGTCGTGGTGGATTCGGTGGAGGTCGTGGCGGCTTTGGCGGTCGCGGCGGCGGCCGCGGTGGATTTGGTGGCCGTGGTGGAGGTCGTGGTGGATTCGGCGGCCGTGGTGGAGGCCGTGGTGGATTCGGCGGTGGTCGCGGCGGCTTCGGTGGAGGCCGTGGTGGCTACAGCCGCGACGCTGCGCCGTCGGGCAACAAGATCACCTTCGACTAGTTCACAAAATACTACGCTATCTGTCTTTATACAGCACCATTCTCCCTTTCCATATATCCTCTCGTTTCGTGTTTAAAATAACAAATGTTGATCTCAAATGCGGCTGGCAACAAGCAGATCCAGGACTTGGTGGATGACTGGATGGTCCATATGGTACGGAGGCAAAGGGTACATTTGAAACTAGTGACTGGTATGCAGCAATGGCACTGGCTGCAAAAGCAAGTGCTGGTATCAGAACATGTCCTCATAGACTGCACAGTCTACGCACATTCTGGCATTTCCTTTATATGCACGGCCTGCCCTCTCGGCTCATGGGTATGGATTAGAGCTCATGCTGCCGACTGCAACTAAACAATATAGTAGACTGCTAGGCACGCAATGTACGTGGGCAGTGCAACAACGGCAACGTCGCGCATTGTGATGCCCACCTTACGCACTAGCCCGTGCATGCCCCAGTGTCTTGGATGCCTGTCTAAAGAAGTAGGAGGCGGAAGCCTGACAGGCATATACTCTGCATCGCTTCCTTGCTTGGAGTGCCACCACTGCCGCAGCCCGCGCGTTTCCCAGTAGCACACAGCAACGACCACCAGCAGCGACAGCACAAAGCTCGCAATATACACCTTGTAGATGCCGAGCTGGTAGGGCAAGTAGCAGTTGGTGACATAAAACTCTGGCGCCCTGCCTGTGGAGTTGTCGCCCGGATACAGGGTCATTAGGCCATAGCTCGCAATGGGCACGCCGCTGGCCCACCCAAACGCGCCAATGGTGTACTCTGTCGCTGCTTTGCCTCTATGTGTCGGGTGCTGGATAGTGCACGTGTCGTGGTCGTCGCCGCTAAACACCGCGGTGGGCGCTATCGACTCAAGCAGGTATTCGGTCGTGTTCTGGAACAGCTGGTCGCGGAACTGGTACCCACGGCGGTTTTTCAGGTATTTTGTGCTTGCCTGCCGCAGCGGCCCACAGTATGTCTCTGCCGGCCGCCACATAGGCACGTGTGTGAACAACAGGCGTGGGCTGCTGGCCGGGGCTGCTGCCAGGCGCTCGACCAGATCACGGCTGGAGCGGTTGACACGGCCCAGGTCGCTCTCGAGTGTCAGCGTGTCGAGCAAAATGACTTCGTGGTCTGCAATGTGCAGGACCTGGTTTGTCGGGCCCACGTATTTGTGGAAGCGCTCCAGCGCGCTGTCAACAACAGTGTTGCCAATGCCGATATCGTGATTCCCTGCCATGTCATACACCTTCATGCTACCAGGACTCCGATTGCGGAACAATGCTTTGTACCTGTCATACTCTTCATGCCAGTCACTGTCGTTCCACTCGCGTGCGCCGTCCATCAGGTCTCCCAGGAAAATGACTGTATCTGGCTCTCGTAGCATTTGCAAGAAGATGTACGACTTTTTGATGTATATGTCGGTGAAGAACTCGACGACGCGAAGAAGGACCCCTGTCTGGTTGTACGAGTAGTGGTCGACAATTTGCGGGTCAGCGACAATAGCAACGCGGGCAGGCTCGACACCGCCCTTCTGAGCAGATGTCGGCCACCTGCACGACTGAACATGCCAGTAGTAGAGAAATATCTCGCCTATCAGCAGTGTGACCACCCAGTACCAACGAAGGAGCCGTGTCGTCGAGCTCCGGATGCGTATCATAAAGAGTTAGTTGCCCTGGACGGCTGTGCACAGGTAAAAATGGAGGATGCGAGGGGGTGCAGAGGCAGTATAGAAGTACAGTTTAGGGAAAAGGCAAGGCAAGAGGGGCCGGCAAAGTGATAATGGAGTAGAGCGGTGTGCTAGACTCGGCGCTAGAAATGTAATGAATTTTCAGCCAGAACCGCCGGCCGCTTTCTGTCCTACTGCTCCCACTCACATCTACTTCTCCATGCCACTCATGCATGCAGTAGCGAAGACGCTGGACTTTCGACAGCAAATGATTTGCGCATGGGACGAACGAGTGGGGCAAAATAATGCTGTTTGTGTGAACGCTGCATCTGCGTGTCACGCCGGCCCACATTGGCCAGACACTGCCTGGTTTTCTGTCGCGGGCCCAGCAGAGGCACCGCCGCCTTGCTGCCAGACTGCAAAGCAGGCTTCTGGACATCCAGATCCATGGGCTGGCAAATAGCCCCACTGGCTCCTGGCGCGCCAGTGGTTGCCTCCTCAGCTTGAGCACTAGGCACGCTGGTGCCAAGCGTTCCCCGTGCCACTGGCACCATGTTCTAGAAGGTGATGAGGATTTGCCGACCTCTTTGGCACACCCTTTGTTGGGGTGCACCGTCGCCAGCCAGAGCTTGGCGGTTTCACCAATGCTGCAGTCCTAGAGCGGGGTGATCGTCGATGGAATATTATTTTAAAAACGGTCAGCTTTTGCTATGGTGGTGTGTTTCACTTCAGCATGCGGCGCAGAATTTTGCCTGACGCGCTCTTGGGGATCGCATCCACAAGGCGGTACCCACCACGCAGCTTCTTGTAGTATGCAACCCTGCCATCGAGCCACTCGACGACCTCACCAGCAACCTGGTCGGGTGTCTGCAGCTTGTCGTCGATGTTGAGCACCAGAAACGCCCTGGGCACCTCGGTATTGCGCTCCTCATCATAGACGCCCACCACTGCTACGTCGCGGACACTCGGGTGCTGGTGCAAAAGGCCCTCGAGCTCGGCCGGCGCAATCTGGAAGCCATTGAATTTTATCAGCTCCTTTTTGCGGTCGGTCACATACACGAACCTGTCCTCATCGATGTACCCAATGTCGCCAGTGTGCAGGAAGCCGTCGGTGTCAATAGTGTCGGCGGTAGCCTGCTCGTTGTTGAGGTATCCTATCATGATGTTGGGTCCGCGGAAGCACAGCTCGCCGGTCTCGCCTACTCCCAGCATGTTTCCATCGTCGTCGATGACCTTTGCCTGGACGCTGGCTAACAGGTTGCCTGTGGACCTGATGTTCATGCTGGTTGGCCACCCGAGTGACAGCGCTGGGCACGCCTCAGTTGCACCGTATCCTTGGACCACGCAGGCATTGGGGATACACTTCTTGAGCTCCAGGGCCATGGCAGCGCTCAGCGGTGCAGCGCCACTAAGTAGCAGCTGAAGGCTGGACAGGTCATAGTCGCGCACAATCGGCAATTTGACCAGCCCATTGACAATCGGCGGCACCACTGGCGACTGCGTCACCTTGTGTCTGGCAATCAGGGTCAGATAGCGCGCCATTTCAAACTTTGCTATTACAACCACGGCTATGCCAGCGGACTGGGCTGCCGAGGGCAAGTAGGGTCAGGCCATAAATGTGGAAGAAGGGCAGCACTGCCAGGGTAGTTTGGGGGCGCTCCTTGGTGAAGTCGTCGGTGAGCAGACCAAAGCACTGCAGGATGTTGGCAACAACATTGCGGTGGCTTAGCATGACACCCTTGGGCAGGCCGGTGGTGCCGCTAGAGTAGCACAGCAGGGCGGTGGTGCCCTTGGCCTCTTGCTCGGTGGTTAGCAGAACACGAGGGTACTCGCTGTCACTCAGTACGTCAAAGACCGACGGCACACTGGTGCTTCCAACAACCACCGGCGTTTTGCCGATGACCAGCACATTATTTGTCAGCGAAATGCGCGAGAGATTGCCCTGGACGTCGTCGTCAAGCGCTGCTTGTACAATAGGCAGAAAATCAGCTGCTGCAACAACAGCTGAGGCGCTTGAATCCACCAGCTGGTATGCCACCTCGCGTGCCGTATACGCCGGGTTGACCAGGGTGCATGTTGCTCCAACCATTAATGTGGCAAGTACAGCGGCCGGGTAGTAAATAGTGTTAGGCGAGATGATGGCCACGACATCGCCGGGCCGGACGCCCACCGTGTGGTAGAGCCCGGATGCCAGCCGTGTGGTCAGCGACTCGAGCTCGGCCAGTGTCAGCGAATCGCCATCGTCAACATCACCATCGACGAGGAGAGGTCGTGGCTCGTTTTCGCGTGCAAAATCGGCATTGGCGCCCAGACGGCCAAAGAAAAACGTCGGCAGGTCTGTCGCCGGGATGTCAATATCGGGTAGTCTGGAATTGATGATGGTCATGGTTCAGCAAGTGCCAAAAGAATTGCAAGTAGATAAAGAAGGGCCAGAACGAGAAGGCACAGCGGACCGTTCCCTCTGTTTTAACATAGCCGAAGGGCTACATAGTAGTGAAACGTAACAAGCAAATGGGTGGCGCACATACACGCATTTTGAGCAATAGACATTGCTCCAAACCGAGCAAGCCACGGCGCCTGGTGTGTGGAACAGTTCGGCTCGGCTCGGCTCTGGCTGTAGGTGATAGGGCACACATGGCCTCCACAGTTCTCAGCCAACGTCACTCCTCTCGCTCCAGCTCAACTTCAAAACATCAGCCTCTCTATTAAATGACAAACAGCATTTACGACGCAACAACAGCCTCGTCACGGCTTAGTATCGGCAGCACAGCGAGTGGGTCGCGGCGGCACAGCTTGCTCTCGACAGATGAGCCCACATACGACAATTACGATTATGCGAATGCGTGGAGCACGCATGGCGACAAGTTGAGCCGGTGGCGAACAGCATACATTGCGAGTGAGACGGGTGACGTAGACGGGGTGCAGTCGACATCGCTGGCGCTGCCGGACGAGTCACGGTTCACGACTTGCTTGGCAATGAGCGAGGACCAGCCCCTGCTCGCGGTCGGGTCGGGGTCGTACGAGACCAACATGTTCTTCGTGCAGAGTCTCGACGACCAGCTGGATGTCAAGGCGTCGTTTGCGTCAAAGTTTCCGATATATTCATTGGCGTTCCAGGCGAACCTGCTGATGGCTGGTACAGAGCGCAACACCAGCGTGCTGTACTCTGTCGACCGATCGAGGCTGCTTGGGTATCCCAGCGAGGATGGGTCTGACAACAGTGAAAAGCCGCTTGTCAAGTGCGTGGGCACGTACAAGAACAAGGCAGCAAAGAGCATCGACATTGCAGCGCCTGGAAACCACATCCCGACACGGCGTGTCAACTGTGTCGAATTCTCGCCGGCCTTCTCGCAGGGTGGGTCGGGGCAGAGCTGGCCGCCAGCGTCGGTCAACTCGACCTCAGCCATGTTCTTCTCGTGTCTCGGCGGCGTAGTCAACGTGTGGGATGCCACGCGCAACCAGCACGCACTTCGTGTCGAGAAGGTCTCGAATCAGCCTCTGAGCTGCGCCCAGTGGAACATGCATTCGCCAGCCAATATTGTTGCTGCTGCAGGCGTCGACGGTGTGGTCAACGTACTGGACTTTAGGCGGCGTGGCAAATCCGTTGTCTGGCGCACATCTACCAATGACATGGCGCCCCTGGGCGCCGCCGGGTGGGCAGTCAATGATGTCAAGTGGTCGCCGTTCGTGCCGTACTGGCTGGCCAGCGCCGACGAGTCAGGGCAGGTCAGCATCTGGGATCTGCGGTTTGCAGCGTCTGGCGGCTCGCCAATCGCGACGGTACGGCACCCGACCAGCTATGGATCCATCAAGAGCGTGGGGTGGAGCCCGACCCATGTGGATCTGCTGTCCAGCGGGACCGGCGACCGCACATGGTGGCTGCATTCTCTGCGCGTCGAGGATAGTGGGGACGTTGGCGGCAAGGAACAAAGCGTCCATGGCACAGTGGTTGCTGACAAGCGCGCCGCAGACGACATTGGGGCAGTCATCTCGGTGCAGGCCAAGGGCAGCACGTACTACACACTGAGCTCGTGCGGCGACCTGTACTCGCACCGCATAACACCGGCGGCTCTTCACGGCGGCGCGGTCCACCGCATTGATGGCGACCAGTTCCGCCGCACAGAGGGTGCTGTATATGCTCGCGATCTAAAGGAGGCGGCCGGGTCAGTCCTTGGGCTGATTGAGAAGCTCAAGGAGGAAACAGACAGGGCTGCTGCTAGCACAGCAGGTGACGGCCAGCCCGTTGCAGAGGCCGATGGGTCGGTGGGTGCCGGTGAGCACCCGATTATGAAGTACTCTGACAGCATTCGCTCGCTGTGCGATTTGTTCAAGGCGAAGCCCAAATTGACCAATGAGTCGTGGAAGATTGCGCCGCTGTCAAGCAATGCAGAGCAGTCGTCGGTCGAGCAGGATAACCCCAAGGCTGTTGCCAGCTTCATCGACGACCTATCGCTGCTCGGCTATGGGCTGCCGCCTGGGTACCCGCTGGAAGCGACGGTCTTGCGCGACCAGGTGGTGTGGCAGGCACTGGAGCGACTGAATATGTCGAATCTGCGGATCAAGCTGTCAGACATGTTGGCTACTGCCGACGAGGAGCAGGCACAGGATCCGAATGCAGTGCCCAAGAATGCCGACGGCCAGCCGATCTGGAAGGCCATCATGGAGCGCGAAAAGCAGCTGATCCAGTACCTGAAGAGCGAGCCCAGTCTGTTTGACCCGCGGCTTCTTCGCCGGGTGGTCAAGCTGATTCTGCCGCACGACTGTATTGCTGGGTTGAATCTGGGCCTCGGTATCTGCCAGGCGTACCTGGACATGCAGAGGCCGTGTGCGCCGCTGGATGGGCTGGTGCATGTGCTGCTGTTCCCGACTGTGTTTGATGCTGATTCAGGCGGCAGTGCTAGCGATGCCGACGGCAGCATGGTGACACGCTCAGTTGTGGCCCCCGACGTACAGATTGTGCGTGACCGCATCAGCGAATGTCTGTTTGCGTGTCCACAAGTGGTGTTTGAGATGATCCGGCTTGAGATCAAGATCCAAGAGACTGTGCTCAAGGGCGGTGAGCAGACCGCAGTGGCCGAGGCCATCGTCAGCATCGTCAAGGAACATGCAAAGACCGCTTGCCGGCTGCTGAACGAGTCGGCCAACCAGAGGCAGATTCAAATCCACCCTAGCTACCCGGCCACCACCACGCTGTCGGCCAGTGCGGTGCGAATGTACCTGAACTCGTTGGTGCCAATGCGTGCTTACGACGAGTACCTAATCAATACGCAGTGGTGGCGCGTAATGCCCGCGCGTGTGTCGAGCGAGGAGGGCCATACAATAGGCAGCGACTCTGGCTGGCTGTCGTCCTACCCGCTGGCGCGCACACTGAACAAGCAGACTGCGACGCTGGTGGTGCCGCGGTTCCGGCGCCAGATTGATGTTGTCCTGTCCACGGTCCAGAAGGAGCCGCTGAGCCTCGAGCCGCGGCTGTACCGCGACACACTGGTCAAGGTTGCGAGGATGAATCTGCTGATGCGGCACGAGCATGCGCTTGACTTTGAGGTCAACGGCCAGGTCGTGACAACCGGTATCCCGACGGAGCTGTTGGCGACGGCATTCCGCGATATCGGGTCGGCGTTCCTGATGCTACTCGAAGCGCTGACGCGCCACACGAGCCACCGCGACTCGTTTAGGCGGGCGGCCAACGAGGCAATGCCGCTGCGCGATTCCTTGGCCGGGCTTGTCAAGAGCGAGTCTGAGTCGGGTGACGCGACGAAGCGTGTGGAGCTGGTGGCCATTGCCAAGTTCCTGCGGCAGCTCGAGCAGTATGCGGTATCGAACGGCGTGCCACAATGACAGGCAAGGAGTATAAAGAGTCCCTTGTCTTTTGTTCTTGTGCCATAGCCCGTTTTCCAAGCCGCCTTTGGCTATGACGACCTTGCATTATTCGAGCTTTCTGTATGTGAATTTGGCGATTATGTGGCTGTTCGAGTTTGACAGATATCCATATTGTGTGCTGGCCATATGAGCGATTGTCGGGCTGTTTATGATGTATTCAAATGTTACTGGTTGTGTATTCACGCTGCCAAAACGGGACCCCGAAAGCAGCAACAACAAGGGCGGCTATAACTGAGGGCGGCGTATGTTCCTCGTTTGTGTCTGTTTTGCCTATCGTTGCTGCGCTACAACCAGCGCACGTTTCCAAACGACCTGGGAAAGCCAAGGAGCAGGAGTCAATGGAGCAGCCAGCAATGTGGCTATAAAGAAGCTCCGGCTCAGCGCCGGTGTACACGATGCACTTGTTCCCATCCCCCATCAGAGATCCTCCCGTATCCCTTCCACCAGCTCCCTCATACTTTTCTTTAAACCTCTCGGATTCGCCTGCAGTACATCCCACAAGAGCTCCTTCAACAATGCGTACCGTTGCCCTGATCTCCCTGCTTGCGGCCAGTGCCATCGCCGCCCCTACATTTGGCTTCCAGCGCCGCCAGCTGGGGGGCGCCAGCCTTGCAAATGGCCCTAATGCAATCGACGATACCACAGTCAACTCTGGTGCTATTGACGAGGGCGTTGTCAAGGATACAACCTCGTTTGAAGGTGCCCAGATCATCAACCCCGAGGGCAATACGCTTGTCAAGTCGACCGAGAACTTTGACTTCCACGACAACAACGTCATCAACCCGGATATCAACATTGCCACGGGTGGGCATGGCCCGACAATTGTTGGCAATGACAACTACGTGCTGCCGATCGGCAGTGGCGTGTGGGGCGGTATCGTGTTCAAGCGCCAGCAGCTGGCAAACGCTCCAGTGGGAGTCAGCAACCCGACTGTTAACCAGGGTGCCTTGACCGAGGGCTCGACGTCGTCCAATCTCTCTGCAGACGGCGCTCTGGTCTCGAACCCAATTGGCAACTCGGTGACGGATGTCAACAACAACTCGGAGGTTGCTGGCAACGACTTTGTCGACTCGACCTTCAACACGGTGTCCAACGTCAATGGCCCGGCGTTTGCCGGCGACAACGGCATTTTCATCCCGGTGGTGAACGAGGCCGACGCCATTCACTTCGACAATGGGGCTCTGCTCGACTTCTTCCTGGGCGGCGGTTTGCATTAGATAGTAGGTGCTGGGTAGTCAGAGTCAAATATTTACAAACATCGACAGCAGCGTGTCCAAATGTCATGTGCGTCTTGGCAGATGTGTGGTGGTGGTGGTGGTATTCCTCGTTTGAAATAGCTAAAAACTAGGTTGTCAATGGTGAAGGAAGGGCCGGAAAGTGAACTATAGAATCCTAACTAATTTACAGGTATGAGGTGGAGAAATCAGAAGAGAACATTTACACATAGTAGCAAGCCGTTGTGTTGAGACAAAATGCGAGGGGATGCGGTGCGGTGCTTTGCTAGAGAAGAAGCCAGTACAGCAGGAAAGGGAGCCTGGTGAGAAGCCTTGGGCGACGAGTGCGAGAATCTTGTCATAGAAAAGTGTGCCTTTTTGTTGCTCAGAATCGAAAGAAATACCCGGAATATGGAGACGAAGTGGAGGCGAGCTTAGTACTCGGGGTTGGACTCGCCCTGCTGGCCGTAGCCGTCGTCGCCGTAGTTGCGACGGGGCTGCTGCTGGTACCCGCCCTGCTGGTATCCGCCCTGCTGGTATCCGCCCTGCTGGCCGCCGTAGTTGTTGCGACGCTGGTAGCCACCCTCATTGCCACCATAGTTGTTGCGGCGCTGGAAGCCACCGCCGTTGTTGTTGTAGCTGCCGAAGGGGCGGCGCTGGGGAGCGCTGCTCGGGTCACGCTCAGTGGCAGTCGACACGCGGATGCTGCGACCGTCCAGCTCCGATCCGTCAGCCTCCTCGATGGCGCGCTGGGCATCCTCGCCGTTGACAAAGGTCACAAAGCCAAAGCCGCGCGAGCGACCGGTCTCGCGGTCAGTCAGCACGATGGCATTCTCGATGGGGCCGAACTCCTCGAAGCGGGTCTGCAGAGCAGCGGAGTCAACAGCCCAGGGGAGCGAGCCGACGAAGATCTTGACAGCCATGATAACTGGAGGAGGGGAGGGAGTGGTTGGTTAAGAAAGAAACTGGAGACTTGAGGGAAGCCTGGAGAAAGAGAGAAAAGAGAACAGAAAAATACTGTAAGTATTGGAAATTGGGAGTTGGAGACGGAGCAGAAGAGGTGCCGCGCAGGTGGAAAATTTTTTGTCGACAGCAGCGCGGCTGCAGATTGCGTTGCTCTGCGCGCGTTGCTGCCGGACACGTTGGCAGTAATCGCCTGGGCTTGATCGCTGTGATTGTGGATTGGGCCGTCACGTGGAGGACGTCCGTCGGACGCTCGGCTAATGGTTTAGGCATCGGCGGAAGTGCGGCGCCGGAGCTGGCGCCTGACCGTGCTAGTATCAGCAGCCAGACGGCCTCGCGTGGCCAGGGTCGGGTTCGCATATGCGGCTGCGGGCGTGTGTATGTGTATCTGTGCACACCACCCATATGCAAGCATTTGGATGCGATCACATCCGGCACAGCTAACTCGTGCAGCAGCCCGTTGTCGTGTGAGCTGCAATCTCTGCCTCTTAATCAGTCGTTTTTCGAATACAAGCACCATGTCTGTCGGAAAGTTTATCGGACGCAACACTCACTACCGCTCGTTCAAGGTTCGCATCACCGGCCGAGCTGCTTGGGCTTGACCTCGAGCTGACGCCCGACTTCAAGAAGGGCACGACCAACAAGACCGACGACTACCTCGCAAAGTTCCCGGTGGGCAAGTTCCCGGCCTTTGTTGGCAGCGACGGCTTTACAGTCAGCGACAGCAACGCCATCGCCTACTACCTGGCCGGTCTCAAGGACGACTCGCCCTTGCTCGGCAGCACGCACAAGGAGAGCACCAAGATCATGCAGTACGTGCTGTTCGCCGAGTCCGAGATTCTGCAGGCCACGCACGCGTGGCAGAAGCCAACGCAGGGCAGCCTGCCGTACTTCAAGCCGGCGGTGGACCAGGCTGAGAAGAACATTGGGCGGTTCCTGGCTGCACTGAACCAGACGCTCGAGGGCAAGGGGTACCTAGTCGGCGACCGACTGACGGTTGCCGACGTCATCATGGCATGCGACCTGCACCCGCTGTTCACCGAGTACCTGGATGCGCACAGGCGCCAGCAGTACCCCGAAGTGACGCGCTACTTTGTGGCTATGTTTGCGCAGCCGGCATTCCGCGCCTATTGCCGGCGACGTTGCTCTGTGCGAGACGCCCAAGGACGTACACGCCAAAGTAGGCTTTTCCAGTGTGATACGAATGCAAAGCAGTTAGCTGGCCTGATGGGCGGATCACACATGCAGTGGATGTGAGGCAGGCGCTTGGAATGCAGCCAGACGTAGCAGGTAGCCGGGGGACATATCCTAGCGCCGGAGGCTGCTCAGGTGCCACAGAGCTGCAGAAGCACCAGCTGGACAGGCTTCCATCAGTAGCATATCGCACCCTTGCCAGGTGGATATTGCAGCATGTATTCCAGTGGCCAGCTGCACGCTCGCTGTGCGGGCAAGGCATTCCAGCCCGGCACATGCCGGGGGCGGTAGGACAGCAGGCAATGCTGTGGCTGGCCGGGCTGAGCACCGACTGGCCAACAATCCGTGGCCCCACTGCTGGTGTTGTGGGCTGGGCTGGCTGCTATTGTCGAAAAGACTCTGCTTGCTTCCTACTGCTTTCATAACGAACAGCCTTGTCGCCTTTCAGGAACCCTCTGGCAATTCCTGTTTGAAAATTGTGATCTGCAGCTTGGTCCAGCTTGTTGTCGTTTTTCGCCTTGAAAAAACACACCTAGTTGGGCGCAGAACTAAAAAATTTACTCTTGTCCTTTTCCCCTCTATTTCACTATCCTTTCTAGCATTTAATTCTTTCGAATCCAGCGCGCTAATCTCTGACCTGCCCTTGCGCTGTAAATAGTAATAAAGACCCCGGGAAAGAAGCAGCACAGTCAAAGGTACGAAAAGCGCTAGAAATAGAGGGCGTGGGCCTGCCGGCTGTGCGGGCAATTCAGGAGCCGGGCCGCCCGCGCTCTCGGAGCAGCCAAAGCCATGCACCGCAGCCTCGACGCAACAAACCCGTATACTCAACATACACACACACACGCACAAACCATCACCTTAGTCATGTCCAAGACCCAGTTTGTCCGCGAATATAAGCTCGTCGTTGTTGGCGGCGGTGGTGTCGGAAAGTCGGCCCTGACCATCCAGTTCATACAGTCGCACTTTGTCGACGAATACGACCCTACAATTGAAGGTAAGCCACTTCTGCATGCTGCTCCCAGCCGCAGCTGGTGGAGCTGGTACTATACATGCGCTGTTGGCACGTTGGCATGCCCACGGATGGTGCCATTTCTAAACATCCATCCCATGTACTATACGTAGACTCGTATCGCAAGCAGTGCGTGATCGACGACGAGACCGCGATGCTCGATGTCCTCGACACTGCCGGCCAGGAGGAGTACAGGTACGCGCCTTTATGTTTTGTTTACACCGCCGTCTTCGGGGGAGGGAGGCTTCCTTTGGGACATGGATGAAAAAAAGTTTGTTGTTGACCGCGTCACAGCGGGAAAACCCCGCCGATCATTGCGAGCAACAAAAGACCACTACATCCGACCTCCCTTTTCTCAATTCGCAGACGCATGCCGAAAATCCCTCTTTTCTGCGCCGCCATTTTTTGCGTGGGCAATCGCCTGCATTCCTTGCTGTCAGCATGAACCACTAACGCCATGATGACGACGCCGATGTAGTGCTATGCGGGAGCAGTACATGCGCACCGGCGAGGGCTTCCTTCTGGTATACAGCATCACATCGCGGAACTCGTACGAGGAGATGCCCACCTTCCAGCAGCAGATTCTGCGCGTAAAGGACCGCGACTACTTCCCCATGCTCATCTGCGCCAACAAGTGCGATCTCGAGTCCGAGCGCCAGGTTGCCTCGCAGGAGGGCCAGGAGATGGCCAAGGCCTTTGGCTGCCCGTTCCTGGAGACCTCGGCCAAGACAAAGATCAACGTCGACGAGGCATTCTACACACTAGTCCGCGAGATCCGTCGCTACAACAAGGAATTCGCCTCGCTCTCTGGCGGCGGTGTCTCCGGCGGTATGAGCGGCCCTGGCGGCGGCTACGGCGGCGCCCCCGAGGACAACGCTGGCGGATGCGGCTGCATCATCCTGTAAGGCGGCCTGCACACGTCCGGGCCATGTTGCAAAGAAAAAACTCCCCATCTCCCAACCCTACTTTTTTTTTTTAGCTCTATAACTTTTTCAAATAACTTTTTTTAACAGCACCTAGTATTTAGCAGCACTCCGGCTTCATAACGAGCGTGAATCCCAGAAGATGGCTCTTTTGCAGATACCACTGCGACCGTCACCATCATCGTCGACGTTGCCCATACTGCGAGCATCAGAGCCTGCATCATCATCACCGTTCCCCGTTAATCAGGGCTGTCGCCATTTCAGCCACAGCGATCTCCGCCCTTCTGCTCATCAGCCGCTCCATCTTCAAAATTCATAATTCGAAATGAACACTGCACGGGCTGCTGGGTCGCTTGGACGCCGCGTACACCAGATAGTCGGAACACCGCTCGACAGCTCCGAGGTACGGTCGGCTCTCGAGTCGCTTGCGTCATGCTACCAGCAAACCGGCAGCGTCAGCAGCAACATGGAGTCCACAGGGCCGCATGGCCTAGGCGGCCTGGCCCGCCATCGTGACCTGCGCACCGACATGCAGGAGCAGGTGTCGCAGCTTGACTCAGACTTTATTGCGTCTCTGCGGGCTGTCGATGCTGTGTTTTCGGAGCTCGAAAAGTCGGTGCTTGACATTGACCAGCAATGCAGCGAGCTGCGGGGCCAAGTCAACCTTGCCCTGCGGTGCACAGCGGGTGCTGCCGAGCAGGCTAGCTTGCTTGTCGACGAGCGCAAGGACTTGCGCACACGGCTGACCCTGGCCTCCGAGTTTGTTGCCCGCTTTGCGCTGACGGCTGACGAGGCTCAGGCGCTGGGCTGCGGTGCCACGGGCGACTCACGCACTATTGTTGCTGATGACCGGTACTTTGCCGCTCTGGACAAGCTGGCCAACACCCGTCTCGAGTGCCAAAAGCTGATGGCCGTAAAGTCGCAGACTGCAGTCGAGGACCTGACGCGGGAGCTGGCGCGCCAGGAGGAGGTCGCCTACCAGGGCTTGCTGCGCTGGGTGCTTGGCGAGGTGCGCGAGCTCAACCGCGACTCGCCCGAGTTCAGTTCTCGCTTGAAGCAGGCGCTGCAGAAGCTGCAGTCACACCAGACCCTGTTTGATGTCGCGCTGAAGGAGATTGCAAAGATCCGCTGCGAGTCGCTGGCCAAGTCGTTCATCACTGCGCTTGTTCGTGGTGGTCCCAACGGCACCCCGCGGCCAATCGAGGTCCACGCAGCCGATCCCCAGCGGTATGTGGGCGACATGCTTGCATGGGTGCACCAGGCGTATGCGTCAGAGAACGAGTTGCTTGATACGCTATTCTCGCTCACCGACGCTGCCCAGCGCGAACAGGTGCGCGAGTCCAAGTCGAAGCTGCTGGGCATGTCGCTGGAGAATCTTGCCCGTCCGCTTGAGATCCGGATCGAGCAGACCGTATCCGAAATTCGCTCGCCTACCTTCCTGTACCGGATCGACAGCCTGCTGAGCTTCTATGCCGAGATGTTTGCTATGGCCTGTCCAGCAGACTCAGCCTTTATGGCTACGATGTACTCGCTGTGCAACACGACACGCGGCCGCTTGCTTGATATTCTCAACGCCTTGGCCGACACCGCCTTTGCCGATTTAGATAATGTGCCTACGACGCTGGATGTGCCGGCCTCGCTCAGCTCGCTGTTGGGTGTTCTCGGCGAAATCATGTATTTGCACGAAGATTCGATTTCACATATGCTGCAGCCGGCGCAAGGCGAAAGCACCAATGAGCTCTTGGTCAAGCCGATCCTAGGCGACATCAGCAAGATGCTCGAGCGCATCGCTGACGAAGCCCACGAATCTGCGTCGCAAAACGCCCAGCTGAAACCATACGAGCAGACCATCTTCGAGTGCAACCTGCTGCTTGTCACACAAGAGGCCACCAGCCAGTTTATCAGCCTGCAGGCGTGGCAGGCCCACTGCACCGATGCCGAGGCGCGGCTGGGCGAGGTCCTGAGCGCGCAGTTGCTGGATATCCTGACTGAAAAGTCGCAGCTGCCGTTCGAAAGCGCAGAGTCGGTGGATGGCACTGATCTCGAGCGTAGCCTGGAAGGATTCAACGCCAGCCTGAGGACTGGAACCGAAATGGACGTTGCCCGACTGGTTAGTCGCCTCAGCAACCAGGCTGCTGCGCGCTCGATTGCCCAAGGCGTCTCCCAGTCCTTCATCGACAAGTACAGGGAATTTTACACTGCCATTTCTCAGAACCCGTGTCTGGACAATATGGCTGCTCTTTTGCACACACCGGAGACGCTGTCTACCTTGCTGTAGCTTCCATCTCCATCGCTACTTCCAATATATCATTTGCGTATTGCATGTATGATGCGGGCAGTACATGTGGTAGCTGTCGCTTGCACCCCTCCTTCCGCTTATGCCACCCTCCAGGAGCAGCTGTGCACAGCGCGCAATTTTTTGTTGGCGTCATTCCTTTATCACGCCACCGGCATGTGTGCAACCAACATCTATTTTCATGTCACTGGTCGTCATCTCGTAACCTGGTGCTAAAATTAAAGTGAAAAGTGGTCTCTGTGCTACCTTAACCAGCTAAAAATTTTTCGAGTCCTTCTTTACGCAAGATAGGCCAAGGTATAAAATAGCTGTCGCGGAACTTGCACGGTAGTTTCATCCCGCGTAGCTCTACCCCCTTTCTTTTACTTCCTATCCCTTCTGTTGTTTTCGTAAAATGAGGATTTCAACCACGGTCGTCCTGCTCACAGCCGCACTTGCGGCAGTTGCAGCTGCTGATGATTCGTCTTCACAGAAGAGTGATGGTACGAGCATGTCCCGGGACGTTGTCGAGGCTGCAGCAACCACACGCCAAGAGACTACTACCACTAGCGACTCTAGTACGTCGTCGGCAGTTCAGACATCGGCCTCGACTCCTTCATCGACTCCATCTTCATCCTCGCCTGAAGATCAGACATCATCATCATCATCGTCGTCGTCGTCGTCAACATCATCAGCTGTTGAGGATAAGGATGATAGTGATACAGCGACTAGTACCACTAGCAACAGCAGCACCACTGGTGACAGCACTACTAGCGACAGCACTACTAGCAACAGCAGCACCACTGGTGACAGTACTACTAGCGACAGTACTACTAACGACAGCAGCACTAGTGACAGCAGCACTAGCGATATCAGCAGCAGCAGCAGCAGCAGCACCACGGAGACATCTAGTGATGATGCCAGCGAGAAAACTAGCGCTACTGAAAGCACTGACGAGTCGACTACGGCTACCACTGAGGATACTACCTCTGAGTCTACTAGCGACGACAACACCATCGAGAATACCGAAAGTACTGATACTGAAACTACTGGAGATTCTACTACAGATGACAACACTGCCACTGAAAAGGATACGGACAGCAATACTGATGCTGGAGACATCTGATGATGACAACGTCACCACCGACAGCGATTCTACCTCCTCAACCACGTCCAAGAAGGCGCAGCATACAGTTGTCGTTGTGGAAACCACGGTGGTCGATGGCAAAACGCAACTGCACCCAGTGACAAAGATTGTCGACGACGAAACACATACCATTGGCGAAGAGTACACTTCGACAATTGTCCAGAATGGCGAGACAAAGACAATCACCGGCACATATAGCGAGCATTCGACTATTGACTCGTCAGGGAGCGCCAGGCTGTTGGTCGGCCAGCTGCTCATGTGTGTGCCTGTTGCCGTAGCCGCAGCCATGCTCTAAGCCCGTCTCTAATCGACAGCATGGTTGGTAAACATAAATATTTAGTTATATACAAACAGAAAATGTATGGCAGATGACTTGAGGTACTATCTGCAGCAGCAGAACACAGCCTTTAGCCGGGACGGCCAGGACGACCGCGAGCTGCCGCTCTCCATGTTGCGGTACATCGTGGGCCTTCCGCCGAGTGCTGGCGGTGCCGGTGGCCGGTACGATGTGGAGTAATAGTCGGTCGACGCATAGTGATTGCCTTGGACAGCAGCCATCTCCTCGGTGCGCATGGGCGGGACATGGTCGCTCACGCGGACATCATAGATGTCATCTCTGAACTGCGACTGCGACTGCAACTGCGACTGCGACTGCGACTGCGGCTGCTGGTACTGGCTGTGCGGGTGCGGTGGAGGCAGCGGCAGAGGTGCTGGGTTGTAGGCACCCCCGCCACTGCCGCGGTATCCGCTTGCAGTGGGCCGTGTGGAGTTGGCGAGATGGACTGGAGTCTCACGCGGGGACACGGGGACTGAGACCATGGGCGGCAGACGGTAGTTGTTCAGCGCCTCTGGCGTAGCCGGGAACGAGTCTGGCGTGCTGATCGTGTCGAGGCCGTCGCTGCTGGCATAGTCGATATCAGTCGAGAGCTCACCTGTCGACTGACGCAGGACCGCTGGCTTCGGTGGGATGGCAGGCGGCGCAACCAACGGCAGCTCGGTGCCGGTCCCAGCAGCAGCACCGGAGGCAGGCGCCATTTTAGGCGGGGTCCGTGTGGCCAATGCTTGCCAGCTAAAGCCGTCAAAGAACGGGTGCTCCTTGAGCTCCTTCAGCCCGCCGCGCTGAACCGATCCCAGCCGCTTCTCGGGCTCAACCACCAGTATGCGCTCGACCATGTCGCGGGCAGCCGGCGAGATGTTTGCTGGGAATGCATAGTCAAGCTTCAGGACCTTCTGGAAGGTCTGGTACTCGTTCACTCCCTTGAACGGCGGGCGGCCAGTGAGCAGCTGGAATGCAATGCAGCCGATAGCCCATAGATCGCTGTTGCGGTCGGCAGCCTTGTCGGTGAGCAGCTCCGGCGACACGTACTCTGCAGTGCCGACGAACGAGTACGCGCGCATGTCGGTCTCGTCCTTGCCAAACATCTTGGCTGTGCCAAAGTCGGTCACCAGGATGTGCATATCGTCGCCGAGTAGAATGTTCTCGGGCTTTATGTCGCGGTGCAGCGTGTGCTCCATATGCATGTACTCGACGGCGACAACAAGCTCCGCCAGATAGAACCGCACACACTCGTCGGACAGGGCGCCCAGTCTGCGAATCCACGACAGCAGCTCGCCGTTACTGGCTATGTCGATGATAAAGTACAGGCTGTGGGCATCCTGGAACGCATAGTGCAGGCGCACGATGAACGGGTGGTGGAGGTTGTGCAGCACGTCGCGCTCAATGTTGACGTACTTTATCTTCTTCTCCTTGATGATATGCCGCTTGTCCAGGATCTTGGCTGCAAACACTTTGCCTGTCGCCTTCTCCCTCGCCTCGACTACTGTTGAATACGAGCCCTCGCCAAGCGTGCGCCCGAACTCAAAGTCTGCCACGACCCGCTTCCGTCCTGCCGCAGTAGCTACTGCTGCTGCAGCCGCTGCCGCCGAGACCGGGCTCTTCCTCTGCTGCGATGGAGGCGACTCTGCTGCCGGTGTTGCTCTCTGTGGTGTAATCTCTGGCGTTGCAGCTGCTGCGTTCAGCGCTCGCGTGGTCGACTGCATCGAGTATGCCGGCGAGTCGCCTGCCGAATTGAGTGCTCTGACTGCGTCGGCTGCCAAAGTCGATGCACCCGATGACGGTTGCTGCTGCTGCTGTTGTTGTTGCTGCTGCTGCTGCTGTTGTTGCTGCTGCGTGGGCTGTGTCGCACCTGCAACTGCAAGCCGGAGGTTAGCAGGCTTTGGCGGAATGCGCGGCTTTTCGCGCATTTCGAGCGAATCGTTCAGCGGGGCGGCTGTCATTTCCAGTGTTTGCAAATGGACGCTGTTTCTGTGCCGCTGCTGCTGGCCGGCGGTTATTTGCGTCATGTAGGTAACAGGTGTAGAAAATACGAATAAACTGGGGTGAGCAGGTGTGAGAAAAGAGACAGAAACGGTTTCGCCTGGCGCACACTCGGCGAGAGAACAGGCGCAATATAAAAGTACAGAGGAGGAATACAGAGCTGGCCAGTTGGGGAGGAGAGCAGCAAAAAACGAATGCCAAAAAAACTCCTCTGCCGCGCCCAATCAAGCCAAGCCCTTGTGCCTTGGCACACTAAGCCCGCCTATCTTTGGCCACTGTGGCGCCGCGCTCTACGGGTCCGCGAAGCAGCACTCGCGCAGTACCGCGCAGCTTACCTTGTCGGGGGATTAGTAGCTGGGCAGCTGGCGGATATGCGTGCAGGGTATGCGTGCAAGGTATGTGTGCAGGATATGTGTATGTGGGAGACTGGTGAACGATGATAGCAGGTGCTTTGTGGTAGTGGCAGCGGGCTGTCGCCCAGCACATGTCCGCTCTGTCGGGTTTTATACCGGGTGAGGGGCGACAAGGCCGTGCTCTGGGCACCATCAGCGCACATCGCGAAGGTCACAGCTTAGGCCGTGAGTAATAAACATGAAACCACTGGCGATTTCACATTGCCACACGGCGTCCAGCAGCCCAGGAAATTATCTGGGGAACTTGCACAGCCGTACGAGGCTGGCTTTGGGACCAGCACCATCAAGTAGCAGAATCGCAAAACATGCCGTACTGGCAGAACAAGACTATACATCGCCAATAGCCTGCCCAGCGTCGCTTGCAAAGTACATCCGTATAATATAATTTTCAGCATGCTGACAACCACAAAACGCGTGCAGCCCGCTTATCCCTCCTGGCCAAAGTCATTGGTAAACTCTATCTGCTTGCTCAGATCGGCCTCGTTGACTGTCGGGCGACTGTTCTTGACAGCCTTCAAGAAATCAGACAGCGTCAGATCGGGCTCCCACAGTTCGTCGCCGCCCACATCTGACCATGTTTTCTCGATGGCTTCCGGATCACCAGGCGAGCATGGGGTCCAGTATTCGCGCTGGGGTCCATTGGGCTCCGAGCGGTCGGCCGAACGAACCACACGCTTGAAATGAGTGGCCAACTGGACCTTCCTAATCGGCTGCATCAGCGCGTCGCGCACAATCACAGCGATATCGGAGCCCGAGTACCCGTCAGTCTGCTCGGCCAGCATGCGGTAGTCGCGCTGTGTGAGCGTGCACGGCGTATTGCCAATGTGCAGCTGGAACATGCGAGCCCGGGCTGCTGGGTCAGGCAGTGGAATGAAAATGCGCTTCTCAAAGCGCCGGCGGATTGCCGAGTCCAGCGCCCACGGGATGTTGGTCGCGCCCAACACTAGCACTCCCGTGTCGTCGTTGCCAACGCCATTCATCTGTACCAGGAGCTCTGTCTTGATTCGCCGCGACGCTTCGGACTCGCCCTCCCCGCGCGTGCCGCACAGCGAGTCTACCTCGTCAATAAAGATGATCGCCGGCTTGTTCTCGCGAGCCATGGCAAACAGGTTCTTGACGAGCCGCTCGCTCTCACCCATCCACTTGGACACAAGGTCGGATGATGACACCGCATAGAACGTCGAGTTGGCCTCGGTCGCAACAGCCTTGGCAAGGTACGACTTGCCTGTCCCTGGAGGTCCATACAGCAGAATGCCGCGCCAAGGTGTGCGCTTACCCGTGAACAGCTGGGGAAACTTTATCGGCAAAATCACTGCCTCCTTCAGCGACTCCTTGGCGCCGTCCAGTCCGGCCACGTCATCCCAGTGTACATTTGGCTTCTCGCTAAGAATCGCGCCTTCCAGGCCCTGGCGCAGCTTCTTCGTCTCGCTGTCTATACCGTCGTCGTCCTTACTGTCAGCCTTCTTCTTGCCGCCGCCATTTCCTGCAACCGCAACAGCTTTCTGCTTGCCTTGCTGTTTTGCTATCAGCTCTTTGAGCTGTTCAGCCCGGTCCATGTACTCCGCTAGCTTCTTGCGAATGTGCTCCTTCCGCTTCTCGTATTTTTCGTACTTCATCGCGGTCATGAACCACTCCAGTGCATTCATGTACAGCTTGTACGCCTCCTCATAATTGCCAGCAGTGTCTTCGGCAATTGCCTTGTTGATAATTTCAATAGCCTTCTACAAAAACAGAGTGCGGATTGTGAGACGGCATGTTCCACTAATGCGTCAGTAGGAGCGTGTCTACTCTCAAAGCTTACGTCTAAAAAGTTTGTCCCCGACATGTCTTCCACGAGTAGAGGAATTTAAAGGTGCCGTCCAGGGAGATGTGTAACGTAGAAAACAAAATGAGAGCAGAGACAAGCAGGCCGATACAATTATCAAGAGAAAGCAAATGCTTGGGAATGTCGTCTCCCGCAACTGAGTGTTACACTGGCATACACAAGCCGACTCAGCTCGACTTGTCAGCAACGTCACGCCACTCACAATTCCGGTAGTCTTGGCAGTGGTCACGTGTGAGCGCGAAGGATTGGCTGCCAACACGTTTTTGTGTCGCATATGTCGATACCATTGAGCAACGGGCCAACACCACAGGGGGAATAGCAGCTATGGGCTCACTGACACTACAAGTCTTTTGTAATGACTGGTGCATTGGCTGCCATCGCCTTGTGCTTTGCAATGGTAATTACCTAGCAACGAATTTCTATCAAATTAGTAGAAAATGTGTCATAGATAATGATCTTGCTAGTGGTATGGCTGCCACACTGGCCAGTAAAAGTCCCTAAGTGTACGACTATTAAATATCCACATACCTATTCCTTTCTCTATAGTATAGTGTAATACTATCACCTTTCTTATAGCCAACTCAAGACCTATCATATATTTTTGCACCAACCTATAGAGCAAATAAAGTAGTAGAAGCACAATCCTAACATTAATACATAGCTTAAATCTATAAATATGTTCTTATTAGACACATATACTGCCAGTGTCCTAGTGTTGCCCAGCCAGCGATGACCACCATGCTGATGCCATGGAAGTTATCAAGTCGACTGACAATGAGAGCAGCTCTCGTGCTGAACCAATAGAGATATCTAGTGGAGACCTGTGACCACTACAATCACAGCTTTCCACCCCAGTTTCACTGATAGGGCTAGATGTCATACAGCAGCAAAATTTTCAAAAGGCTATTGCGTGGCATCAGCAGTTTTCCTTTCTCTTTAGTTTTTGAAACCCAAACTTATTTCCCCCTTCATTAGTAGAACACTACATATCACAAGTACTCACTTGGAGCATTAAATTAACTACATATTATCAAAGAAAATTAAATGCATCAGTTGTAGCTCAACGATATTCTTAGTCACTCTGAAATAGACTGCAATGTGATTGTTAACTTGGGGAATGAGTGGTTATAGAATATATGGAAAAAATAACTTTTCAAATTGACTAAGGGGAAGAAGGGAGGCTGGTCGTCTGTCTGGGCCTTTGTACGTATGCGTTTCGGCCATGTCTATGGTGGCGCAGGGGAACTCCAGACCCCGAATGTCAACAGTGATAAATAGATTCCACCAAAAATCTGTTCAATTCTTCTTATACTCGAGCTGGCTAAGGTATGCATCCTGGTCCTGCTGGTCATACTCGCGGAAACAAATATAGAAAAGGACTGTAAATGCAGCCATGAGGCCACTGACAATGGCAAAGTTCTTGACAAGGTGCGGGTTGGTGGAAATCGAGTTGAAGCAGAACGCCAGGATTGAACCACCGGCATTGGTCAGCAGGAACAGCGACATGATAATCGACTTCATGCTCTCAGGCGCCTTCTTGTATGCGTACTCGAGACCAGTGACTGAAGCAAAGATTTCAGCTATTGCCACAAGAATGTAGCATGGCACCTGAATAGCAGCAGAGATGTCGTTGTTGCCATGGTGCACACCGCTGACTTTTTCCGACGGGTGCTCGTAGTATGGGCCAGTCTTGTAGATGAAGTGCTGCACCACGGCGGCATATGCCATTGCGACAGCAGCAAACGTGAAGCCCAGGGTGATACGGGTGACAGGGCGAAGTTCGAGGCCGCAGCGACGGAAGCCAGGGTAGATGAGGCGGTCAAAAAAGGGGATCAGGATGATGATGACCAGCGGGTCGATATTTTGCATAATGTCATTCGGTACCTTGCCAGTGATCATCTGGCCGGACTGCGACACCAGGTTGTTCGACATTTGCCCGTAGCAGAGCCAGAACACTGGGTAGCACAGGAAGATCTTGGACGCGCGCACCGCCACGCTCAGCTCCTCGACGAACTTGTCGTCCCAGTCCATGTTCAGGCCCGCCACATTGTACGACGGCTTGGCGTAGTGCAGCCAGTTGATCGGCTTGTTGGTCGTCTCGTTCACGATCAACCGGTTCTCAACCTTCGCCGCCTTGTGGTTCTTGATACCGGCGCGGATCACACGGTATGCTTTCAAGATGATTGACCCGGTGGGTTTGGTGACCACATACTGGTTGCGACCTAAGTAAAACACTGTCACGCACACAACGAACATGCACGTAGGTAGCAAATACGCCGGCCAGAAGTCAATGTTTGACTCTATCTCCGTTGTTGCAATCGCCGACAATCCACCCACGTTGATGGACCAGTAGAACCAGTTGAAGATCGACTGCACCGTGACCTCCCGATCAACCACCACCTCAGTGCCGTCCTTCCTCTTGCGCACAAACGGACGATACCGTCCGTACTGCTCAGCAACCATTGGCGACACGTTTGCCTTGATACCACCAGTGCCTAGACCAATCGTAATCATGGCGATAATGAGGCCAGGCAGTGCACCGCCATGCCGAATCGATGCGGGAATTGACGTCAGGGTCAGAATCAGGTCGCCCAGCGTGTAGATGCATCCGAACAGCAGAATGGTCTTGTACTTGCCCAGCCACTGGTCGGCAATAACCGCACCAAGAATCGGGGTCAGGTAGCACCAGAACTGGAAGAAGTTGCCCAGTCCAGTCGCCATCGACTGGCCGCCGTTGATGGCTCCTGGGTCGGAATCAGGGACCTTGTAGCCGTTCTGGATGTAGTTCTGGAACGGACCAGTGATGCCAAAGTATGTGAAGCGCTCGCAGAACTCGGTCAGCACTACAAATATTGCAGCAATTGGCAGACGGTCACTGACGCGCCGAAGCGTGCTCATGTCCTCCTCGGTGGCCCAGCGCTCACCCTCCCTCAGGTAGTCCTCGGGATGGTCTGGGTGCAGGTCCTCCTTGTGGATAGAGTCGTGCTCCGACGACAGCTTGTTGACAGAAGCAGACGACATTGGTGTGTGCCAGGAAAAATATCAGCAAATTATATAGGAATGAAGCAACAGCGAAAGTAGTAAACGCCTGGCACAAATAGATGTCCAATATGGAATAGGCACGATAGAAGGAGAAATTAACAGGAACGTTCCTTGCTGGATAAGAAAGCCTAGATAATTGGAGCCTTCTAAGGGGAGAGGAGGAGGAGGAAACGAAATAGGGAGAATTTAGCCTGTCCATGATGTCTATCTGTTAGCGTCTTAATATGGCTTTGTGGTAGGCTTCATTTTACGTCATATGCACAGCTGAGAAAGCTAGCGTGAGAGGAAAGAAATACGCTAAAGAGTAATAAGTAATAGCCGGGGAAGGAACAGTTGGCATGATCTCCTTCCCTAGACGGAAAAGATATGGATGCTCATGTCAACATGCAAAGCACTTGTCAAAAAGCCCTCCTATGGCCATGCGAATTTTTCACGAGCTTGTCAATCACCCTGAGAAAACTGCGGAAAAGACAGTCGAGGGGCATCCCCGATGAACTGAATACCGCAGTGAGGATGAGATACATGGTGTGCGGTGGCTAAGCCCCAAAAGAAAAATAAATTGCGTTTCTATGGGATCATTATAGGCATCCCAGGGCAGTGAATATCCGCCCTGTCAATGGAAATTGTCGGTGTTCAGTGGAAGAAAGATGCAGTAGGTTCTTCCAATTACATCCCGCCACAGTTGTAGTCCTACAATCTGCACTTACGCTCGTTCATCACACACATTGCATACTGCATAGAAGGGCGATCATTACGTAGATGACATACACTCTGTCCCACGGTTAGATGGTGGTTTATTTAGGAAAAAGGGAGAATGAGACAGTCGGTGTTCATAAATGGCCTATAGAGGCTCAATTTCCGCACATTGCACCCTGCTTTTTAGCGGAATTGCACTTTTCCTACACATGCTCCTTTCCTGCTGCCCCTCATATTCCCCAAAACATAATTCCATTGCTTCTCAATATGCAAGCAGTAATTATGGCCACATCATCAATCTTGAAGAGCACTGATAAGTACAGATAAGGTAATATGCAAAATAATACAAGTATACTGAGCAGCAAAATTGAGTCACAAAAATTTTTTCAGCTTTTCGATGCTATATCTTCATCATCAGATAACGTAGATACTTCCATTCGATATATGTTCGATGGGGCTTGACATAGTATAAACGTATGACATTAGATGTTCTTTAAACATCGTACTTCGTATGATATCGATACAAGAGTAAAAAACTAGAAAAATTTAAGTGGCAAAAATTTGACTCACTTTGACTTCATAGTGCTATTTCTATACCCTATCATTTTTTGAATGGTGTGAAATCACTACCTATAACTCTTCTGCACTCGCTCTTCAATATTAACATCTCATTCATAACGTTGCTCAACTATACGTAGTACTATCATGTATTCAATATGAGATGAAAAATTATGAAGGAAATGATCAACACTTCAGCGCTGCCATCACTCTTATGGATTTTGATTGCATAGCTGATATTCGCGTGATTAGTACTCAACGATGACAAGAAATGAGTTTGATAGCTAGTTCACTGAGGGAGTAATCAACTATAAATGATGCGCAACTACACTTATGCTCTCCTTTGAAGCAATGTATTTCTATGGCATGATTTTTTATAGTATCAGTATATAGATAGGTAGAGAGGATACTACTATGGCTATCTGCTCTATACTATGAGATATCCATATGTAACCTCTGTGCCTAATGATAAGCCATTTAATCTGAATCTCAAATTTTGCAACTTTCTTAATCCTTCTTTAAGCAGCTCCTTCTGATCAAATACACAATAGATCAAATCAAATATACTTGCTATACAAAGCACATGCCCCACAGGTGACACTGAGAATGAAATATCTGAATGAATATACTCTATTCTGCCAAAAATAAAAAGAAAACCAGAATCTATGAACAATAGAAAAAGTAGATTCTGAGTTTAGAGCAGTGTATCTCTATACAGCTAAGGCTATTGCTTCCTTAGTAGAAGGGGATGTGACATACTGACCAGTGTGTATATGATGATATAAAACATACCTTGATTACATACTTAAGATATGCAGTAGGAGTGCAAGGATTATGTCCAAAGTATTCATCATTATATAAATGGCAAATTAGGCTACCAGTTGGCTAGATATGAATACTGTTTCTACTGTATGATGATCAGTTTAGTTCCCTAGATATGATGCGCTACTCACATATAGGGCTTCAATATGAGTATGATCTGATAAAGGCCAAAATTCATCGTTTTTGGCACCTACATTGCGTTGGCCTAGGAAATTATATATACGTAAGTAAATAAAACCATTTATTCATAGGTAGTGAACTCGATGCCTGTGCGTATCGCTGCAGTCAAAAAACTTATGGTGTCTATGCTAGTTAGTGAGAAAAAAATCGACGAATTGTGTGAGCAAAATTGAGTCAAAAATTTATATTTTTAAAAAGTCAATTTCTCGCTTATTTCAAGAGTGATAAACACATAACTACATGAAATAGATTAGTGCATGACATACACCATGATTTAATTTGATCATATTCAATGAACGTCGTTCTGAGAAATTATTTAAGATTTTCGATGATTTTGATTTTTGTGACTCAATTTTGCCGCTCAGTGTAATTATTGTGTCCAGAATGTTTTTGCGTGTATAATTGACTTTAAAAATACAAATATCTTTTTTGCCATTTCACCCAAAACGCCATCGGCATCTTGGAAAAGTTTCAGTGAACATAATTTCCTTGTGGTTGCTTAACCACATCTATTCAGATATTGACTTTAGCTGCCCAATGATAATTAACCACAAATATGCAAATATTTTTCTTTCGGGTTGAAATTGTGTTCACTGAAACTTTTCTAAGATGCCGATGGCGGTTTAGGTGAAATGGCAAAAAAGATATTTGTATTTTTAAAATTAATTATACGCACAAAAACATTCTGGACACAATAATTATAAATATCCACTCAAAAATATCTAGTAACAAAAAATCGTTAAGAAAACGAGTATTCAAATATCTATCTAGCAAAATTGTAATTTACTAAAATATGCAAGTCCAAGAATGACCCCCTTCCAAAATGAACTAAGAGCGTTGCTAACAAGAGTGTTATCAGAAAGAAGAAATATGGCTGATGTTGCTGATGCTAGGTATACTGATAGAGGTATAGAGCAACTTGGATTTAAGCATTCTTCTGACATATTTGTTGACTCATTCATTGTTGAGGTTGTTGTTGAGAAATGCAGTGAATCAGATATAAAGGTGAAGCAGAAGTCAGCTAGTGTTAGATTGCATAAAGTATTTGGAGAAGGTTTTGGCTATAAGTATATTAGAAGAAAGATTAGTGAGCAATATGGACCAGTTGCTTTTTACAAAGTATCTACACCAAACATTGCAATAGCTAGTTCTTTGTTAACAGTGAAGTTTGCTACTATGGCTGATCACAAAATATATCTACAAAATTATGACATCACAATGGATTGTATGAATATCTCATCTAGAAATATTATCTATAAATACCTTTTAGAAAGAGGAGTTGAAAAGAAAGATGTTGTAGATGATTTACGCAAGTCTGGCTCTAACTGTATTAGCTGGTTTACAAAGAAAGGAGATGTTAAAGTTAAGAACAAAATTTACAACAAGTATATTCAGCTTCTTGAGAGTGGTGAAGTTCGTAATCCTCTTAGTTCAAAACTTTCTGAGTTTATAATGCCAACTTTGCACAACTTTGGAGAAACATTGTATGCTTGCAGAAACTCTGGCTTGACTAGGATAGAACTAACTGTACATTCTTCTCAGATGCAAACAGCTGAATGGAATAGCAACTTGCTTCTTAACACAGTTCAGTTCATGAATGAATGCAGAACATTTGCAACTTCTTATGAAAAGCAGTGGATGGCACTTGTTGATAAAGTTAGTAGTTGTTATACAGTTTGTATTTATGTGAGACAACAGCATACTCTAGCATATTGTCATTGGTTTAACTCTATCACATCAAAGAAGCAAGGAATTATTAAGAAGCTAAACAAGAATGATGATCCAATGGTAGTTGTTGCTGATCTCTCATTCAACAACAGACCTACACTTTATCAAATATATGATTCACTTGAGAGTGGTCTTGAAACAGAAAAAGTTCTTAGAAGAGTTGATGAGAACATAACTATTGTTCTATGTCAGAGAAACTCCTTCTGGTCAACTTATCCTACAACTAAGCATTATCACACTTTTGAAGAGATGGGATTAGTTAACTACAAAGGAATGCATATTGGTTGGATAGATAGTAAGCAAGCAAAGAGTAAGATATGTTTATCAGAAATGTCAGAGGTTGAATATTCTGCTGATGAGGAAAACACCAATGCACTAACAACAGCAATAGACAATATCACACTTGATGAAACTAGCCATATATTTATCAAAGAGAATACAGATCTGAAACCTTCATTGTATAGAGTTGCTTACAATGTTCTTCAGTTAGATGATGAATTTATAGTTACACATTATGCACTCCATACTTTCAGAGGACATTCATACTTCTATGTTGATATTCATATTAAAGGGAGAGATAAACAGCCAACTCTTATTAGGACACCAGCTGATAGTTCTATTGGAAAAGCAATTTCTCAACAGTTAGGAGGAACAAAGCAAGAAACATATCTAAGAGTTGTAAGTGTGGGATATAGAACAATCACAGTTGAGTAGCAGCCATTTTAAAACATAGTATAAGCAACCATTCTCTCCATATCTCTATGGAAAGTATGACAAACATCATACACATGTTCAACCCTTACCTCACAATCAGTAGCAATATGTTGGATCCAATTACGCACTTGTATTGCTAGGTCATCACTCATATCAAAGTCATGAATAAGTAGCAGAGTAAGCATATCTCTTTCTTCCTCACACATCTCAGCTAAGTGTTGCTTGAAGAAGTTCTGGAATGATCCCATTTTCTAAAATTGATAAAAGTTGAAATTTTTATTTATGACTACCTCACACAGATGGACAATTAATTACAAGAATTAAGAGAGAAGGAGTGGAATGTGCTCTACACAACAAAGTGGAGATTTCTTGATGAAGACTGGTTAGTACATAAACAACAAAAGTACTACAGGAGTGAAGCTCATGAAGTGAAAGAAATTAAGCTCATCAAAGATACACTTGTGAAGCAACTTGGAATGATCCCTGTGTTCTTCTTCCTAAATGTTCTATTTGGTGGAAAGCAGTATCCATGTCCATACAGAAATGTTGAGAAAGGACTCTTGATTTTGTACCAGTTAGTTGCTGGGCTATCAATCAATGAGATGGAGAGGTTTATTCCTAAGAGCAGCTATCAGGTAATTCATAATATGTTCTATCTCTCAGAGTTAAGTGAGTTGAACAAGAAGCTTTCACACTACTTGCACACAATGTTCTCTACTCCAGAACTAAGAGTGATCTCAGCAAAGATTCAGAATCCACAAGGGTTTAAGCATATTACTCTTATGTTAGATGGACATGACTCACGAGCACTACATAATGGTGCATACAAACCAAATCTTTATTCCTTCAAGTTGAAGAAGTCAGGATATAGAACACAAGTTTGCATTGATTTGAATGGAATGGTTGTCCTTGTTTCACCAACTGAGGAGTGTAAAGACTACCCAGATTCTAAGATGATTAAGAACATGTCACTATTGAAATACATCTCTCCAGTAGATTGTGTTGTACTAGATGGTGGTTATCCTCAAAGTATTCTGGAGGAGTTAACAGAAGCAGAAGAGAATGAGAATTTTGGAATGCATAACTTTTGCTTACCAGTTAGAAAGCTAAGAGGAACCAACTTAAGTGAGGCAGAGTTAGAATATAATAGCAAACTTGGGTCATTTAGATCAATGGTCGAGAGCACATTTGGAGAACTAGGTAACATATTTAAGAGACTTTCAAATAGAGAAGTTGTGAGAATTAGAAATACAACTGTGTGCAATGTGCAGTTTAAACTCTTTTGCTTACTCTACAACATGAAGAAGATTCTAGCAGCTAGTAAAGTTCCTATTGAACATCACCACACACTTTGGGTTCTATCTAACTTTGACTACCCAAGCAACAACCAGGAGAGATCAACACATGTTGAAGTTGGAAGTAGCTTACCACAGAAAGTAGAGTTAGAGGCTTCAATGAGAGAACTACATGATAGGCTTATTCAAGCTAAAATTGATGAGTCAATGAACTTCTATGTAGATATGATATCAGTATTAAAATAGGATTTTTCAGTGAGAATTTTGCATTGATAGAAAATGCTTCAATAAGGAGGTCATTCAGAGTTAGTTCTCTGCACAACAACTACACTGAGCAGCAAAACTGAGTCATAATAATAATATCACCAGAAATCTTTAATAATTTCTCATTACGATATGCATTGCACTTGACAAAATTAATTCATGGTGCATACCATGCACTAATCTATTTTATGTAGTTGCATGCCTATAGCTCTCGAAATAATCGAGATATTGACTTTTTGAAAAATAGATTTTTGACTCAGTTTTACTTATAAAAATTTGTCGATTTATTTCTCAACAACTAGCATAGCCACCACAGGATTTTTTTGACCGCAGCGATACGCCCAGGCATCGTGTTCACTACCCATGAATAAACGGTTTCATTTACTTTCTCATGTATAATTTCCTAAACCAATGCATTGTAGGTGCCAAAAACGATTAATTTTGGCCGTTATCAGAGCATACTCATAGTGAAGCCCTATATGCGAATAGCGCATTGTATCTAGGAGACTACACTAATCATCATACAATAGAAACAGTATACGCATTTAGCTAACTAATAGCCCAAATTGCCTTTTATATGGTGATGATTTCTTTAGACATAATCTTTGCATTATCCTACTGCATATCCTAAGTATGTAATCAAGGTACGTTTCATACCATCATATGCACACTGGTCAGTGTGTCATATCCCCCTCTACTAAGGAAGCAATAACCACAGCTGTATGGAGATATACTACTCTAAACTCAGTGTCTGCTATTTCTAATTTTCTTAGAATCTAGATTTCTTCCTAGTGTTCATAGAATAGAGAATTTTTATTAGGATATTCCATTTCCATAGACACCTGTGGGGCATGCACTTTGTATAGCAAGTATATTTGATTTGATCTATTGTGTATATGATCAGTAATCGCTGCTTAAAGAAGGATTAAGAAAGTTGCAAAATTTGAGATTCAGATTAAATAGCTTATCATTAGGCACAGAGGTTACATATGGATATCTCATAGTATAGAGTGGATAACTACAGTAGTAACCTCTCTACCTATCTATATATTGTTACTATAAAAAATCATGTCATAGAATTACATTGCTTCAATAGAGAGCATAAGTGTAGTTGTGCATCATTTATAGTTGATTACTTCTTCTGTGAACTAGCTATCAGTCTCATATCTCTTCAGCGTTGAATACTAGTCACGTGAATATCAATCACGCAATCAACATCTATAAGAGTGATGGCAGCGCTGAAGCGTTGGTCATTTCCTTCATATTTTTTCATCTCATATTGAATACATGATAGTACCATGCGTAGTTGAGCAACATTGTGAATGAGATATTTATATAGAAGTGGGAGTGCAGCAGAGTTATGGGCAGAGATTTCACATCATTCAAAAAATGATATGGTATAGAAATAGCACTATGAAGTCAGAGTCAAATTTTTGCTTCTCAAAATTTTCTAATTTTTTATTCTTGAATCGATATCATACGAAGTACGATGTTTAGAGAACGTCTGACTTCATACGTTTATACTATGTCAAACCCCATCGAACATATGTCGAATGGAAGTATCTACGTTATCTGATGACGAAGATATAGCATCAAAAAGTTGAAAAAAATTTTTGTGACTCAATTTTGCCGCTCAGTGTATTTATGCATGGTGAAACTATTGGCAATTTCAGTGAAATAATAATTTCATCCAAACCACTATTGGCATCTTAGAAAAGTTTCAGTGAACATAATTTCCTTGTGGTTGCTTAGCAACACCCATTGAGATTATGACTTTTGTTGTCTTATGATAATTAATCCCAAATATGCAATGGTTTTTCTTTCTGGTTGAAATTATGTTCATTGAAACTTTTTCAAGATACCAATGGCGGTTTGGGTGGAATGGCAAAAAAGATATTTGTATTTTTAAAATAAATTATACACACAAAAGCATTCTGGATACAATAATTATAAATACCCACTCCAAAAATATCCAGCAGCAAAAAATAGTTCTGAAAACGATTATTCAAATATCTATCTAACTAAATTGCAAATATCTAAAATTTACAAATCCAATACTGACCCCGAAAGGCCAAAATTAATCATTTTTGACATATATGTTGTAGTGGTCTAGGAAATTGTTCATGAGTAAGTAAATGAAATTGCTTTTCATGGTTAGTGAACTAAATGCCTGAGCGTATCGCTGCAGCCAAAAAAGTCTATGGCAACTATGTTAGTTATTGAGAAATAAATCGTCGAATTTTGTGGGCAAAATTGAGCCAAAAATTTTTATTCAAAAAGCCAATTTCTCTATTATTTCAAGGCTGATAAGCATAAAACTACATGAAATAGATTAATGCATGGCATATACCACGAATTGATTTTGTCAAGAGTTATTCATATCACTATGAGATATTATTAATGATTTCTGATGATTTATATTTTTGTGACTCAATTTTGCCGCTCAGTGTATAAGCGTTACAGCCTGACCTAACTAAATAGTTCATATCCCCAACCATACTCACCAATACAACATACTGGTTCAGGCCTCGTAATAGTGTCATGCTATGCTTGCCAATCTTGATCTGGTCACTGGCAGTCAGAGTCTGCAGATTAGGCTTCAGCACACAGCCATGCAGTGACTCCTGATAGGGCTGCTAATTATATTGCTTACCAAACAGGATACTCTCATAGATGGTGGTAATGCATAGTTATGCCTCCTATTATATAGCTGTTCCTGATCCCTAGATCTATGCCACAGTGCATACGCAACAGTATATTGGCTCTACTATATAGTTCAGTTCATGCCAGTGCCTCAGCTGTTCTCCTCAGTTTCTTTACAATCACTAGTTGTATGCTGCATTAAGTTATCATTTGAACATATGTAATGCAAGCAATATTGCAAATTGATTTCTATTAATGCAACATGTTGTTATTTTCTTAATATCCCTGTATCGAAGTGATGCTCTGGTCAGCATTGATAATTGGCAGCTAAATAGATCTGCCGAACAATCACACCTTGCCTATATGCACTGAGAGCAACGATGAGCTGCTACTGCCCAGCAGGCTAGCAATGATCAATATCTTATTAGCATAGAAGTGAATAACAGTGTTTTTGAGCCTGAATGCAACCTTTTCTGGCTGCTCCTTCTGGTTTTTCCTACTGGCTGCTCAATGAAGCATCTGAATGGGTCGAAGTATCAGCTAATAGTGTAATCTTGTTGTCTTTCACAATATACCCCAAATTAATCGAGTTGTCCTTCCCCTTTGTGACCCAAACCAGTCTGGTCTTGGCAAATCCCAGAATATCACCACTACCATCTACTTGACAGATCCACACTTCGAGGACCTGAGCCAGAGGTACCGCAAAGTATGAATTGATATGTTTCAGTGACACGTAGCCCGAATTGACCCAGCTCAAAAAGTCGGGGGAAATGCTCCAGTGATATTTGCAGGAGCTAAAACACCAAGATCATTGTGAATGCAATCTCAGCATTGATCTGATGTCCAAATATGTTGGTATACGATGCAAATATCAGTACCATGATGATCATCGGTGACAGGGATGTGACAATGGATGCATTGGCCCAGCTGAGTAACCATCTCCACATCGAACCCAGCTGCTTTTTGAGGAACTGAAATTCCCAACCACAATGTTCCGCAGCCTTAACTCCTTGCAGAAGCTCTGTAATCGCTTCCACATTTGTCATTCGGCTCTGAAGTTTTCTCCTCAAGGTCCATCAGATAGCTGAATATTTTCCTTGTCAGCGAGTAGTAGGGAATAACAATCAAGAATCCGATGAGCAATGACCATTCCAGCAGCTAGAACATGTAAATGGCATCAATGATTGCTGATAGAGGCAGCTTGCATAGTTCATCCAGGTAGGCGACAACTTTGGTGACACAGTTGAGAGTTGTAGTGAGCTGGTTCATTATTGTGCCATTTGTCGCTTCTTGCGCTGGCTTCAACCCATTGTCGCTGCTATCCTCATCGCCATCGCCAATGATGCCTTCAAGTGATCCCTTTGAACGATGATTCAAGGTCATGGTAAACTGCTCACCAACCAAGAGACCTTTCATGCGGAAATCTATATGACGGCTGGTCCACTCCAGCTGGTCAATACGGTGCATACTTGGGATTGAGAAGACAAACAACCTGAATGCATCCAGATATACGCTATGGATTGATTTTGCTGGAGTGCCACCCACGGTAGTGTTTGGTTGATTTTATCTGTCCACGGACTTTCCACTATCTTTCGTTTGTGAAGTCGATTGCCTTGCTGCAGGTCGATTCCTCTCTCTGCTTAGCGCCATTCTTTTCAGCCACATATCTTCAATATATCTTCTAAACCTCTCTTTTTCATCACATAAACTCGAGCTCCACTCTCACTTTTCATTTATGTGCGAAGTTGGCCTCTTCAGTTTCTTTACTTTCTCTAGTCATATAACACGTTAAGTTTACCAGTATCCCAACAATTCCACGCCTCATATTTAATAATTTCACGTTTATCGCCTCAATTGGTTTTACTATTGCACCTTACTCCTATTATGAGCGTTTGGTAAGAATCACACGACAGTCGCGCTTTGGGTTTGCAGGCTCGAGGATTGACATCCGTGCAAGCTCCATATTCTTCGGAAATCCATTCCTATCCAGGACATTTGACCCAAGATGGGTATAGTCCTCAGGCAGCGCCATATCGAAATCTTTCAGCATATTCGACAGCATGGTCAACATTTCGATTTTGGCAAGGTGCCGTCCAGGACATACGCGGACACCAGGGGCAAAGGTGAGCAGGTTCCGGTAAGCTTCGTCGTTATTGAGGAACCTGGTCGGATCGTACTTTAGCGGGTCCGCCCATGTGCCGACATGGTGATTGACACCAGGGAAATTGACATGAATCTCAACTCCAGGAGGTATGAAATGGCCCTGAAGTGTGATGCCACTTGGAGGTGAAACACGAGGAAGATAACCACCGAATACAGGGCAGAGGCGAAGGGATTCGTATAGACACGCTTCGACGAACGGCAGCTTGCTTCTGGCTTCAGCATAGGTGATGACATGGGCGACAGGGAAGTTGCTGCGGACCTGATCTCTTGCCTTCACATAGATCTCGGGGTGGACCATCAGGTGAAATAGAGTCCATGTGAGCGAGACTGTCGTCGTATTGATGCCTGCAATCATGGCAATGATTGATTCAACCTTGACTTGGAGGCTGTCCATTCTGGTCTTCGACTCCGGGTCCTCCGCATCAATAAAAGTCTGAAGGAGGTCGACAGGCTTTTCTGCGCCGGTACGAAGCAGTTCCTTGCGGCTGGCAATTGCTTTGCCGCAGAATTCTGATAGGCATCTGAATCTCACCTCCAGGGGTCGGAGAAGCAGTGAGAACGGGAAGTACTTTGTGAGCGGGAAAGCTGCACGAGCGACATTCAAAATGATTGTTGCAGTGCCCCATTTGGCCACCTTGTCGTCGTTGTGCTTGAGACTGTTGAATTCTTGGCCAAACGCTAAAGCGCCGATAATATCGAAGGTCGCGAGGCTGAAGTCGTTCATGTAATTGATGTTGACCTTGCCGTTGGCACTTTGAGCAATCCGCTCTTCCCACAAATCCTTCAACGCAAGGTATCCATGTTTCAAAACTGCATGCTCCATCTTCCCTAGGTATACTGGATTGAAATATGGCCCTAGCTGACGTCTTCTCATGACAGCAAAGCCCGGGTCTGTGGTACTGAACGTGTTTGGAATTCCAAAAATGTCCACTGCTTCATAAAAGCTGGCTTTGCGGAAATCATGTGAACCAAGAGCAATGCGAACATCCGATGGGTTCGAAATAGCCACAGCATAGGGTTCCAGCAAGTAGAGCTCGCTGTATGTGTCGTATTCGTGTTGCGCATATTGTCCACTTTTGCCAATCACACTGATTATCTGGTTGCGCTTGCATGTAATGCGTGCAAGAAAGGGGCCAGGAATATGGCGAAGCGGCGAAAAGAATATTGCGTAGATGGATTTGTAGCCTATCAGAAGAGCTCCAATAGAAAATAAAAGCTTGGCGAGGCAAGCACTGCTGAGGTGATCTAGTAAGATACCCACACCATGAAAAAGGATGCTGAAAAGCACCGCCATTATTGTCTACGATAGAAAGGAGTGATATATATAGTGCGTTCTATGTTTTACGTTTTAAAAATGGATGAAGCTAGAGGGAAGAGAGACAAAAGATGGGTTTAATCGCTCGTGAAACAGCTTCATTTGCATTGAATTATAACAGCAAGTTCTCGGTGCTGGCTGACATTTGATAGCTGGTGGAGGTTCCTCTAATAGCGTTTGCTAATTTTTATTGGCTGGACACCAGCCTCCATATTGCCATTTGGTATTGTCTGATTAGCCACCTCATAATTCATGCTCGGTCATCCGAGTAAACAAGAATTGGCATATATCTAGTTTTTGGTGCTATAATAGCAAGAGGCATAACAGGGGTCATTTTTGTGTTGTAGGTTTAGAACAAATAGTGAGTGACGTAGGGCAAAAAGAGGAAACAAATACCGAGTGGCGAAAATGCGTAATGTGTGATTGTATGTATTTTTCATATAACACAGGTTCTGAATAAGCTGTTAGGCAATGATATCCTAATCGCGATATGTGCAAGTGATGTGAATGTAACAATAGAAAGTGATTGAGTCAAGGAACATATACTGATGAGAAAAACTAAATAGAAAAAGGAAGGAAGATATGAGCATGAAGGCTATATAACATCGCTCATATTGCACAATCAGAAATAAGAAAAAAACGGGATAGAAAAAGTGTGGTGATCCTGTTAATCAGATCTTGGGATTCTAACAAAATCTACAATATAAAGCATTTATCATCATATCTGTCACCGATGATCGTCATGGTGATGATACATATTGTTGTGTCAGTCAACTATGTAGGGGCTTTTCTAAAAGGTATATTTAATACTGAAGAAAAGAGAGAAAGGGGAATAGACAAGTTGCACAGGGGGGTTTATAATACTGTCATCTGTGCAACTTCTTAGAGGCTAGACTCTACCTCCATATCATAGGCTATAGTAGTGCTCTTATTGGTGCCTAGATTTCTATCACCTGATTCAGCTGATATGTCGATGTCAGGGACAGCCACATCAGGTACACAACAATGTCTCATATATACTGAGCAGCAAAATTGAGTCACAAATATTTTTTCTTTAGAAAATACCTGATTTTTGAAAAAGTAGTAATATGATACCCTTGATAGTAGGGTATATATATCACTTGCTGGTGATGATGAGTATTGGTTAAGACTTATGTTCCTAGAATATCACACTCCCTAGAAATTACTATCTTTTGGTAAGCAGCAAATTTTAGTAGTGCTCATTTTTGACTTTTCCTTCTTTTGACAACTAGTTTTATGCCTAAAAAACTATAGTCATTACATAAAAAACATATTGAATATCTTCTAACAAAACCCCTATTAACTCAGCAAATTGCATTGGACACAGGAGTCTCCTAATCCACAGTATTGTGCATTGCTTGAGCATAACACAGCATAGAGAGGAAATCCCATACTGGTTATAGTCAACTGCTATCACCATATGATGAGAAATATATATGTTGACTTGCTACTACTGGTGCATGTTCCACTGCAATGCAGATCTAACAACAGCTGGCATAGTATTCTGGCATGCACATCTCAGTGTACACTATCAGATATGTACTACATCACTAAGGGATTCAATCTATGCATAGAATAAAAGTCCTTCAACTGAAAGATTACTATCATAAGGATTGATGCCAATTTGCTGAGACCTTTGGGAGCTAGATAGACATTGATTGGAGCCAGGTAATTTGGTCGGATAAGACAAGAATACACCTTAATGGAGCAGATGGATATGAGAGATACTTACATAAACCAGGTGGAGTCATCCAGGATCACCACATTACCCCAACCCAAAAATATGGTAGAGGTGGGATCATAGTTTGGGGATGCATAACTTCATGTGGCCCAGGTCAACTCTGCTGGCTTGAGGGGGGAATTGACACAGTGGTCTATGTGGGTATCCTGCAGGAGGAATTACTGCAAACAATCGAGATATATGGGCTGGACAAGAGTGACATCATCTTCCAACAGGACAATGCATCATGCCATATGGCTTCTAGGACAAGGAGGTGGTTTGCTGAGAACTCCATTTCAGTGCTACCTTGGCCAGCGCAGTCCCCAGACCTCAACCCCATTGAGCATTTGTGGGACTTCATTAAGCATAAGATCTGCAATGGGCCAGAAATCGAAGATCTCAAAACCCTCTGGGAGCAGGTCCAGGACATCTGGTGTGAGCAAGTAAATGAAACCATTTGCTCACAGCTGGTGAACTCGATGCCTGCGCGTATCGCAGCTGTCAAAAAAGCCCATGGTGGCCATGCCAGATATTGAGCAATAAATCGTCGAATTTTTGTGAGCAAAATTGAGTCATAATTTTTTTTAAAAATAGTCAATTTCTCAATGAATAGATGAACAATAAGCATGAAACTACATCAGCTAGAGTTGGGCTTTGCATAGATTATGAATTAATTTTAACAGGAGTGTCGCATGTTGTTCAGAGAAATTACTCCAGTTTTTCGACTATTTTTATTTTTGTGACTCAATTTTGCCGCTCAGTGTATTCTATTCAGTGCATCTCTAGAACCATCTTCAATATATAACCTTAAAATATGTTGTTGGCTTGTGAGTTGTTAAGTGTTTAGTATTTTGATATTTGGAATGCTCCTAATGAACAACAGAACAGAATTAAAGAGAGAAAGTGCAGGGAGATATATCTTATAGCCTATAGCTGTGCCCTAACCAAGAAGTGCTACACCGTCGGTTTGATGCTGAACGAGCCTCCTGATTAGGTACAGTCAATGTCATACCCAAAAGTCGGAGTTTGACCGCCCATTGCCTTCAGTGGAATCATTACTCCGTTGGTCGTGTGTCTGAGCTGATACAGTTCTTTCGCTTGACGTAGATGATCGATGATGAGCATTGCTTGATAATGTACGATCCGAGCCCCGACGCCTTGCAGCATGTGCTACATTGCGTACCGCATTTGGCGGTGGCACAGATGGCCTTTGGGGCCTACTAATGCCACTAGTAGTAAGGTTGCCGCTACGCGTCATACTGCCTGCGGCTAGTGATGACTGTGCACCGCCACTATACCCGGCACATGGCCCTTGTGTGGAGCTTTCTGGCATCTGCTGCGGGTCGGCAGAATCATAGAGCGGCGACTCATCGGTATAAGGGAATACTGGGCTTTCAGGAACGACAGGGCGGTTGGATTCCAAGTCGGCAAACAAATCGGCCTGTCCGATATCCGACCAGTCAATGTCAGACAGAATTCCATTCACGGTGTCAAGGTCAACAGCTTCACCACAACCACCCTTGGGTAACTGCGCGCGTGTCTGTGGAGTTTCTAGCTGGCTCTGTTCAAGCGATGTTTCAGTAGAAGATGATGCTGCGCTAGCTGTGCTCGCTCGGCGGTTAGCTCCTGGCTCGCCTACGTCAAGCAGATCGTCGTCCGTCAGACCATCAATCCCAGAAAGAATGTCGTCCAAGTCGGCTTCAATGTTGTTGTTTTCTGCGCTGGCAGCGGCTACAAAGAGACGAAAAATTTTCAGTGGAAAGGAAAAATCAAGGCAATCAGCGGTGGCTGCGATCCAAGAATTCACTGCAAAACAACGGTACTTACCTGGCAATGCGTTGTTGCTTGGGATGCTTTGTGGTGGCTTTGCACATGTGCTAGCATGCCGTTGTTCGCTCTTGGGCGGAGCTGTGTGTCTCGTGCCTATAGATGCACCCGCCACACTGTTGGCTGCTTGAGCAGATATGCCAGGCATAGGTACTACCTCAGGCGCTGGATTCATACGACGGACCTCGTGGGCAGGTGTGGCTTGTGTGTGGCCTGCAAGTGGAGACTGTGCAGGCGCTGTGGTGAGGACGGGTACAAGAGATACCTGCTGGTTGCTTGTAGGTGTTGCTACGGCTCCAGGGCCTGCTGCGACCAACCTGCCATCCAGATCGCAATTCCGGAACAGTGTACTACCAGACATGCTCGTCCGCGGCTGCTTGGGCTCGCTGGAAACATGCCGCAAGAACTCTTTATCGTATATACAGTTGCCCAGAACGTTTCCAAACTGGCGCATTGCACGCTTCAGCGCGTCCGTGACAGCCTCCTTTCTGACCTTTTCGAAAGCCTGTGCCTTCGACCTGCAGTTTTCGATGATTCCATATCCACAGTCCTCCCGGTAGGTGCCGTCGCGCAGAGTAACACGCACCATGCAGCTGAGGCCGATAGAGACGTTGTTTGTCTTTGGATCCACATCGACAAAGTCCACGACCATGTTGAACAGGTTTGACCTCCAGCCGTTGAACCCGAAAACCTCGTTGGCGATGCTGATGATCCGCCAACCTTCGATGTATGCCAGACGCGTGCTTCCCATTCCACGACGTGAGCTGATGTGCTCAGGGCCCAGCTTTTTGCTGAGTGCTATTTGGATCCGAGCTGTGTCGTCGGGCGAGAAAGGCTCGTTGGGAATATTGTCGACTGGCTGATAGGGCGCAGACGGCCTGAATATGGCGTCATTCATTTGTAGCATTATGTGGAATTGGTTCGTGTGTAATTGCAAATGTTGGGAGAGCAGCAAGGGGTGAGCGAAGCACACGCTAGCCTAACGACATGGAAATTGGCGATGCTGATCCGATCCGGTGATTATCTGATTTCAACGCTGCCCTGCCGTACCGTGCTTGATCTGCTTGACAAGCGCCGAACCGTGCGTGCATACCGACACTGCCTCTCTCTTTCCTGCTTTCCTTTTCACCTCGGAACCTTCGTCCTCCAAATTTTAAATGAGTGCCCATGTCCCTATTCCTGACATTCCCGGCGTCCGCGTCCCATTTGAGGAAACAAAGTCATTGCGGAGACGCGTTGGCGACATCACGAACACAGGCAAATTCACGTTCCCGGGGTCACAGCCGGTGAGCTTCACAAAGACACAGGCCATGGCAGAGCTCATGACATCGGACTACCTAGTATGCGAAAAGTCGGACGGCGTGCGGGTCTTGGTGCTGATGCTGTTTGACAAAGACATGCCACAGACGTTCTTTGCGACACGCAAGAACGAGTACTTTTATGTTCGCAATGTGGCCTTCCCAGCGCCATACCAGAAGGCCCCATATGAGAAATACCATCATAACACACTTATTGACGCGGAGCTGGTGGTTGATGTTGAGGCAGATGGGCGGCGGGTCATGAAGCTGCTCGGGTTTGACGCGCTGGTGATCAACGGAAAGAATATCATGAACCACCCGCTTGACAGACGCCTTGACTACCTAAACAGACATGTTATAGCCCCGTACCAGGAAATGTGCCGTACCTGCCCGGCATACTGCAGAGGGCAGCCGTTCATGGCCGAGTTCAAACGATTCGAAAACAGCTTTGCGGTGCAAACGATACAGAGGGAGGTCATACCAAAACTCAAGCACGAGTCGGATGGATTGGTATTCACATCGCGCGTAGCGCCATACACGCCCGGGACGTGCGACAAAATCATGAAGTGGAAGCCGGCGGGCGAAAACTCGATAGACTTCAGGGTGCGGGTAATTGCGTCGTCAACGACAAGTCCGCCAGAGATTGAGCTGCTCGCGTGGCATGGGGGCAACGACTACCGTCCATTCGCAAAGATGGCGATGCGGCCAGAAGATTGGGATCGGACATTCAGCCGCATCTCCTCTTTCAGTGGATCGATCGTTGAAGTCAGCTACACGCCCGACTACTGCCCGCCTCACGTGTGGAAGTTTATGCGGTTCCGCAACGACAAGCCACACGGCAACCATATATCTGTAGTCGACAAGATCATCGCCAGTATCAACGACAGTATGGAGCTCGATGAGCTGCTGGCAGAAATGCCGCGCATTCGCACAGAATGGATGAAGCGAAACAACGCTCCACTGTAAAGCAACTTGGCATAACCCAATCCAATTTTTATCGGCGATGTGTGGATTATGAGCAATGAAGAGTGTCTAATGTATGGAGGGAAAATGTGTGCAAGTGAAAAACGCGCGCCCACCCAGCATCTACACCCGGCTCTGGATCATGGACTGGATTGTCGACTGGATGAATTCGCGGCGTGACGACAGGTCAACGCCAAAGATCCGCGACAGCTCGTCGCGCACCTGCTTCATAGTGATGGTAGACAGGTCCGAGCTGTCGAGGATGTTGGAGATGGTGGCAGCAATGGCTTCGTCAGACGGCATCTGCGAGCCCGACATCTGCAGCAGATTGTGGTTGGATGTTGCGGCCTGCTGTGGCGAGGGCATACTGCTACTGTAGTACGAGTACTGCACGGGCGTGCCAAGTCGAGGCATCTGCATCTGAATGGCCTGGTTCTCAAAGCTCTGGCCCATCACCGACTGCGCCTTGTCCATCGCCGTCTGTCCGCCCAGCCCAGTGACTTGGGTGAAGCGGCTGACGGGCCTCACTCCGCCCATTCCGAACTCGTCGATAGCCTGTGCAACCGCCTCGAGATCCTGCATCTGGCGCTGGCGCTCAAATATCTCACTCTCATATTCGGCCCAGGTTTTCATCGGTATCTCGCTTGGGTCAAATGGCTCTTCGTCCTTGACAAAGATCTGGCGCTTTCCGTCCTCGCCAACGACAATGCGTGTGTTGCCCCAGGAAAAGTCGTCCATGTGCCAGAAGGCGTAGACTGGGATGAAGAACGACCACAGCGGGTAGGCAAACAGATAGATGATCATCCAGCCAATGTGCTGCCACTGACGCTTCAAGATGAAGATGACGGCCTGCAGGCCGTAGATGGCGCCAATGAGGACAAGCGAGATGTAGCCGATGTCGCTGATCTTTGACACGCCGACGTAGATCAGATACGCAAGGTAGAACAGCGTGCAGGGCATGGTCAGGGTACCAAACAGATCGATGAACACGACAAACCGCATCGAGAAGCAGCAGAAGCCGCACATTTCAGGCAGGAACACGAGCTCAACCAGGTTGTGCACTGTCGAGTTAATCCAGCGACGGCGCTGCGAAAGAAGCACCGACCACGTGTCTGGGGCTGTGGTCTTGCATTTTGCATCGGCGGTGAACGTCATCTTGTACTGCGGGAAGTACTTCATCATCAGGGTGGTCAGGTACCGATCCTCGCCAAGCGACAGCAGGTTCTTTTTGTGCAGCGTGTCGACGTGGTTTTCGGCGTAGTCGTCGATGACGTTCTTGGAGATGATAAGCGGGGACCCCCGCTGCGTGCGCAGACGGTACATGCAGAAGCAGCCAGGAAGGCAGGTGACCGAGCCAAATAGCGACTCGAACGCCTTGGCCATGTGGTGCGAAATGAAGTACTCGTAGACCTGGATCATGGTTGTCCACGAAAAGTCCTCGTTTGTCAGCTGTGTCTCACCACAGATGCCGATGACCTTGGCGTCGTGCACCATGCAGGCAACCAGCCGAGTCAGCGAGTCTGGGTACACCTCGGTATCGGCGTCGACCATGAGCACATACTCGTACAGGGACGGGTGGACGCCAATGACATTTTTCATCTGGTGGTAGATCTCGAGGTCAAGTGGCGACATGGGGGCCTCAAAGTGCAGGCGGTTCAGGAAATGCAGCAGCAGCATCTGCGAGTCACGCTTGCCTCGGTTGCCAGGGCGGGACTTTTCTGTCGGCTTTCCGATCTTGGCAACAACCAGGTACGGCACAACGTGGCCCTCGTACTCGTACAGCCCCGAATACACCTTGGCCATGTTGTGCTGCTGGCCGCCCTCGCCAATGGAGCGGAACGAGCGCGAAGGCGGGTCGAGCTTGGGATCGACGCCCAGGATATCGAGCACAATACGCGGCGTGGGGCGGTCGTTACCAGAGCCCACAATGTTGCCGTCGCAGATGATGAAGAGGAGCCGGTGCTTGTCGTCGTAGCCAAGGGTTGCCAGCGAGTCGATGGTGCGGCGTAGGGATGTCTCGCCCTCAGTGTAGCAGGGGACCTGGCAAATGACAAATTTGTCGTGCTTTTGCGGCCTGCGACGCGACGACAGCTGCAGCGATGCCAGGAACTTGATGCCGATCACCACCATGAGCAGACAGGCGGCGGCCAACAGCAAAAAGTTGGGGAACAGGCAGCGGAAGCTGTGGCGCGAGTCGACCTTGCCGACGTAGAACAGGTTCTTCAGGCAATGGTAGTTTGCAGCACGCACCTGCTTGGTCAGCGGCAGCATCCTCCAGTACTTTGTGATGTCGGTGTCGCGGGCACCCGCGTCCTCAAAGATCGACTCGACCAGGCGGTGCAGGAACCGCCATTTCTTGATGTCCACGTTCTCGGGCGAGTCGCGTGTCATGAAGTACGAGTTGAGGTTGAAGACCTCGCCGTTGATCACCCGCCAGTACGCGCCGCCCTTGTGGTGCATGCTCTTGATGTACTTTAGCTCCCACACGACATCGCCCATCTGGAACAGCTTCATCTTGGGCAGCACGTGGCGGAAGTAGAAGTCCTGCCGCATCATCATTTTGGAGTTGGCCAGCGACCCGGCCTTGTGCACAAACGGATACTGCGTCTCGGTCTCGGGGTCGGACTTTAGGTACATGAGCCAGTTCGGGTCCTCCCGCTGGGTGATCAGCCCGGGGCAGGCAATGCGCAGCGCCAGCGGGAACGACGCGTTGACATCCTGGCCAGCATACATGAGCATGTCTTCGGGGCTAGCACCACCACGACTCTTGCCATGCTCCTGGTTGAGGAAGTTGGTAATGTCATACACCTTGCCGCGCAGGGCAACGTAGGCGTCATCGCGCTCGGTGTGGTCGCCGACCTCATCGAGGTTGTACACGAACTGCTTCGGACACATCAGCCAGCCAAGCCCGATGATGAAGAACAGCACAAAGCACCACATGAAGAAGATGATCAAGCAGATGGCCACTTTCTCTCGCCACGCCATGCGGATGTCCTCGCGCTTCATGCCACAGCAGTTCATCAGCCAGTTAGGGATCATGAATGTCAGGCAGTTGGTCGTCCGCGACCAGCAGCGACGCGAGTTGGACGTGTCGATCTCCTCGACCAGGCCCTCGCGCTCGCCCTTGACGCCGCGATTCTCACTGTCTCCGTTGCCGTTGCCATCGCGGTCGCTGTGCTCGCCAAACTCGGTGTTGGTATCCCAGTCCCCCTTCTCATCGCCGCCATACCCAGCACTCATCATGTCGTCGCTCTCATTGCCATCGTCGTCGGCATAGAGGTCGCGCTCAGGTACGAAGCCGCGGCTCTCGGCCCCACCCTCACTGCCAAAGATCGAGCTGGCAGCATCATCGAAGGGGATGTGCGGCGGTGGCAGCTGGCCGTCGAGCGATTCAAACATCTCCGAGTCGGCAATGATCCCACCGCGGCGCCTAGCCTCATGGCGCTGCTTCTCGTACGCGCGCAGCTCCATGTCGATGCTGCGCCAGACACGCTCGGTCATAAAGATCTTCTGGTGGCCCGTCACATAGTGCACGCCGCTGACCCACTCGCGGGCACTGGCCACCTGCGGGACCAGCGTCGCCGCAGTTACCACTGCCGCCGGGTCAGACACAGCAATATTGATGATCGGGCTGTACTTGTCGATGAAGCGCTCAAACGTGAACGAGACGCTGAACTCGCTAGGGCCGCGGCGCTGCGCCATCTCGACGATTGCCATGGCCTTGACCTGTCGCTGGATAAAGCTATGGTCAATTACGCCCGGCTGGCTGGTAATGTTGGCTGGGTCCTCGGCGCGCACGTGCAGAACATGCCAAGCCTTGCAGTAGTCGGCAGCAGCAAAAGATGTCCTCGAGCGCACTGCTGATCTCGCCAATAAAGGTGTTGGCAGGATCGGCGTTGTCTAGGGGCTCCAGCTCGACCGGGTCGCTGAGCGACGAGCCTAGTTGCGACGGCTTGCGCACTGACGGGTACGAGGCAGGACGCGTCGACAGGAAGGTGCCGACGATGGTCGACTCCTCCTCGGGGTGGAAGTCGAGCGCAATCTGCGTGATGCCAAACAGCTTGTGGGCGAACTTGCTGTGGCTCGCCTCCTTGAACAGCGTGTAAAAGTCGGGGCTGACTTCCAGATCCATGTTGTGCTTGCAGAACCCGTCGACGCTGTACGACATTGTGCCCATGAAGTGGCGGATGCCAAACAGCGGGGGGCTCTTCTCCCTCTTGTTGGGCGGCGGGCCCGGGACGTAGCAGGCGCTGCGGCCGTGGTTGCGGTTGAGGTTGTTGATCAGCTGGATGTCGTCGTGGGAGAACTCGTCGTCAGCAGCATGCTCTTCAATCGCGCCGACTATGCCCCCGCGGCGCCCAGTGTACTCGCCGCACAGCATACGCATGCAGTCCAGACGGTGCACCCAAGGCACCGACAGCTGCCCCACCGAGTCATCGTGCAACTCCTGCGAAATGCCGCAGTCGTCACCAAGCACCTCACGCAGCACGTAGCCCTGCAGGCGCTCGTTGGCCATGTTAAATGCAAACTGCTCAAACGAGCCTGCATTGGCTGCTTTGGTGCCGCTGGCTGCGCCTGGCTTGGTCAGCGCTAGACCCGAGAACCCATACATCTGCAGCACGGCAATGTGGTTGACGGCATCGGGGTCGCTCAGGTGCTGATTCACCGCATCGATGAGCCAGTAGTACACCAGGTGGTACAGCGTGCGGGCCAGCGCATCGCGCTGGTTGCGCGCTCCCAGGCTGTTCAGGAACACAGTACAGAGGTCGTTGTTGACCAGGGTAGTCTTGTACGTTAGTGCTGCGCTCAGAGCACCAGTGGAGATGCCCAGGAACTGCGCAGCAAAGTCAATCTCTTCCATGTTCTTGACAGTGGCTGCCTCCTCCGACTTGTCGCCTGCGTCGGCAAACTCGGCATTGCCCAGGTGCATGATAGCAGCAAGCACCTGGAAGATGCAGTTCTGCATGCGTGGCGTGATGCCGCAGGCACGCAGCGACATGCGCAGCTGGTCCATCATTGTCGCATAGTGCGTGGGCGGCGGCGGCGCAGCCTTGATCACGTGCTGGGCAACTAGCTTCTTCGATGCACGCTCGCAGCTCAGATACGTAAACCACGACTCATCGCCGCTGTGGCGAAACTGCCACTTCTGGCGCTCAGCCGACGTTGCTCCGTGCAGGCAGGTAGTAGAAGATGTTGAAGTTGCGCTCGCCTGCCAGACGCGTGCTGACTCGCCATCTGTCCAGTCCAAACGCAACCACCTTGTTGCCCGAAATCCGGCCGCGCTCGTTGAACTGGATCTCCTGCCACAGCCCGACTCGGGTCGAGTTGCGCGATTCAAGTGTCAAAGCGTTCGAGAATGCCTCGACGACAGCTGTCACATGGCTGAGCTGGTGCTGCGCGCGCGTGTTGTGCCGACCCGCATGCGACGCCAGGATGCAGAGTTGGTCGTTGATGAACTTGGCCGACTCGGACTTGCCGCTGCCGCTGGCACCACTGAGGATGAACAGCTGGTCCTGCGTCAGCCGGCGCATGTGCGCGTAGGCATCGGAGACCAGCTCAAACACGTGCGGCTCAAGCGAATCCCGCGCTGCAAAGTTCAGTCCCTGGTAGCAGGCCTCGTTGTAGACTAGGCTTGCTTCTTCAGAGAACAGCTCGCCAGACATGGCCTGCTCCGATGGGCATGCGACCAGGATCGACGACGACAGGCGGTAGTATGGCACGGCATTGGCAAAACACGCTGCCACTGACATTGCCACCTTTTCGGGTGTCATTGCATCGCCCATTGCATGCTCGCTGCCAGCTGCAATGGACATTTGTGCAATGCTGGGCGAGCCAGTGTGTGCACGCGAAGCATTGGCTTGCCTCATGCGGTGAGCACCCAGGACGATGTCGTCGTCAGTGTCGTTGTCGCCAAGCGCGCGGCTAACTGTCACCCGCGATGGGCTGGCCTGGCTTGTCGATGGATTGCTCCGGTAACGCGGATCGCCTTTGCTCTGCCTGCATGCCACGGCTGCCATCGTTTTCATCATAGTGGCTGCCCCAGCCTGCTGCGTCGTAGGCTCCACTACCAACCATGCCGCCTACGCCAGCCGGGTCGCCTGCTGCGTCCTTCTTTTTATCAAACAATCCCATGAGGTCTGGAACTGCACTTGATCCAATGAAGTTCAATAATAGTAGTAGTAGTAGTAGTAGTAAAGTTTATGCAACGATGAAGCACTATAAAACTAGCCTTCCCTTGTAGCTGCAAGTATTGGGCTCAGATAGATGGCTATGAGTATTTAATGTGAAGATGTTGTAGCTGATTATCCAGGGATGATGAGTATCAATGCCGATGATGATCGTGAAAAGCAGATGCCGAACAAACAAGAGGTTTCTTTTTGTCCAAAAAGAAGGACGTGCTAAATGGTTTAAGTGTCGCGCCTGCCAAGGCTGTGAGGTAGACACTAACGAGTGCCAGATGTGCGCCGCACTTCCCCATGTTCTACCCAGGATACCCTGCACTACTCTATGTAGGTGTGGGGAGACATGTGGAGGGTGACGCTGACGATCTGGCGTCATCCCGCTATTTTGCGGGGTGGTATCGGTAGTGAGATGAGTAGGGCACCTGGTACTGCCATTTTATGGCTCTATGATGCAAAGACATGCTGCATGTATGATCCATCCCCATCTCTGTCTCCCCACAAAAACATACATTTCGTGAAATGAGAGTGAAACTACCGGGCACATTTTGTGGTCCGGATGTGCTGTTGCGCGAAAACCACCACGCGGAAATAGCAGCAAGCTGGTTTCTCAAAAACCCTGGCTTGAATCTGGCCCAATAGCCACTGCGTACTTGTCAGGCGCAGCCACAGACAATGGATATGGCGTCTGCCACCGCAATTGCTGCTGGCGCTGCTGACCATCTGGGAATGAAGACAGGTGAGCACAATCGGGCATTATTCGCATGCCTTGGTGCGGCAGTAGGCTCGGCTGGCCCGCTATCTGACACCTGCACCCTCTGTCTCTATATCATCCGGACAATGACGCAGCTACTGCCGAAGACGCGGCGGATGGTCCACACTCGCCCCCTGGTTTTAGGCAATGCCGAAAGTTTCGCAACCGAGCTCATATTTGACGCGCTGCTCCCGTCTCTTTCACCTTCCTGTTGCAACACATCCTGACTTTTCTCCTTCATCTCAGCTCATTTTATTTCCTCTTTACACAGCATGATGACGACCGACTCGCGTACACTCGGGGTCACAAGGTACCAGTGTTTCTGCGCAATGATGGCCGCGCTGGGCAGCGTGAACTTTGGCTGGAACATTGGGGTTATCAACATTCCTGGTGATGTCATTGCCAACTGCGTCACTGGCGAAAAACACTATGACGGGCCCTTCCCCTCGTGCATCCCAACCGGCGGTACCGTGTGGGGCGTGGCCGTGGGCTGTTTCGCGCTAGGCGCGCTTGTCGGCACGGTTGCTGGCAATCCCATTTCTGACAAGTACGGCCGAAAGTTTTGTTCTGACCTGGGGGCCTTTGCTGGCGTTGGGCGGAGCGCTGCTGCTGTCGCTGACGACGACACTGGCCCAATTCATCATTGGCCGCATTTTCGTCGGATTCGCCGCTGGTTTCTGCAACGGCGCTCTGTCGGTATATGTCGGCGAAATCACCACGCCTAGAGCGCGCAACATTCTTGGCGGAACTCTCCAGCTGGCCACCAACGTTGGAATTCTGTTGTCGCAGACAATCTCGCTCGGGCTTTCCAGACCCCCACTGTGGCGCATTCTGTTTGCGATTACCGGTGTTATTGGGGCGGTGACCACGCTACTGTTCCCGGTCTGTGTTGAGTCGCCCAAATGGCTGGTGGCCCAGGGCCGTGTCGAGGAGGCCCGGCATGCCCTGGCCCGGCTGCGCAGGGGCGCCGACATCGAGCTGGAGCTCCAGGAGATGGTCGACTTTGACGCCCAGACCAAAGCCCAGGCGGAAGAGGTGCCCAAGGCCAATGTGCTTGACCTTGTGCTTGGCCGCACGCCAGACAACCTGCGCCACCAATTCATTGTTGTCTGCATGATCATGATGTTCCAGCAAATGTCCGGCATTAACGCAGTCATCTTCTACTCGACGCAAATCTTCAACCGCACTACCAAGGATAATCCTGCAGACATTCCGACTACAGCACAGATCCTGACCTGCGTCATCTCGATCGTCGCTACCGTCTTCACCTTTGTCGGCATGCTTCTTGGCGCTCGCTTCGGCCGCCGCAGTTTGATGCTGGTGTCGCATGGCTCAATGGCCTTGTTCTGCCTGCTGATCTCCATCGGCTCTATCAAGGGCGTCGACGCTCTTGTCATCACCATGGTGTTCTTGTTCAACATCTTCTTCAACTTTGGTGTCGGCCCGCTGCCGTGGGCGGCGGCATCTGAGATGACTCCGGCCTACGCGATGACAGCCATGGCGGCTATTGGCGGCGCAGTCAACTATGCCTTTACCTTCGCCATTGGAGTGTTTTTCCCGCCAATGCAGGATGGCTTGGGCGACTACACATTCGTGTTCTTCATGGGCTTCAACATTGCCGCGTTTTTCTTCTGCTTGCTTTTCCTGCCCGAGACCAAGGGCCGCAGGGTAGAGGATGTTGTTGCCGAGCACTCGACTGGTTTCCACATTGTGCTGGGCAAACGCACTCGTGCATACGATGTGCTGTCTGAAGACAAGGTTACCCAAGTTGTTGCCAAGTCTAGCGAATTCGCGTAATATCATAGCCGTTATATAGCATAAAAGGAGAATTTCTACATATCCCAGCGGACTTATGCTCCCTAAGCGGCCGCATTTTGCCCCGTCTGCAAACGCACATGCGGGTGTTGTAGCAGATATTTTGGATAGAAAATACTGAAATGGCAGACGCCGCAGACCAGCGTATTGATGACAAGCCTTTACCACACGTCCTCCACGTACCGACCAGCTGCGACCAGGTCAGCAAGATACTTGCTCGCATCGTCGGACGAGAGGTGGCCATGGGTCTGGAATATGTCAAGCATGGTGTTGACAACATCCTTGGCTAGCTTGCTTGCAGAGCCGCACACATAAACATGCGCCTTCTGACTGTCCAGCAGATCCCAGATCTTAGCACCATCGGCAGAAATGTGGTGCTGCACATACTTGCGCTCACTACCAACACGCGAAAACGCAGGCTGCAGCTTGGCCAGTGTGCCGCTCTGCATGTATTGCTCGAGCTCGTCCTTGTAGAGGTAGTCGTACTCTGGGCTGCGGCAGCCAAAGTATAGCGTGGCATCGCCAGTACCTGCCTGCTTCATCTCTTGCAGGAAGCCGCGGAACGGCGCGACTCCAGTGCCGGCACCGACGAACAGGACTGGGACACCCGGTGGGGACGGCAGGTGGAAATCTGCTTGGGCAGGACGATGAGAAACCGAAACACGGGAACCAGGCTCCAGCAATGCAAGGTACTCCGTTGCCAGGCCGCTATACGAGCGACCATTGACGATGTCATCGACGATTGCAACCGAAAGATGTACTTCGTTTCCAACTACGGGCTGGCAGCTGGCGATCGAGTAGCGACGAGGAGTCATGGCCGACACAAAGTGCAGAATCGACCCGAACGGAACCTGTCGCACAAGGGGGGGCATAGCGGCGAAGCACATCCAGCAACTGTGCGAGTCTGCGAAATGAACCCGCTCCAGCCAGGCGACTGCTTGCCCAGCGTGTTGACGTCGTCAGCGGCCTTGCGCAGGACATCGTATGCAGGATCGTCGCCAGCAACCTCACCCAGAGCAACAACCAGCTCGCGCGAGGGCGCCTCCTTCCAGTCACACACGTACTGGAGTGCGTCAGACACCGAGCACGGTGCCCTTTGCATGGCAGCGGCAGCTGAGCGACTGAACCGCGAGGAATCCGATGTCTGCTCCAGCTCAACAACTGATGCCAGGTCCACATCCAGGACTGCTGAGACCTCACGCACCACACCGGGCTTGTTGACTGGGTACACGTTGAGATGGTCGCCGGTCTGGTACTGAATGCCCGAGGACTGGTCCAGCACCAATCTCGATGTGGCGAGTGCTACGGCCGCTCTTGCCGACATCCTGCAGCTCCTGGTTGGCTTTGATGGTGGCATTTTCTGAAGCGATTCTGAATGGAGCCGCGGCAGTGCTGTCAACCAAGGTAATATTGAACGGCAGCGACTTGGGCACAGCAACTGCTTCCGCATAGCCCTCGCTACTGGACCTGTACTTGGCAGCAAGCATAGCACATGTACGCAATGACCACTGCATGTAGTCCTCCTCAAGATCCTCGTTGGAGTCGCCAAAACTGGAACTCGCCCAGAGATGTGGCACCCAGCTCGCCGAGACGCGCAAAGACATAGCGGGGGAACTTTTGGAACGTGCGCCACATCGAGTTTCCCGTGCCAAACACCAGGTAGTCGACGCCATCCAGAACGTCAGTGCGGAGTCTCTGTCTCAAGGAACTTGGCAAACTGGCTGGCATTGTCTGGTGGCACACCGTTGTATGTGCTGGTAATGACGATAACAAGCGGGGCGCTTGGCATCATCCGACGGTGCAGCGGCGGCAACATCCCAATCGTCCAGAGTCGTCAATGTCACCTGAGGGAAGCCCATCTTTTGCAGCTGCTCAGTCATCTGCACTGCGTAATCCTCGCTGGCGCCCATGTTGGATCCGAACGCGACAGTGACATTGGGCAAATCACCACCCGCGATTGCAGCAGCTGAAAGCTTGCCAACGTCCAGCGACGAAGCATCAAGACCGACTGCTAGCTCAGCCGACGTGTCGGTGCGGGGTTCGGGGTACTCGGTGCGCTGGGCGACAGTCATGAACAGGTCCAGCGGACGAGTAGTGATAGCACTGGGGTCGTAATCGATTGTCTTGTTGCCAACGGTGCTGAATTTGTACTTGCACAGCACTATGGCCAGCACAGCACGAAGCTCCATCAGCGCAAGCGACTGGCCAATGCAGGCCCGCTGGCCCGACGAGAACGGGATCCAAGCACCAGACGGGATGTCCTTGATATTCTGTTCGTTGAAACGGTCCGGATCGAACTTGTCTGCATCGCGATATATCCGGTGGTTTCTGTGGATACTCCACGCGTGCAGCCGAATGATGGTCCCAGCCTCGATTAGGTGCCCACCCGGAAGGACACAGTCCTGCTCGCAGTACTTGTCGATGTTGTTGACAGGAGGGAAAAGACGCAGAGTCTCCTTGATTACCTGCGTCAGGTACTTTAGCCTGTTCAGCTGCTTTGCCTCGGGACGAACACCGGGCTTGATCCCAAGGTCAACAATCTCCTGCAGCACCGCGTCCTGGACTTTCGGGTGCTTGTCGAGCAAATACAGGCACCAGCCAAGCGTGTTGGCCGATGTTTCGCTTCCAGCGATGCCGAGTGTGATGACTTGATCGTAGATGTTGTCGTCGCTGAGACCAACCAGGTTGCCATTCTCATCTGGGGCGCGGCATTGAGCATAAAGCCGAGCAGGTCCTTTTTCATGTTGGTCGCATCCAGCGACTTTCGGCGCTCCTCAATCACCTGGCGCACTGTGTCCTTCATGCCCTGCATCTCAGCGTCGAAGCGGTAGTTGGAGGCAAGTGGCAGGTGCTTCCAGTATGCCGTGCGAGTTATACGCGTCTTGACCTGGCCCAGACAGTAGTTCATGCCGATCAGGAATGGGCTCATAGGTGCATCCTTGCTCTCCAGCAACTTGAAATCGTAGCCGAAACCGACCTTTCCGATGGTCTGGAAGGTAATGTTGGTTGCAAGCGTCATGAACGTCAATAGGCTCGTTGGCTGCATACTGCGACACCGAGATTGTTGGTGGTCGAGCGCAACCTGCACCATCTCCTCGTTGTAAATCTTCATTGCGCTGACCGAGAACGCGGCATAAGCAGTCGGTGTGCCAGCTGCCACTGGGGATCAGTCGACGAACTGGTAAACAAGCCGGTGCCGCCCACCTGGCGAACCTCGGAGAACGGGAACTGGACCTTCTTGTAGAAATACTCCGCTGTCGTTGATCGCAAAAGCTGACCACCGCCGGATCGCGGGTGGCCACCACGTGTGTAGAGAAGACATAGAACTGGATCGTGTCATGGTCGCCGAACAGGCGCAGATAGGCACTCGCGCGTGTCACGGATAATCATGGGCACGATCCCAACCACCGGGTAGCCCTTTATGTAGGGGATTGCGCGACGCACAGATGCGGTCTGCACATAGGCGGCCTTCAGATCAAGGAGCTGGCGGCACATCAGTGACCTCGCTGCCCTCCTGGCTGCTGAGAAGCGTGATTCCATCGGCGTCGGCAATCTTGAGCTTTGCAGCAACAGACTGGCGCAGCTGCTTCATTGACGAATTGCTGCCGAACGATACGATGACGCCTTCCTCAACCGACTTGCCCTGCTCGACGACAACCACAAATGCCGTTACTTCTTCGGCCCTGCCATGCATGGCCGGGCACACCATTGCGCCACTGTCCACAGCTGCATCTGGATATTCGGCTGTTGTCATATGCGATTCCGGGATTGTTGGAATTACACCGATAGGAAGTGTATGTGAAAGAAAGCAAGGCTAGGTGGCAGACCCACTGCTGGCTAAGCGGCCGCGATGGGCGCCTTATAGAGAGATTCAACCGCGCTAGGACGCTGGCCGCGCTAGGACGCTGGCCGTGCTCTCACATGTGCGCACAGCGAGGCTGAACTCCGTGGAATAGGATCACCGTGTGAGGTCAACAGGAAACCTGCCCGTTCCGTCAAAGCTTGGCTAATACTCTTCATTGACCAACCATCTGTCTGTGATCGACCCTGTGACTGGAAATGGGCAGTTTTTAAAAAAGGAAAATATCTCCAACTCCAGCTTGCTGCTAGCGTTGAGTCTCAGTGCGGAGCCGTCGCAGTAAATCTCTCTTGTGTGCGCTAACACATATGTCTGTGCTATCCACAGTTCGGAGTAATGCGCGGCAAACGAAATTGAAATGGCCCGATACTGCCATGGCTTTAAGGCCGGTTAGCTCTTCTCAAAGTATGCAAATTGCATCGCTCTCCGGAGTTTTTGTAGACGGAATTCGCCTGGAAATGCGCTGCCATTTTTGTCTCTCCCAGCACCTCGTCTCCGAAGTTGACGCGCACCTCCCATGGCTGCACTTTCTAATTCTAGTTGCCGTTGCCGTGGTTGCAGTCTACTTTGCCAAACCGATTCGCCAAAGGTGGGTCAATTAGGCTGATTATGGCTGAAAATAGCGCAGTCGAATATGGATGTGCCAAATCCGTTGGCAGCAGGGCAGGCTCGATGCGGCAGCTGCTCAACACATATTGCCCATCACTAGTGGACAAGCGTCTAGCGCGCATGGTTCCAACGCCGTTTCTCTACACGTGCATGATGCAGTCCTTGTACACATTCTCTGTGCGCGTCGGCGCGTGACAGGTTCAGCAACATCAAGTACAATCGCGAGCTCTTTGTGTTGAGCGATGGCGGCACCGTGTCACTGGACTGGTACCCGGGGCCAGATTCATTCGGTGGCAGATCAACACCGATTGTTGTCGCCATGACGGGCATTGCAGGTGGCTCCAAAGAATACCATGTTCGCTGTGTTGCAAAGCGCGTCGCCTGTGACAGAGCCACGCCTTGTCGGTTTGTGTGCATGAACTTCCGTGGGTGCGCGCGCACCCTGCTCACTAACCGGCGACAGAACGACGCAGTGAATACCAGCGACTATCGTGAGGTTGTGAATTCGATCTGCGAGCGGTTCCCAGAAGCGCCGGTCTTTGGAGTTGGCTTCTCACTGGGTGCCAGCCTGCTCACAAAGTATCTTGGCGAGGAGGGCGACACATGCAAGCTCACTGCCGCCATCGCCATCAGCTGCCCGTTCGATCTGACGGTGGTCAGACGCATGTTCAACGCAAAAACCATTCTCAATACCTACCTGTTCAAGCCACTCATCCGCCGGGCGCTGCTTCGCCAGTTTGAGAGAAACAAGGACGTCATTCTGTCAGGCGATCAAGGATTCGATGCAGACACCATCAGGAACTGCCAGTCCATGGCCGACGTCGAGCGCATATTCATCCTCAAGGACGCTGGGTTCAAAACCAGCGACGAGTACTATAATGCAGCCTGCAGTGCCAACTACATAGACCGCATCGGC